GCAGGTTTTATCATAATATCCACTGTCGCCATGAACAACGTGCAAACCGAAAATAAATGTTCAGATGAAACAATTAACAGCGTCTTCATATTATAATAAAGAGTAATAATTACCGAAGTGATGAAATAAAACGACTGAGACAACGCGATACAAACAATACATTAAAGATCACATTATTAATATCACATTTAGGTGTTCACAAAAAGAAAAAAAAACCAAAAAGTAATAGTGGGTCATTCTATTTTTTGTGGTATACACGACACCATTTCGGGTCAGAGAAATGAAACACGAGCGTTTTTTTCTGCACGACAACCGCATAAATATTATACTACTAAATGTGTAGTTGGGCATTTTAGAACTTTTGTCCGTATAATATATCATTACATAAAATAATTGTTACGCAGGTACTATCCAAACAAATATAAACGTTTATACAATGTTTCTATGCAGATATTATTATGTCAAAACAGTGACAGTTTAAAATAATTATTGATAAAAGTGTATGGTTCGAAAAGTACAACAATGTACCACTGCGAAATAATATTAATCTTAAAACTTTAAGATTACTTAAAACCTTTAAAAAAAACTAGGGAAAAAGAAAAAAAGACAAAAAACAATTGCCCTGTTTTTGGGGAAAAAAGAATATTAAAATATTTTGTTTAGCTATAAATTGTATATTCATGTACTTAGCGCCCTTACAACTATTGCTTTTATAATACTACCTGAGCAATATTATTCAATATTCAGACAAAAATAAAATACCCGATAATTTTCATTAACTTACAAACTTGCTTTACTTGTTTAACACATAAAAAAATATTATAATATAATAATGCAATTTTATTATGAAGAACACATTATTGTACGGGGGTTCTCTAGGTATTTCCACAAGGCATTGCGGTCGTACTACTTGTTTTCTCATGAAAAAACTTTGTTGAACTGTATAAAGTATGAACTATAGGTACACAAAATAAACACATCCCAGTCCTCTAAGGCGCCATGGTATACACAAACGCGGATCTACTGCTGTTGATGATTATTTTTTGTGAACTCTATTAGCAAAACAAAACCAACGAGCCTAGAATATTTTATTAAATTTAAAAACTAAATAGGATAATAATTGTATGCTGTGTGCTGAGAATGTCAAACGTCAAATAGGCACATTATTCATTACTGCGACGTCGGTAGCAACGGTATAATATTATTCGTACGCAGTCGTCTAATAAAAACAATAATATAATAATTATATATTCAGCTGAAATACCGACTACAGGCCAACCGACTTCTGGCGGCATAAAATATTGTATTTATGTCGTATCTAATCAATATGAATGCAGTGTGTTCCTATTGGCAAGGCATTGCCGCAATAATAATATGTAGCTGAAATGTGTTGCGGTGGACTTGTTTTTGATATTTTACACACACACAATGTGTGATCACAATTTGTGCAATAGGCGATTGTTTAGAAACAAAAAAAAAATTAAGACTACTAAAAGTTAGTTATTGTTATTATTTTTAAAAGACTAGTGGCGTTATAAATTATGTGTTTGTATATTCCGGTATTCACGGTCGAACCACTAACGATTAATGAATAGTCGTGCTAATAAACAATAAACCCGTTATAGTACAGTAAACTCAATTAATACGATGTGTACTTAAGGTTCACATCGATATCCGTGTATAACACCGGAAACTATTACATTAATTATTAATATAGCACACTATCTAGACTCTAGAGTCTGTCATTTAAAAGCGTATTTCGACACTATAACCATTACAGCTAGTCTAAGCTACGTTTTACAACGCGTGCAAATTCGACATTCAAGACTCCAAACACTTAAGGTAATAATAGTTAATCATTTTTTAGTCTTGAAATAAGGGTTACAATAGTCCTCTTATGATCAAACTTTTAGCCAAATTATAATTTCACTATCAAGTATTACCATTATACTATCACTAGGCACTATCATTATAATATTAATTAACACATTAATTACACTGCACAACACGTTTTTGGAAAATTGAGTAGTTTTAGCATATGCTTACCTACGAATAAAATTAAAGATAAAGATTTGATCTACATATTTGGTAAAGGGTTCTTTTACGATAATGTTACTAGGAACCAAGTCATAGTATTTGAGATATGCTATAAATTCAACGATAAAACTCAATAAGTTATGCTAAAGCTAAGTTGCACGACATTTATAAACATAAAGGCTCATTACATTATTCAAAGTTAGGAACTGCTAAATACTTGAAAATCTGATAAACTCTTCAATGGTCGCCTGTGCAGTAGTTCAGCATAACACAGAGTGTAATAAGATTCTCAAAAAAAGTATCTTGTTACAGTTCTCTTAGGAATATCTTAAATTAGATTTTAGTTATAGAATGTCTTTTTATTTGTAACAATCTCAACCAACATGGCGATACATTTAACGTTTGCTGTAACCGGCATTGTATAATCTTACCAAGTATAATATAACTCTGTGATAATTACTACTATCTATCTCAGCCTATCAATTTTGGTGATATTTTGAACGTTACAATATATTCAGTATACTGGCAAAGAGCTGGTAACAATATTATGTATGCGTATATTAGCTATAATACAATAATAATAATAACACAAACAAAACATTGCAGATCATTGAATAGAATCGGTTGAGAGCACGTGTGGAGTAGGCATACACGCATGACGGACTATCCGGTAAAAGGGTTCAACTACAACGTGCATAGTTAACAGCTATAATAAAAATTTAAAAAAACATACTCAACTCATCGTTAAGTGTTAACAATACACGACCGTGTTTCGCGATGAACGTTTTTTTGAACAGATATGAGCATGTTTAACACGGCGACCGTTTGAGAAAAAGGCAGTGACTATGATGCATCATTTATACATAGATACAGATACAAAAATATCGGTGTCTATATTATACAACTTTATTTGTTGATCAAAAAAAGGCTATCATTTCAAATATGAATAATCATTCAAAAATATTCATCTCGATTAGTGACGATCAATTCGAATAGGCCACGTCATTTCTTAATAGTATTCGCATATAGTGATCGATTCATTGCTAAAATAACATACGTAGGCCGAAATACAATGGTAATGGAAAAATAAACGTCAAAATATTATTATAAAATAATCGAGATATTACTGATCTATAGGCCGTTATTATCAATATCTAAAATTCGCAATAATAATTTAATTTCTCGATCCAAAACATATGAATTTGTTCGGAAAATGAGCAGTACATTATTTCTACTCGAAAACGACGATAAAGTTTGACAACAGACATATTATATTAAGTTATCTCATGGACTTCTCGAGATAACAATTTTATTTATTGCGCACTCGCTGATAGACAAACACTTCTCACCAAGGCCACAAAAATGTAATTAAAAAAAACAGAAATTGCAGTTTTTACAACTTTTAAACTTTTATACCTAAAATTAGTTTTCTATAATACTTCTTTGATTAAAACTAGTTTAAAACTTATATTCGATTATTACCAATAGGCGTTTTATAATAAATTCCTTCTATTAAATTGGTGCCTAATATAGCAATTATAATTAATAATAAGTGGTATTTCTTTAACGACTCCAAAATTTGTTTAATTAGTCTTGAGATGTCATGTTATACACCCAGTTACATGCACATGTTTGATATACTTGGAGAAATACAGCTAATGGTTGAAGTTTTACTTTATATTACTTAAATTAGGGACGCTTAAAGACCGACAATAGTATGAAGTCCCTTAAATAGAAATTAATGTATAAAACAATTTTAACGGTACGAAACACACCCACAACCCTTTCATATTTTATTAATTAAACAACTATATCCAAATGAACGTTTTTTTGAGAAAAGATCTCTTATACTAACATTTTTTTATTAAAGAATGCTTTAAGAGATATTGTATTATAATGCTATAAAATTAGATATTGTTATTATTATTTGTAATTTTTTGAGATAATTTACGTTGCTAAACTTTTCAAACATACTATACAACATTTTATAATTATATATCTACCTAATATATTTTTATCACCAGTGGTTATCGGTCGTTTTACAAGCAACGTAAGTCATGATTTTAATAAATGTCGGTTTTTAAGAATCGAAATATATGTATAATATGTAGGTTTGAAGGCGTTTAAAATATCGATGAAAGGAGAAATTACACTAGTCAGTGACTTATGTTGTTTGAACAGGGGAACCACTTTTCCAAACCTATCAAGTCATACATTGGAAAAACAATAAGTGAAGCAAATAATAAATCGAATACCACCCTGTGACTAGTTATTTTTTTTCATAGGATTAGTTTATACTCAGTTTTTAATCTTAAATGGAAGTCGAGAGCTAGTAATAATAATATTACTGTGTCGCCAGACGTGATATATTCGAGTCGCGATGCTGTACTGCGGCGTATTGATTGTATTCAGACGCACAGTCCGTCCCTTCTCCTCACGTGGGTCGGATGACCCACAAAATTCACTACCACCCTGCTAACCCACATATTGGCACGGTGCTGCAGTTGAGAAAGAGCGGCGTGGCGGGCGGTTTATATTTAAAAGCGTGTGTTTAAAACGAGTAATCGGTTCACCTTCATGTATATTTTCACCAAGCTTAAGTTCTACTATTCAGGACTGTGTTATTAGTCCGAGCATTAAGTTATTAAAGTTACCGTAGGTACACGTTGCCGTTAAAATGTGTAACAATTCAATTTTTGTATATAAACAAGAATAAAAACAGCATTAAAAGATTAACATCGTTTTTGGAACTGTTCTAGAGATAATTTAGTCAATGCTAATAGCAGTAAGCGGGAATAAATTGCAACTGTCGGTTTTTGGAAAAGGGGGCCAGCCAACTATAACGTAGGAACCTTAATGAGACCTTTGGACCGATTACAGTTATGTTCATAATATTATTGTACCCGAATACCGCAACTAAACGTAATTGAGATTATATTATAAAGAACACTTATTGATTGTACCTGAACGGCCGCTTGGTTTTCTTTGTCCAGTAGAAATTCCATTGATTTGGCCCGATATTCCGCCGAAGGCGACGCTTCGACGGGTTGCCTGCTGAGGTCGGTGGGCGCCAGCGACAGTTTGCCAGACGACGCGCCCAGGTCGAGAAGGCTGCGTGCCTTTTTGTTGGGACTGCATCCGCCGCCTATCGTTAAAGACGATGACGAAGTCCTGGTGACGTTCGAGTCCAAGTCGGTCTCAAGTAGACCGGCCCGGCGATCGGGTCGCGACATGACAGCGGCGGGCGACCGCGACTGTAGGGACGCACGACTGCCGGCAGACGGCAGCGGCGGTGGTGGCGGAAGTCGGCCACCGCGATTTTCCTCGTACACTAGGCGTCGGCGCGTAGTAAAACCGTCGCCCGCCGTCGCCACAGGCGCGTGAGGGGGTAAAGGCGGTTTTTTACCCCTGTCGACTGCAGTGGCAGCTTTGGAGACCGCGCCGACGACAGGTTGACGGGACGAAGCGGGCGGGGGAGGTGGCGGCGTATCTGGTCTACTGAGTGCTGGCGCCGCAGCCGAGACCGTTTCGCTGTCAGATTTGGTTTTTTTCTTGTCTTTACTACGCCGGCCGCTCAGCCTGCGTAACGAGAACCGTTGGAAAAATCCACCGAGTTTTCCGCCGATCGATTTCGATTTGGACATGGTGACCGTAGAACTATCGATGTCGTTGGCTCGCGATTGTGCACTGCGGTTGTTGTTGCCGCCGCCATCGACGGCCACCGCCGCCGTCGAACCGGTAGTAGTGGTGGGCGCGCCGCCGCCGCCAATCCTATGCGAAACTGGTGGGGATCCGCCGGTAATGAAATCGAGTCGTTCGCGCAGCTGTTGCTTTTCCGCTAGGCTGGGCTGTTTAGTTCCCGACGAAAGACCGGTCAAAAGTTTCATTACCATAGTATCGATGTTATCGTCTTCCGCTTCGTTTTCCTCTTCTTCCGTTTCCGGAGCGGATGAGACAACTTCGTCAGTCGTGCTGCTGAAACTCTCGCGCCAATTCACTTCAGACACGACCGGACAGAAGTGCACACCTTTGTTGGTGGATGGAGGTACCGCGAGATTGACAAAACTGGTGGTCATCAATAAATTGCTACCCCGGGACGAAGTGGCGCTTAGCGCCGATTCGCTTTCGTAATATATGCGTTTCAGCGAGTGCGATCTGTTAAGCGAAACGGTCGAGTCTATAAATTTTTTTGAACGCAGATAATCGCCAGTGGTCACATCCAAATCTCCGGAGCACAGATTTGGCGTGCTGGACATGGGCAAACGGGACGCCATACTGCCGTGATCGTGGTCGTCGTCGGTGTCGGAGTCCGGGTTCACTGACGACCGTTCTCCCAGATCGGGATAGCTACGCCAGGCAGGGCTAAATTTAGACTTGGTGTCGTACAACGAGTCGACGTTGTCGCCGCCGGTCCCCTTCTCCGGGCCGAGCGCTGCCACATCCCTGCCGTCACCGCAATCTTCAGTTGCCGCCGCCGCTGCCGCATTGGCGAGTATGCTTTTAGTAGACATCTCAAAATAGTTTTCGTCCTCGGCAATCGGTTTGTACGTTTGATGGACGGCCGGTCCTCTGGGCACCTGATCGCCGAAACCGCTATCTTCGCTCAGGTTTTCCGACGACCTCTGTTGTTTGCCGACGGCCGCCAGTTCTTCAGCCTTCTTACAACCGTCCGTCGCGTCTACCATATTTTGTTTCCTAAACGTCGCCGGATCGATAAGGCAGTCTACCGTCTTGTACATGCCGGTACCCACAGGCGAGTTGACCGCGTCGTACTGTTCGTCGTCCCGGCGCAGGTCTTCTAAGCTCTGCGTAACGTCCATGACGATACTATCCCTTTTCCGTTTTTTGCTGGCCGCCGAGTGCACGCTCTCCATGCTCTTGCTCAAGGACTTTACGCTGGAACCGTCGCCAGCTCCATAACTTGAGAACGGCGTACTGCATAGTGTGGTCTCGTCCTCGTCATATTCGTCGCAATCGTCATTCTGTTGTTGGTGTTTCCAACTGTGACGGCGCGACGATACCGCTGATGTTGTCCGTTGGCCGTTCAGCGATTCTGCACTGTTGGTCATGAATGGAGCCGAAGTGGCCGTTGTACGGAACACAGTTTGTTCACATTGTTTTTCTAAGTTTTCGAACTGCAACAGACTGCCACCTCCTGCGTTCACGGTGGTGGGCCACCCTTGTTGGTCCTGAAAGTTACTCCTAAAGAACACGTTGTCGTCGTCGTCGTGTACACCTGGGTCGTTGTTGTCGTATACCGCGAGCGCCACAGCTTTATTGTTGAACAAGTTGAACGGGTCTCGATTAGGTGCTGTCCAGTTGTCCTCTTTGATGAAATCTGTAAAATATTATTAGAAAATGGCATTAGAAAATGTTCTTAGACCCACACACGAAAAAGTACTACTAACTACCAGAAAACGTCATAAGAGTATTATTAAAAATTGACCGAGCAGTCCACGTACTTTGACCAAGGTTAACCAATTTTGGTATTTTACAACGATCATACGGAAGAAATGATATATTTTTTTTTGTTTTCAATTGATAGTATAAATGAGGCGTCTAGTTTCAGAAGCAGCTATACAATTTTTGAACATTTTCACAAAACAACAAATAATTTCTTTAGAACCAACCAAGATTTTCAAACAAATACAGTTTGAATTAGTTGTACTCTTTATTTGATATTCAATCACAGTTTTACATAACATGTAATACATCGTGGTCATTTAAAAAACAAACACGTTGTCAAAATGTCTTAGGGCTGGTTTTGAAACTAGATGCCTCGAATGTTAAAATGTAAAGACTTAATAAGGTAAAATAATTTGACATTTATGTAAATAATTATAAAAAGCTTCACAATATTGACATAAAATTGAGCAATATATGAAAATGAAAAGATACAACTAAAAGGATACAAGAAAACGAAAGTAAATCTACTAAGATAAAATCACAAATAAGCAGTAAACAACGAAAATACAGAGCTGCTAAAGAGAGAAGACTGGTCTCATCTTTGGAGCAAATGAGATGACTATAACTTACCTCTATTATGAATAAAAAATCATTTAATAAATTATAATTAAATTTTTTAGTATTGAAGTAAAGTCCAAATTATATTATTATGATTATGAATGAGGTTTTACACTGGATCGGGCGGTTTAAAGTCAACATACAATATTATAAGGAATATAGTTATTGTGTACGAAGGATGGACGTTAACCGGAGTCTGGTTGTTATAAATATCAATAACACCCCTCTTCAAATCACGTGTTGCACACGTTCCAGAAGAAACGCTCGAGGCCATTAGGGTCGTAATATGAACAGTTAGTAACCACATCCAACACCACGCTATTCGTTTAAGCCACGAGAGATCCATCATCAGGGATGCCTAAACGACACTAAAATGTGTTTACTTTTATATAGTAGTACAACCATAACTTTTGTATAAAAACCAAAAAGTTTTAATTATTAAAATCATTGTGTACACACTTGGCGATCAATTAATATAAGATACTTTATAATTATTAATCAAGGTAGTAGGTTATTATAAATGTTTTCCAAATATTTACAAAAAAATAAGCAGGACAATTCTGTTTTTTTATAAGTTAATATAAAAACTAAAAATATAATGTACATTATGCAGTTGGAAGCTTGTCTTATTTTTTGACAACTATTACTAGTACAAACGAAGAAAAATGTTGTAAATAGATGCTATCATAGTCTAGTAAATAAATTAACTATCAATAGAGACTTAACATTACAGAACTAATAAATGTACTGTAGTATACCATCCTTTATTAAAAATAAAATTCTGTTAAAAAATGACAGTAATGAAACGCTTAATAGATTTGATAAATGTTTGACATTCTTACGGTTACATGCCATTTTATTCGTGCACGAGTTAGAAATTAACATTTGTAAACATGTTCTGAACATATTTATTATGTTATAAACGTTGAAGTTAACATTAATAGAAAGTGAAGACTAATATTATTATACCTTTCGAAGTGTTTCTTTTTAATTTCATTATTACTTTTTTATGTACATTAAATTGAAAACTAAAAATAAAAATTATTTTCCAAAACTCAAATAATGATTTAAATCGGAAAACAATATTTAAAAACTTCACGGGAAGACAGTTTAAGTTCTTGTCTTTTTAAAAAGGTAAACAAATATTTTCTATTTTAATTTTCGAGACAACTGTACTCGAAAAACAACAGGCTTTTGTTTTTTTAATCATTATCAATGAAGGATGTGACAGTTTAAAAAATAAAAAACTACCAAAACTGTATTGTCAATAAATGAACAAAATAGTTACATAAGTTACTACGAAAAATTAACCAAACCAAACCGCCTTAATAAGTAGTATGTGTAACGTCCGCTTAATAGTTAAGAAGTGTGGAAATTATTTGACATGATCAATGTTACATTTAAAGTTCTCGAAAAAAAAAACAATTATTGATAATAAAATATTGAACGGTTAACTATCAATTTAACACAATCAATAGAAAATTTAAGGACGGCCCTGCAATTCCTACTGTAAATTAAACAATATAGTGTACACACAACCGAGTAACGTTGAATCTTCCTACAATACAGCTGCTTCCATCGCGTCTGTCGGATGTGTATGGTAAACGGGGAAAAGGGAGAGGGGAATCCATTAAAAAAAATGTTTCGAAAGCTTTTTGGGCCCTGTTTCAATTTGCGTCAGTGTTTTTGTTTTATAAACCATTATCAAAACAAACATTTACCATACTGATGTACATAAACATAATAAAAAGGGGCACGGCGGGAGTTAGTGTTTGCTGGTACCGGATACACGTCAACGAAATAAAATTGCTCTGGCTTTTTTCCGGGTGGCTACTCTCGACGCGATGTGATGTGATGCGTACAAGTATGCTTGCGAGCTGCTTAGGTTGCCCGCTTTGTTCATTTTAAGGGGCTCTCCTGTACATGTCTTATTATTATTATTAATAATTGAGCGCATGGTTGTGTATATACATATGCATACATACACTATGTATGTAATAGTAGACGAGGCGAATGGAATTTTTTTTTAACAAACCGCGGAATGTGTACACCGACGGACGTTGAGTCATTTACCTCTGTGTTATGTCCCACTGCTGCTACACAACAAGACTGCCCCCGCCCATTCGACTCAGTTATCGTAAAGGAAAATAAATATATATAACCCATATACGCCCGCCTTATCGCTAATCTAACTCCTACAATCATACGATACGACAAAAATACAAGAAGGATGGTCAAAAATAAATACAATTACCTAAGGACAATAAATATCTATCGCTATATAAAATTGATTTTTGTATTGACACAAAAAATTGGGTATGAAAAATTGAACTACTACCTTTGAACAGTCGGACGAATTTAAATAAGATAATAAAATAACTTGAATAATATATTTAATATTTATCTATCATAGTAGATCATTTTTGATTCGTATATAACATTATTTATGACTCAATAAATAAAATACAGTTAATTTATATTTATAAATAACGATTATCTTAGAATTATTTTATATATAATATATTTGTGAATATTTTAGACATTCAAATAAATAATAAATGGCAATTAATTTAAATTAAAAATAATTTTTCCACCTTCATCTAGATGAGAAATGTCAACTTTGTCAATATCAATGCAATATCAGTTGCATTTTTTGAGCATAAACAATCTTTTTTTGGAAGTGAGGAACGTATTACAATAATTTATTATCATAAAGTGTTTACAATTTGTTTTTGCTTAACCAGTGGCATTTGATATTGGTAATTTATTTTTCAGGTCATTTTTTAAATATCACTTGTCCTCTACTTGACCAATTATTATAGCCTCTATAATGTAGTGTCCCTTCAAACAAAAATGTTTTGAATTCACTTTTGTGTGCACTACCTACATAATATAAAATCACTGATTTATTATGATTAACATAATGCGAGAAATGTTTTGTGCATAATATCATCGCGGCTATTAAGCAAACAGGTTTTTTTTTGTGTTTATTTTGCGTAGAGCAGTGGTAGTAGAGAACGAGCCGCGTAGGCGTTTTCCAATTTAACGACGAAGGGCGAAGAAAAAAATGTGTTCTTTATTTTTTGCACTATTAACGTTTACAAACTGTAAAAACGTCATAGAATTAAGCTACACGTATAATACACTTACCCGTTATAACGTTGATGAACGCACAAGTATTTCTTCTTTATCTATCAAGCTTTATTTAGTTTTCCATAATACATTTATTGAATCATTTAATAACCATCATTATTGGTCAAATAAGGTTAGGTGTTGTATTTTCGTGTAGTACACGACGAATAAAATCAAATGTGACGAATTCAACTGAGAATTGGCCGACGGTGGATCTCTATAGAGTAATGATTTAAGCATGTAGAGTAATGCAAATTTTAAATTGTAATTATAATGATTATACAGGAATTACCTAATGCATTAAGTATTTCGATTAAAATCATTTTCGATATACTGTTAATTAGTGAAACAAACAAGGCATCTTAAACGACTCGGTTCGTATAAACAACTCTAGCAATTCATTATCAATAATATGACCAGACCAGTATTTACATTGTACATCAATCGCCACACTATACATTCACTATAGCCAATACAGAACGAAACTATTTCTGCTAGGTGACGTATTAAAGAATTTGGCACGAGGTAGAACGAGATCATTTGTCTTAGACCGACTTGGCTTTGGGTTGCTTTGAACGTCATACTCCACAATCGTACAGACATCCCATATTATAGCCTTTTTAGATCGTTTTCATCAAACAAAACCGTCAGCCTATTTAGCCAAAGGACGTATCTCCACAGAAATCAATTTTCGGTATATTACACACACTATTTGAAAGAAAAAAAACTATGCGTCGGCTGGTAGGTATAATAATGATTATATTTCAGTGTTTTTTTCCCATGAAACGTGTGATAATAAACAGTAAGCAACTGTCATTAAAATGTATAGAGCAAATTTAACATTTTTTTTTTTATTTTAGAGTGAAAATTGGTATTTTGGAGTTACGCCCATTGCTAAATAGACTGACGAAATGTGGCATTATATTGAAAAATATTTTAAACGAAACGTTTAGTTGTAAAGTATGATTATTACATCAAATTCGTTTAAGATTTGTGGTATTTTGCCTAGGGAACGACGAACTTTTCAGTGTATATACTACTATGATAAATAGTAATATTAAAAAAGTGTACAAGCTATGGCGTTTGCGGGCGTATACGAACTTCAAGGTCAGATAAATATTATTCACGGGCGTGTCGGATTTTGTATTAGCGTTATTTTTAATAGCATACGGTGTTATATTTTGACCGTCCACGTCGAGATGGTCACCGCAGTAAATTATCGCTTGTTTTTTTTTTTTAATTAATACAACGTCTTAAATGTTAATTACCTTCTTCGCTGCTTCTCTCAGAGTCGGTTCGCAAATCGTCGGATGTTTCTTCGAGGATTGTCTCCAGGAAAATATACGACGTGCTTCTACCAATATTGCCGCCGTAATTGCTCTGATTAAACGAAGACCAGCTATCATCGTCACCTTCGCCAAGATCGTCGTCTATGTGCAACACAACAAACAAATAAACACAATTATTTTTCTGATAATACAAAAAAAAAAAAAATGATGTTTTCAGCGTAAAAACAATTTTAAATCGTCAATTAAAAAGACAGCGCAAGTAATATACATTTGTGACGACAGTTGTAACTTGTAGGCAACTAAGTGCACACACAAAAACAAACATTATGATGAGTTACTTGTTCCCCATTAGTCATTACAAACAAATATATGCATTAGGTAACAATTGAAAAAAAACTATTGATACGATTGTAAGTTAAGAATACATTAACGGGTGTACGTCAAATGGAAAACGCATACCTTAAGGTAAGGTTCAAATATTGTTCGTCCAAAGTCTAAGCATGTGTGACTATCGTACTGCGAGTCAAAATTAATTTTGTAAAATTTCTCTTTAAACCTTAATGACCCAAACTTTAAACTCCAAGTACACAAATGTTCAAAATTTTTTTATTAAAAAATTATACATGTAAACAAAATGGTATGTTTTAGTAGATACTAATATATTATATGTCAATATAATCAAAACATATTAGTATGTTAATTAATTCCTTTATTTTTGTTGATAATAAATGTTGTCTGCGTTAAAATACGAAATGTATAATATTAATTATATTAGGTCTAATAATTCTACATTTTGTTATCTTTTACATAACAAAGTAATTTTAAGAACATATTATTGTATTACATATTTTTATATATTATTGTATACATAAGTTAGTAATAAGAGTTCTGAAAAATAATATTTTATTTTTGCGGTTACTCCTATTTGTATGATGTGTAAAGCGACAAAATTTCTTTGACATTATACTTTGTCTTTAAAACACATCAATGCCCGGTACTAATATCTGACCGTGTGAACATTAGGTATATTACTAAGTCATGTTATATCGAGAGCCGAAACATTTTAATAATGTATTCAATTTTGTTGTTTTGAAGTTACAAAATGTATACACCATGTACACATCCAAAAAACCATAATTATTGTTTATAATAATTTATCAGCTAATGATACCAGAGAGCGAGGGAGAGAAAGAAAGAGAGAGAGAATAAAAAACTAAAAACAGAGAGATATTAAGTTCTTGGAAGTGTAAAAACCAAAGACCCTATTAAATTTCTTTGGCAAAAGATGTTCCGTAGTTTTTTTTTCCAAGATAAAATCCATCAGATTGAATCGTTACTCTCTGGAAAACGACGAACGGCCATTGAATTCTATAATATTATATTGCTGATAATGATGACACGTATTATGCCAGTTATGTTACAATAATGTTATTCTATTAAATGCCATATTTATTTATTATTAATAACTGTGGACGTTAGTTATTTTGCGGCGGTGCAAGTATGTCTTTTCATTGCGGCGTTGGACTATTTAACGCGGTAAGTAGGTCGTTGTACAGTAAACCCATCGGCCGAACGCGGACTTTGTGCACCGCAGTCAAGGCTGACCAGAAAAAGCCGGAGGAACCGATCAACAACGCGCCGTTAAAGGATGAGGACAGGATATTCACGAACATCTACGGACAACGGCCGTGGAGCCTGAAGTGTGCGATGGAACGCGGCGACTGGTACAAAACCAAAGAGCTGATTCTGCGCGGACAAGATTGGATAATCGATGAGATAAAGGCGTCCGGCCTCCGTGGACGAGGTGGCGCTGGTTTTCCGACGGGCGTCAAGTGGAGTTTCATGAAGACGCCGCCGGACGGCCGGCCCAAGTACTTGGTCATCAACGCGGACGAAGGCGAACCCGGCACGTCCAAAGACAGACACATACTGCGGTACGAACCACACAAGCTGATCGAAGGTTGCGTACTGGCGGCCAGGGCAATGGGCTCGTCCACGGTGTACATATACGTGCGGGGCGAGTACTACACGGAGACCGTCAACTTGCAGCGTGCGATAGCCGAGGCGTACGCCGCAGGCCTGGTCGGGACTAACGCGTGCGGTTCGGGTTACGCAGTCGACATTTTCGTCCAACGTGGCGCCGGGGCGTACATATGCGGCGAAGAGACGGCACTGATCGAGTCGATCGAAGGCAAAGCCGGCAAGCCGAGGTTGAAGCCTCCGTTTCCGGCGGCCGTCGGTCTGTTCGGGTGTCCGACTACGGTTACCAACGTTGAAACTGTAGCGGTGGCACCGACTATATTGCGACGCGGTGGTCCTTGGTTCGCCGGGTTTGGTCGCAATAAGGACACGGGCACAAAACTGTTCTGTTTCTCGGGACACATCAACCAACAGTGTGTAGTCGAGGAGACTATGTCCATGCCGTTGAAAGAGCTCATAGAACGACACGCGGGCGGCGTGATGGGCGGCTGGGATAATTTAAAGGCCGTCATACCGGGCGGATCGTCCGTACCCATGCTCACACGTCACGACGCCTCAGACGTGCTTACTGACTACACGGGGCTATTGGCAGCCGGCAGCGGACTGGGCACCGGTGCGATCATTGTCATGAAGAACGACACCGACGTCATTAGAGCCGTGGCTCGGCTAAGTTTGTTCTACAAACGGGAGTCATGCGGCCAGTGTACGCCATGTCGGGAAGGCACCCACTGGCTGGTATCCATCATAGACAGGCTGGTCGTAGGAAACGCCAAGCCTGCCGAAATAGATATGCTTCTCGAGCTAACCAAACAAATGGAGGGCCGAACGATATGCGCTCTGGCAGACGCGGCCGCATGGCCTGTGCAAGGATTGATAAAGAACTTTAGACATGAAATCGAAGAACGCATCAAAATATATAACGACAAAAAAATGCTTCCTGAAAAAAATAAGTTGTCTTGTTCGTAAATCGACATTACATATATTTTATTATAGGCATTTTGCGTTAATAATAAAAAATAAACTTTATTTTGTGAATATAAATATTAAAAATTCAAAAGTAACATTAATTTCCGTATTCTATTAGTCGGAGTGAAACATTAAGTTTTAGTTAAATAAGTAATGAATTCGTATCACAAAATAATGGACGATTATTCAATATATTTATTATTAATATTATTAAGTAATGACATCTTATAAAAAGTTCTTTATACACTGTACAACACAATTTAAAAACAAAAATAATTTTTTAATTTTGTATACTGTTTCTTCATTTACGACCTTATAGGTCGATTTGACAACTCGTTTTAAGAGAGATAAAGTGCGGTTGAGTAATGCATGCAGATAAATATACTAGTACACCCCACCCTTCCTCTTAAAATTCCTCTTTAAAATCTAATAACTTTAAAAAAACTGATTTAAGACTGGTTATGGACCAGTTCAAAATGTCAGCAAATTAATCCTAATAAAAAAAAGTAATTAAATGTACCTACTTATTACCATTTAAGATTCAAAAGTTACACTCTTCTCCTACCCCCATCAATCTGACTTCCTACTGAAAATTTGTTTTTAAAACTTTAAATTATTGTTTTGATGAAAACAAAAAATGTATCAAATGTTATTTTTTTTAAAAAAATTTAAAAATTAAGTGATCAAAAGATTAGGTGTAAGAACTAAGATGTTTGAACGATCGTGAGACAAATATTTTTGAATGAATGTAACTGATAAAAATGTAGACAAGAAAATAGGGCAGCGTATATTATTATATTGCCAAGTAATTAGAGGCGATAGCAATAAACCTTGGATCGTAGGAGTGTCCAAAGAAAAATGCTAAGAGTAAATAGGATTGAGATAATTCGAGTATTACAAGAAAATGTACTCATCTTAAATTCCTAACTACGTAACATATTATTATTAATATAAAATGATATAGTTATGATGAATTGTTAATATTGTGTATTATTTGACATTGTATGATTAAAATACAGTAGTAGATAAGGTAAAACAGATTAGGACAAACCGAAAAAAAAATATGATCGGAGTTAACCGAGAAGGTTTTTCAGTTAATTAAGCCAGATGTTTTTATGGAATAATGTTGTATGTCGAAGGTGAAGATTATGGACTGTCCCGCATCAAATATTAAAGGAAAAGAGGCAAAGTAGAATAATAAATGACTTCCAACGATTTAGGATAAAACAGTTTTTCTAAATGTATATTGCCATAAATAACAATTATTTTTAACTGCGTTAATCGCAACCAATTGACAAGGTTGCGAGATCACGATTTGTATCATAAGTCGTTGATTATTCGTTATTATTACATTTGTATACTAATCCGCGCACTGCTTTGTATTCACAGCACAGTTTGCAATTGTTGCAATTTCATAGGATTTCCCATCGTTAAACTAAAATTATTTTTCATTTTTTTATTTTATCAACGTAGTGCATAAACATATAACTATGTACGCGTGGGCTTACGATGCATTGTTCTCGGAAATTACATTTTTAGTGTATGTTTTTTTATATTTTTTAAATTAATAATAAAACTCACATGAAAACACACACACTGTTTGGGTTTTTATAACTTTCATTTTTTTTTTATCATACATAATAATTTATCATAATTATTTGTATGTACCAATAACGGTTATTCCGCCAAACTAATTATTATACAAATGTTTATAGGAAACATTATGTAGAAACAAAACGGCTTTTCAAAGAATAAAATGATTATTATTTTTTTATTATTCATTTCTTGAATATATGTGTTAAGTGACGTAGTATATGAGTTTAGTGGCGTAGAATATTTAAGCTTTTAAAGTCCTATATTGCTTCGTGAATATGATAAACTGATTAATTTGGAATGCACAACACTTTATTGGTTCCATAAACCCTCATTGGAACACTGTGGTTAGAATTAATTATACTCAACAAATTATTTAGGAAAATCCTAACCGATTGCGACATAACGTCATCGAAACTGAGTTTATAAAACGCATAGAATAATTATGTAAAAAATCCTAATTTGTTTTTTTTTTTTTTGTAGTTAGTTATATCCGTTTCTACCGTCTGCGTTCTATTTTTAATTTACAAAATACCGTTTAACATTTTTTTTTTTAATCGACAACCTATAGTAAAACATATTATTCCACGTTGTCAAGTCATTGCAGTGGCAATCAAAACGCGGAGCATGTTGCCTCGGCCTAAGGTCATCTCATCATCACTGATCGCAGACCATGAACGCAACAATATTAATAATAATACCTACGAATTATTAACGTTAGTATATAATAATAATATAATATACGTTATATTAATACAGGTGATTTGTTTAAATGACCCCATACCGTAGGGTTTAATTAGTAATTACAATTTTTATTTCCGTAGTGTTTTGATCTCAATGAATCATAATTTTTAATGTTTATAAGTCCCCTCTAAAGTTAATGATTTTTACATAAACTTATAAAATTATAAATAATTAGATAGGTAGTTAATGTATAAGGTAACCCGTTTTTGTTTGGTCGGCGTTTACATTATACGGTACTTAACTGGAACCTATAAGGTCACCCATGAAGTTGTGATAAGATTGATTGACCAATAGGCAGTGATTACATAAGCTATATAAAATAATATTAGAAAAGATACGAACTCCCAAGTAGAATAAGTTAAGTTAGCATAATACTGGTCGACATTTCTCGAACTCTCTAATTCATTTTTTGTTACATTCTTCTAAATTAACATGCAAAACCATTTCGTTTAGAGTAATGAATTTATGTAATGTTATTTGTTCAGCCGAACAATATGTTTTCTGTACTTAAAAGTTGTACTCAGTCGTTGGGCGGTCAACCGACTAAAGAAAGAGATGGGCACCCGACTGGTGAGGAAAGGAAAGGTAAAACCACCGCACCATAAATCCCCGTACCCCCGGGATCTCGTTAAAAACAGGAGTTATCAAAACCTATCTATAAGTTTGTAGGAAAAAAATAAGATCACCACGTTGTTGCATGCCATTCAATCACGAAATGTTCCAGAAACTACTACTTCAGTGTATATTTTAAAGTGATGTTAGTATACAATAATGTATGTACCTATAGAATATGTACTATAGGTATAAGTTTCGTCCATTATCGTTAATAAGCTTAGCCCAGCCGCCCCGTAATTAAAAAAAACATCAACTAGTTTTTATCTGAAGTAAAAATAATAATTTTGAATTTAAATGCAAAAAATGTGTTTTGTTGTTTTGGTAATCGTATAATCTGTTATCTATACATTGTTTTTTTTAACTTGAAGAAAGTCTTCAAAGAAACGTTTTATTTTTTATTTACCCTATAAAACCACAAAGTTAAAATTATTTTTATGGTACAGTTTTACAGATAATAAACTATTATCCAGACAGAGTCAACGTTATGGTTTTGTAGAGTTGGTTTTGAACACTAAAAGCAATTTGAAAAAAAAAATGGTAATTTTAACTCTTATTGCGGCAAATCAAAATTGAAAATATTTTTAGAATACACAAACATTTAATTTCTATTTATAATATCATTAGTTATAATTTAATTTATTTATTGTATGATAATTATTAAAGATGAAATGTCCATGTAAATTTCTTATTACCAAATTTTATTGAGTGGATTTACCATCGTACATTTAATGGAATAATTTAAATATACTGTGATACACCGTGTAAATGTGTAAATAGAGATTTATATAAAATCATATAACTACCCGATTACCGAATCTTTCCCTAACAATACAAATATTAGTACTTGTAAGTGATCTTGGCAATTTATTTGCCGAACCAAATTATTGTTATATTATAGACTTTAGGTTTGCCGATCATGGCACGAAGACGGTGTTCGGTTATTTCGTTTAATGATCATAAAAAAACTGGCACGCAGTGAACGGCAACGGCGGCGGCGTTGGCGGCACAAGGAGTGGAATGAATTTAAAAACTGCAAGTAGTTGTAGTTTCCGTGAAACCAACTAACGGTAGTAATACACAGACTCCACTCTGCCCCGTTGCTTCTCTCGTTGGCCTCTTTCTATATAATACAGATACCGCAGCTCTCTTCCACAAACATTTTTTTATCTTTTTCTTTTTTTGCCCCGACCATAAACTACATTATTAGTTATTACTCACTCGCTTGCGCTCCGATGAACCAAGCTTGACAATAAATCGCGTACAGCTGTTCAAACAAACAGGTATACAATCCGTCGCGTTCGTCTAAGCTTTAGGCTGTTGTAGTAAAGCCATTATATTATTATATCAAGCATAATGTCTAAATTTTAAAAAAATAATCGATTTTGCATTATAATATATATATTGACAGCTATAATATGTAAACTGAATAAATAACAAAAGGTTTTCAGTGGATTTATATAATATAATATATTCAAAGCTTTGACCGAGTGGCAGAAAATGAGCCGGATGACCGTTTCATACCTATGACAATGTGTGATTTGCACACACATTAAACGGTTATATTTCGTAGAGAGTTGGCAAAAAATACAAAAAACCGAATGGGCCAGAAAATGCCTAAAAGGTTCCCAGGTGCAAACCCAAAAAAAAGGTCAGACTTTTAAAAACACCGGGTTATTGTCAACTCGTATTTATTATAGTTTGCATATAGGTAAATTTAAAATTAAAAATAACTCGTGTCTAAACATCAGAATCGTTACCCTTTCGAAAATTAAAATAACTTATGGAATTTATGAACAATATATAAATACTATATATTATATACATACTGATTCCCGGGCACCTTTAAAGTCTCAATCCGTGTGGGAAACTAATAAATGGCGATTTTATTTTCGAGGCAAGTACACGCCTCGAAGAAAATACATTTTTAATAAGTATTAAGACATACATTGACAGATTAATTAATCTCTACCTAACCTAACCACATTTTTAAATCCTGTTTTTCTCTTATAATCGTATACTACTAGAAGGTCAAGGACGCTTCGAAGTGCTACCAGTTATGAGCTAATATAATTACTCGATAAACAAAATATGACAGTTATTTTCTTTAACATCTGGATTTCGGCACTATGCATTTTACACTATCATCTTTCTGCTGGGTAAGCTCGAGTGGAGATGTTTTATTTAGCGGACTATGATTTCAGCTGAATACTACTCTAACAAGTTTCAGTTAATTTTTACACAATCATCAGTCTCAACTCGACTCGTCACCAAAATAGTCATCAAAATCATTTCTTAATTTTTAAGAAATTTATAATTGTTGCAGGTACATACTATTATATTTTAAATATTGATTTCGAGCCTTAATTTAAACTACACATATTTTCTTATGTAATATATTAATGTTTGGTAAAATGCCATTAGCACGAATACAATATATTTTTCAATATTAATACAATATTTCCAGTAAATCATTTTTTTCTACAAAAAATCGTTTAAAAATTTACGGGAATGGAATTATTATGTGTTAGACTTCAAATAAAAGAGAAGATACTGATGAACTAATAATGTGGTTGCGCTGCTAATTCGTTCGTTTAAAAATATATATCAGCAAATTTCCAAACGACTGGCCCGATTAACTAGGCCTATAATGACTGCTTGAGTGATTACAATTACGGAGGAATTCACCTCTAAACGTTTAATTCTTTTTTTTTTCCTAAACATTCTAACTCCCAAGTTTTAAGTTTTTCAATACGTTTTTGTATAATTACCTATCCCTTTCTCGCAAATTGATTAGCCGTCAATACATAAAACACAATCTCTCGTAATGATCAAATAATAAATCGTTACAATAATAAAGAAGAAATTGGACTTGGCCAGTCATTCGATTCAGAATAATTATAAATGACGCAGCTTCAACATTTCACTATATTCTTATTGTTTAAATAAAAAGCAGAAAACTTTATCAATAGACGGTTGAATAAACAGTACCGATACGGTACTGAGTTACCAGTTACATTTACGGTTTTTAAATAGGATTATCTCATTTTTTTTTTTTACAAAGATACCAGAGTTTTGTTTAACTTTGTATGGTATAAATTTCAATAGCAGACTCGGTGATTTCAATCGTGTCTATGTTCCGTTATCTCGGCCAACTTCTGGTAAGGACAAAGGAATTATTATTATTTGACCTGTGGCCGCAATTTTATATTCTAAGTGTGTGTTAACGCTCTTCATTTCCTTGTACGATAACTTTCACTAGTGTCTTTTCGTGTTTTAATGGAATAGATAATAAATACCTACATTGGACTTTTTTTTCGTCCGAACGTGTGCCACTACAGATCGCTATGATTAGAGACTGGTACAGTCGATGCCAAACGCCAAAGAAGAATGCGCGAAGAACGTAGTCGTTGCAGTCATCAATCATCGGACTCGAGTTAATAGCCACGACAACTTGTTAAAAATCTTCTATGTCAGTACTGAAATTGCATACCTACATTTTGAGTCCAGCCATCGTTTCCGGGCGAGTTGGCAATAACCCGCCGGTTTTTTTTTTTAAAGCCTGATACAATTATGTTTTTACTCTTTTCGGTATATCTAAGTCAAATAAAACCCTTTGAAAAGCCCGCTAGGTAAAGTGTTTTTTTGGTAACTGAAGCCGACTTGACACCCACGTCTTCTAGTGTGTTATAGAACTATTATGTCCTCGTGAGACAGAAGAGGTTCAACGCACTCGACGTTACAACAATATGATTGGACATGCGGTACGGCAACATTCACTATAATTTTGCTTAGTACTCGATATTATAAATATATATATATATATATATATACCTTATTATTGTATTATATGCACGCATAAACAAGCGTGTTGCGTTACTCTATCCGCAAGTACTCATACAGGTAATAATAATATTAATAAATGTTAAACGGCTACTATAATGGCTGTTTAACCGTTGTAGTGAGACAAACGAAATGGATTAATATAATTTAATTATAATACGACTAAAAAAGAAAATATTTTCAGAGCGCCTTTAATCAAGTAAATCGACTATATTTAGATTCCTCATACGGTCACTTTTTGTATTGTCACATTTTTTCACCTAGTATGTTACTATTATCAGCTACCCAAGTATGATATATTATTTAATAATTATCCTGCACAAAAAAGTATTGGAACAAAAATCATAATATATACATTTTAACACAGCAATTTATTCTTTTAATCGCCTTTAAGTTATAAACAACTTGCAGAATAAAAACCTAATTTAAGTAATATTTTTCAAACTGTACTAACACAAAACGAAAAAACCCTTAAATGAAGTGGCGAGAGCCCAAAGGGTATTAGTGACTGTCATAGAATTTTACAGGAGAGCAAAATAAAAATAATTACTTCCGTGAACTTAAGTTGGTGATATTTATCAGTACAAACTTTTAATTTATATTAGAATAGGATTTATAACAGAAATAGGATACATTGACAAATAACATAAAACCAAAAACTTGTTTTTAAATGTCACTTCAATATCCTTGGTTTTCAACACTTTATATTTTTAGGCGTTTAAGAGCAACTGTACAGCTCGTTTTCCTCATGGGCTTCACGTGGAAAATGAAAAATTGTCGCCAGTGGTTAGGTTTTTTGTCCATGTACGAACGGCAATGACACAAAACGCCAACAGAGAACGTCGTCAACCGTTTAAAATAATGAACGCCGCGCACCAACGACAGCGTTTGTTACAAATACACTTGTCCTTTGAGTTATATACAATAACAACAACAATAATATAATATAATATATATATATATATTGTATATTTATACGTGTGTAAAAATATATCATGTATAATATAATAGTTATTACCATTGTTGTCGTCGTCGTCTCCGTTGTAATAGTCCGCCTGATCAACGGAATCAAATGTGATATGATCGTTTTGTTGGCCGTGGTGGAGATGGCGGTGACCACCACTTCCACTACCTATGACTGTCGGTTGCTGGAGCCCGTACGCAGGAAGCCAGTGATTAGTTCCAGCAGTGTCAAGCTTTTCCGACCAGTCACTGAACGCGATATTTTCGGCCATAGTATCCACTGCACAGTAGTTAACGGCCTGCGAACAATAAACACACACACACACATATGAGTATTATAATATATTATAACCAAAACGATTATTTTTTAATACAATCTAACGAAATCTACTTCATAAACTATACGTAGTAAATACAAAAAAAATACAGCGGGTAATTAACAATCCACACATTTTTTTCTAATAATAATTGCAATTTTGTAATTTTTCTTTGTGATAACGATTTTGCTTATACTATACAATTTATCTATTTATTATTAGTGGCATTAAGTTCTGGTTATCATTATGGAGTATCTTAGGATAAGTCCTAATGGTGTCAACCATTTTCTCAAAAATTAGCTTTCAGCATAAGAAATAATATAATGTATTTTAAATAGTCAACGGCAGAACGCATTTAATAATGACGGTTTACTAAGGTATCTAGGATGTCTAGGAATCTAGTTCTGACGTAAAATCACCAGCGTACCACGATAGACGTCATTTACTGTGACGCAATGGAAGACAACAGATATCCTCGAGTAAAAATATAGTATGGTTATATTAGTTCAAACCTCATACGCGGAGCACACCACTTGCTATTTTTTTTTTAAAAAAGATTTATTACATTTTAATTTTTTCTTTTTACAATACTAGATCCTTTATGAAACGAAAATGCTAAAAATTAATCATTGAGAATTACCTCCATACCCAGAACGTTTACATTTTTTATCATCAAGTTAAAACCAATACTTTCTCAGCTATCGAAACTAAAAAACGTTATTGAGATTTTACAGTTTGTAAATAAAATGTTAATAACATACTTAGTAGAATTCAAATGTTTTAATAATTTTTATAGGTTTGTTAAAGAAATTGACTAGGTCATTTAATTTAGATACCTGGTTTTTTTGGTTTGTTTCGTAACATTATAAAAATACCGTGATCGGTGTTTTTTTTATAAATAGGTACTATTATTACTTTATAACAATATATAACAATACTTCAGTACGGCAAAGAGCTAAGGCTATATTGCATCATGCTGTAGTATAGGAAATGCATATATTACAATATTGTGTGTAAAATATGCGCGAAACAATGTTTCGAGTATTTACTTATATGTTTTATTGCGCTATAAAATCGAAATATGTACAACCGACAACGTATTATTTATTATACCAGGTCAAAGTGGTTCTTGAAATGCGATGGGACAAAAAAAACAGTAGCGGTAGAGAATTGTATTTTTATAACGAAAACATAATTAATACATATTTATTTTTATGCCGTATAGCACAAACAATTGATAAAATTAACGGTTAGTTAAAAATTAGTAGGTTAATTAGGGATAAATGAATAATTCTATGTTTTTGGTAATTAGGAATAGATTTTTAAAAATTCTCAAAGAACAACGTTCGTGTAAGCATTTAAAAAAAATCGCAATATTGACATAATAAATAAGTAAACAAAAAATGATTAGGGAACACTTGACTCAAGTAAATTCGATGATAAGAAAACATAACGAAATTTAATTGGTTATTAATTATTATTTAGAGTCTAGTATTGATTAATAAGTTTACTGCTATTAATCTGACACAATTGAAATATTTAATCGATTAAAGGGCACTGCGGTAAATATATTAACAAATAATAAAGCGGTTCTCACGGCCTAACATATTTAAACGGTTGTTGGACACGTCATAATTTCAATAAAATCGCACAGAGGAACTAGTGGGGTAAAATGCATTAAGCGTTCGTCAAAATAGTTCTTATACGCAAATTATTAGTAAATGTACCACTCCTCCGAGTAGGATGTCAACTTTAAACAAATTTTCGAATAAATAATAAAAGATTTGGTTTTACAGAAGAACTACAAAAACTAAAATTTAGGACGATTTAAAAAAATGTAAAACAAATACAACTAGCCCAGGTTAGATATCTAAACATTTGGTGGAAAAATATATTTTATGTACTGTATGTTGATAATTTGAATGTTCAAAATATTAATTTAAACAATTTTCTCTAGACTAGAACTGATAGAAGTTGCAAGTAAAAAACAAATTATAACAATAAAGTTTTATATCAGGAAATGCACGTGAACACTTGGCTGTCTTCTAAATCCGTTCCAGTTAAAAGATTACATTTTACATCAGAGTATGCAAAAAAACCTAAACCAAAAAATATAAAATTAACCAAAATATAAAACATTTTTTTTTATATAAAATCCGGATTGTTGCCAACTCTGTTTTATATGCTAGATTTTCAATTGTGGTTTTATTTTTGCAAGTCATAATGCATAATATCCGAAACATGCACATGACGTCTATACGATTCATTTAATTTCAAAGACTAAAGTTGATATCTAAGTACCAAATAAGCCATATGGATTGGTGTCGGCGGTAAGTATTTCAAAGAGATCATTATAGTTCGAAAGTGGTACCTTTTACATTTGAAACTGACAAATGACACTAATTACAAAAAAACGTTCCTATATAAGAAATAGTGAAATAAAGCGAAAATGAATCTTAATGCAATAAGATGAAATTCGAACCATGAATTGAAAGAAGCGAATATGGTTGAGAAACCGACAAAAAAAATCTACATTGCAATACCAACACTTTCCCTGACCGGTAACAAAAGTGGTTACAACGATTAAACAATATTATTTGGGGAACAATTTAGAAAAACTTAAGGTTTTTAAAAATACCAATGTGTTGTTAAAAGAAGAGGTACCTACCTAATATTTTATGACGACTTAAATTATTACAGTAATTATTGTTATATTGTTTATTGCTACATGGTCTTTGTTGGAATAAATAACATTATAATATATAGTATTGACTCAGTGTACTCATAAATCAATAAAAAAAAAAGATAAGTAATAAATTATTTCCTACCTTATAAACTTTTAAAATAAAATAATACGTCTTAAAAAATAGCACAGTACACACAATTTACATAACCTCTTGTTAATTTTTGTAACTTTCCTAAAATCAATTATTATTTATTGGAGTGGGTTTTATTCCCCTACTTATTAAGTTCTTCTACAATCCCCAAATCCTCTGTCTTATAACTTCTATCATATTAATAAGATACACAGGATGGAGGAAGTGATAAGAAGAATAAAATAAGAATAGAGAATTATAATCAAAGAGATAATCCGCCCTCAATACAATACTATAGAGATATAATACAAGACGATATTGATATTAATTACATTGATGAGTTTATATATTTTGTCTTCGTTCTGTGTGATATACAAAGCTTACTACGAGTCAGTGATTACCGGGAAAGGCGGATTTCGTAAGAGCAAGGTTAGATAGAATAAACTTAACATTAATGGATATTACATTAATTGAACACATTTACTAGTTATTACCGTTACAAATGACATAATGTATTTTTTTGATAGAATAAAAACAAGACGAAGAGATTTATTGAGTCCGACCATAACGAGTTACACGATTATTGTAAGTTGTATAATAATTTTAAATGTCAAAATTGCGATTACCCTATAAATAAAAGTGCGAACCTATAATTGACAAGATTCGTGTTACCATTAAGTTTACAAGGTGTCTCACGTTATGTTGACAATTTGACACAGAAAAATCATATTTATGCAAAATTGTTACACGACGTGAGACACCTAGTTCTTGTACATTACACAATCGAAGCTCAATGCTATAATTTTATTACCATGTCGCGGTTGTCAGTTTCAATAGTTAATTAAACCCATTTTTTTAATTATCAACCGTCCAATATTAAGTGCAACCATTGTATTCGCAGTAAACAGACCACCTGAGCTAGTTTATAAATAGTAAGGTTGGGATATTGAAACTGGAGATAGTAGAATCGAGTGAAAGTTTTCAAACAATACATATTCAGGTCGTGAGAACGTTTACTTTTTATACAATTTTTAATGTACATAGTAAAGGGAAGAATTTATTATTATAAAATCCAAGATCACTGTTTTTCTCTTTCAAAAAACTTTTTTTTAATGGAATTAAAAAAGCAAAATCGGTGTCTAAATAATTGTAAAAATCAATTGACAAAACAAACACCCAAACTCAACAGGTTTAATTTTTGTAGCAAATGTTTAGTATTTACCCGAAAATATGGGTTTTAAAAATACCGGAAAACCTTATTAACAAGATCGGATTTTTAAAACACTCGGGTTGCTTCTAACTGTAATTGATATATATGGTTTTTTTGTTTATAATAATAATATGCGATTTCTGGTTTACGTTAAAATAACCTAACCAGAGATAGAACCCTCTTCAAAAAAAAATAATTTTTACTACATTTTAAGTGGTCCCGAGTCGAAACACATTGCACTCAATAGCAGGTGTGGCCCCGGCTGTTGTTAGTTGAAACAGTGGGGTTGTTTTAATGTCTGCACGAATATTAGTTCAGAAAAATGTCCACTAGAATAATATAATAATATTATTATATTGGTAATAATGTATAGGTGTAATAAACACAATAATATAATAAAAACTACCGCATCAGCTGTCCCGTACGGACACAACAAACAAAATATAACCGACACTAATTATTAACGTATTTCGAGTAAATCGATTGAAAATATTTTATAGTAAAAAATATACGTCAGGCTCTGTACCTATTATTTATTTTATATAAATAAGAACGGCAATGGTAAATTGTCTGAAATAAAATTTAACTAAAAAAACATATTTTAAGTTTTTACGTTCAAAAAGAAAACCTAATGTTCTAATCGTTTTTCCATCATTTTCTCGAAGCAGATTATTAAATCCAATCACTTAAATACATTATATAATAGATCATTATAACTTAAATTTTAAACAATTTTTGTAGAGAAAGTTGTTGTTTTTTACACAATATGAAAGTAATAGTATGTATTTTGAGAATTAATAGTTTGCGAAAAAAAAATCGGGGAGTTTTTGTACGTCCAGCATTTTTTAGTATAGTAATTACCCAAAAATATGGGTTTTATAGTGTGTATTTTTAAAAAATTATTGTTACTGTAAAATAAAAATAAAAAATAATTTCTAAACCTGTGTATTAGCTCTATTATTATTCCGTAGGAAAAAATTATACTTAATAGTTGTATATTTACAGTTGGCGGGTAAACAAAAAAAAAATCTTAAGGGTTGATAAGACACATCGTACCTACAAATGTTCAATATTATTGTTTAACTATTGTTTGTTTAGATGTTTCTATTTCTATGTACTATATACATGGTGAATACTACCAGTGCCTGCGATTGCTTAGACAATAGGATATTGTTCATATTTCTAGTACAGAATCTAACCTAGTCACATCACCTAATACCTGTAGAAAAATGTAACGAAATAAGAATACGTTATGCTCAAAATCGGCGACAGTTATGACAAAAAATCCGTCAACTAATACAGAAAACAAATAAAAAAGTTTAACGAAACTTTTTGGCACGTCCGGTTGAGTTTACTACGGCGGTTAATCTGTCTCCAAAAACGAATTTAAACCTATAAATAATAATCAAACAGGACCAAAAAGTCGACTTAGCCAGACAAAAACACTTGAAAAATTAAGTAAACCGATAAAAAAAAACGTTTAGGTATGTAATATGAATGTAATTATGGGTGAAAAGGTACACGTTACTTACGTAGATAATGTTAATCGGCCGGTATACGCGGCTCTTCAGGTGAATATCCTGTTCATGTGTACATTCTTGTACCCCAGTTGAGGTCACTGTATCCCGCGAGCCATCGTCTGCCACACAAAGCACAAGGAAAACTTCCCGAGTTAAACTGCACAACAAAACAATAATTACACAAACCGACGAACAGGCCGTGGGAACGGCGAAACGGTCATTCGATTGTAATATTATAATATTATATTATATTTCGGCGTTTTTTGTTATTGGTTTACCGCCGTTCGCGGTACAGACGATTGCCGCCGCCGTTCTTCTTGCCGCACAACACAACACACACGGGACACGGGCCGCGCCAACCAATACCGAAAACAAAACACGAATGGACAACGTCGCCCCGGCAGTCGGTGTAAACCGGTCCTGGGCCATACGCTTTACAGTGATGCCAGATGGTCGCACGATAATTACCGTGCGCACCGCGTAAAGTGGGAGGTTGTACAATAATTTCAGCATGCAATACTTCATGTTAGGAACAAATGCCATTCAGTTTCCACTGATTTTTCAAAAATTGTTTTTTTATATTTATATGTTTAAATAATGTCGCGTCACGTCGCCGACAACATCTGCATGGTGCCGTATACTGTTATATACGAAAAAGTTCAAAGTTCAAGTAGCTATAACTTTTAAACTTGAGAAATCCGCGGATTTCTGGATATAAAATAAATTGCACCAAATAAGCGTGTCCAGTAAAGTATATTTGTTCCACACTTATTGCAAATAACTCAAAAAGTAATTACGCTAGGTACTTCTGATTTTACCAAAAACCATTTTTCATTTAAAAACAAGTATAATGAAAAAAAAGGTTAAAATATATTAATTTTTAAGTTATTGCGTTTTTAAAAAATAATTACGAAAATGAAGTCTTTGCTTATAACTTGAACAGTAAGCCTGACTCCACCATGGTTTTCATTGTAAAAAAATGCATATACTCCAAACAAAATTTTTAAAAAAAGCGACTGGGAACAATTGCATTTGTCCCAGAAATTACAATTTTAAATATTTCATTTTTTTAAAAATGTATAGACTGATTTATCGTAATGATAATTTGAATTTTATTTTTTTAATAAATAACAAACTGCATAAATTAATTATGAATTATAGATTTTTTATGTAAATAAAAAAACAAGTAAACAAAATACTCGTGTAATTAAGAGTATTAAATACTTTTAAATAAAATAAAGTGATACCTACACAATTATTATTAAATAATTTATTTCATATTTATATTGTTTTAATGGGATTGAAAGCGAACAGTTTTTAAGGGGTTTTATGTAGGCAATATTTAAGAAAAAAGTGGTTTAAATAAATTACGACCATGTCGATTTATTTTTAAGATAATTTGGATAAGCTTCAGAGTTCAGGGTATAATTTTAAATGTATACAATTTGTTCTACAAGTAAAAGCCATTTTTTTCTTACAAGAAATTAATTTAAACTTAAAAGCCTGACAAAACTACGCCTACTAAAGCGACCCATACACTACGATAAAACACGTCGGTCAAAACCGAAGTGTATGAACAAAAACCGACGACGAAACACCACAGCTTTTATATATGTATGGGCCCCTTTAAAATTATCGGATTTTAGTTTGGTAAAAATATTTAAGCTCGTCGACCTTTTTCCCAGGTTATTGTGGAAGTAGGTTTTTGAATAACTATTTCGTTTACTTAAAAAATAATAATAATGGGAATACTACAAATTTGAACAATTTGAGAAATTCAAGTAAGATTTAAACACAATTTTAATTGAAATATCAAAAATCGATCCCCACAATAACCTAGAAAAGAGGTCGGTTAACTCAAATATGTTTACAGAATTAAAATCGAACCACCATAAGTAGGCGTAATTTTGTCAGGCTTCTAGGTCTAAAACGTCCAATAAACAAACAACTTTCAATCCTCTTAATCGGTTTTCTTAATTATTTGACTACATTTTGTTTTACAGTTTTGATTTTTAATTAGATAGATAAAAAAAGCATATTTAAGAGATTATTTGTTAACATTTAAGATTAATTATCTTCTGTAATTTATATGGTGCCGTTATTTCTAGTGTTAGGTACTAATTAATAAAAAGGTCACGTTCAGGCAACTAAGTGGAAAGAAAATAATTGGATAGGGTTATAAGACAATGTCCTTAAACATGGAATGTTGTAGGAGTAATAGTGGATGAAGATATAAAAAGTAAAGTTGCAGACGTATTAGTAAAAACTAATAGAAATGTAGATTACCTAATAGCGGTGAAAATAATTTTAGAGGGAAAATTACTGAATGTAGTGAGTATTAATGCTCCACAATTAGGTTGTAAAGAAAGAAATAAGGTTTTAGCGAGACATGGAAAGTAGTGCATAAAAATAAAAAGAACGGTGGGAAAAGAAATCAGGATGAAATTACAGGAGACAAAGAAAAAAAATTATTTAGAAGAAATAAGGGCCATGGGGAATGTTGAGGGAAATATAAACAAGGTATGGAAAAGGATAGCTACTTGTGTAAACAGTACCACATAGGAGATTGTTGGGGAGAGTAGGAGTAATATGCTAGAAAACAAGGAAATGTGGTGGTGGAATAAAGAAGTTCAGATTTATAATAAGTAAGAAAAAATATTGAATTATCTTAAGTTTAAATTTTATTTAGTGATGTCTTCCTTAGTTTTGACATCTTATATCTAAGTCCTTGCCCAGGCCTAAACAGTGTAACCATTAGGTTACTTAGGTAATATATTAATATTACTGAACTCTTGTAAATATTCTTTGTCTATTCTTGTTCAACAAATATTTAGCTAATCACTTAAATAGGGTATTGTATCTTTAAAAAGAAAAACTAGTTTCGTTTCTCCTATTAAGAAGTTTGGAGGAAAAAATTCTGTATTGAATTATAGACCAATTCCTAATTTATCCTCTTTGTTTTAACTCTTGGAAAAACGAATTACTCCATACCTAACTTGTTCCTTTAAAAATGTTCTTAGTTTGAATCAGCATGGTTTCAGGATAGTTAGATCAAATGAATAATGATACTAATTCACTTTGCTTTTATACAGATTTAATCCAAACTGCTGAATCAGGATATCAGACTAATGTTATCTATACCGATATCAGCAAAGCTTTTGACTTAGTTAACCACTCTTTACTTCTCTCCAAATTATTTTCTTGCGGTATTTCGGATCCTTTATTGTCTTGTTCGATTCTTATCTCCGCGGTAGATCCCAGCAAGTCAAAGTTGATAGTCATCACTCATCTGCCAGTTCTGTCTAATCCTTTTTCAACTTCTGGTGTCGCCTAAGGCGGCCATATTTTCCCTCTATTTTTTTTTATTTTTTTAGCGGACATAAACTCTTGTTACCATTTTTTATTATTTACACTTTGCAGATGACTTAAAATTATATTCAACAATAACTTCGGACCTTGATTGTATTAAACTACAGGTTGACCTTATAAGGTTGGGTAATTTGTGCACAGTTAATAGTTTAAAAATTAATAATTCAAAATGTGTTAAAATTTCTTTTACTCGTTCAGAAAATAAAATTTGTTTTTATTATGCTATTTTCAATTAACGTCTATGTGAGGTGTCTACCTGTCTATGATTAAGGTATTATGTTACAAACAAATCTTTTGTTCACATCCCATATTGAACATGGAAAGTCAAAAGCTTCGAGGACTTTTGTTTTTATCTTTCGTAATACGAGTAATTCGTAGAGTTTGATAATACTTTATATTGCTTTGGTAAGGTTTATTATTGAGTATGGTTCCATTGTATGAATTCCAGCTCAAATTGGATTAATAGTATCACTGGAAAGAATTCAGAGACGTTCTTTGCTTTTTATTTATTTTAAAGAAACTATTCCAATATACATTCTAACATTCCATTATGTGATGTTCAAAATAGTTTAAATTTAGATTCCTTTTCTTGACGGAGAAAATATATTGATAATTCTTTTATCTTTAAACTTTTAAATGGCAAAATATTGTGTCCAGATTTATTAAAATTAGTCTCTTTTCGTGTTCTTCAATTCTATTCACGTTCTAGCCCTACTTTCTCCTTGCCTTTCCACATAACGTCGTATGGTTAGGTTTAAATAAATATGGTTTAAATAAAATAAAATAATATATAAGCTATGGCAGGAGAGAATATTGTATAAAGTACAAAAGTTTGTCTTAGGAATCTAAGAGCGTGGTAATCAAAGCGAAGTTAAATAACGAGTTGAGTAGTTCAAGTGGCTAGGAATAAGGGAAGGCGAAAAAGACTTTTATTTTAGCGGTTAATTATTCATTATTTTAATATATTCGTTATCAGTACTATACAACACTAACAAAAAAACGGTTGCAATAATTGAATAATAATAATAAAAATAATGGAATTTTAGAGCCAACTCCAAAATAAATGTACAACAATATTGTACCTAAATATAATACTGTATACCGTTATTAGGCGCATAGGATACAGTTTGTACCCCAATACTACTTAAATTCTCGATCATTCAAAATGGACTTTCAATTTTTTTTTGAAATTAATTTGTTCTTATTTTGAAACATATGGAAAACATTGATAACATGGGGATGTATCTCACGTGACTAACGGAGGGTTAAATATTTAATATAAAACGTATATTAAAAATATATGCAATATAATTTTATCCTTATTATTATTTAATTTATAACTTATAAGCCTTATAATTAGTGCAAAACGTCAACAAAGTATACCTATATTTATGTACTAGATTCTAGACATAGATATTTCCATAGAAATATCAATGTATCTTTCTGTCAAGAGGTGTATTAATTTTAATATATAGAAATGTAGAATTACAAATATTGATAACAGCATTGTAATGACAATAACTTGTGCGGAAAAACGGTGATAATATTTATTAGGATTATCAACATATATTGATAATACAAGGTCTAAAGAATATTACATTCAAATGTGGAACTCATTCCGCTTTCGACTATTTTTAGAAAAGCAATAATGCGTCATAATTTTAAGTTGAAAAATATGTAAATTTGTTGGGTACTTTTCTCGATTTTAAAGGGGAAATGATGAACTTTTTAAATTATTGGCCTATTAAAGTACCTTTCGTGTACGATTTCTGATTTACAAAGTTGATAGACCATACATGAAGAAATCGGTTAAGCGGTGTACAAGATAACGTGGGTCAAGTCACAAAAAGAAAATTATAAATAAAATCATATCACAGTAAAAACAATACCTACTCAGCTTAGCATCAAAGCAAAAATAACCATTAATTATTTTGCATCATAGTGAATTAATAGACTCATCTGCTGTAGTATCACATACTCAGGTTTGATTACTATGCAATTGTAAATTTGTACTAAACAAAATAGTAATAAGTATTAGGTTAATTTTTTTACCTCAAGTTATTATAAAAGAGTAAGGAGAGAAAATGAAGTCGTATACAAAATTGTTTACACCTTATTCTTTAATAAATATAAAGTGTGTGGTATCCTTACAAGAAATCTGCTATAGTGTTATACATAATAAATTATGGAACAAAAAAAAATTGATTTAAATTACAAATACAAATTCAATTGTAAAACATTGAATATATATCTCATACAGTCTCATCTCCAACTCAAAGCTAAAATTATAATAATTCTCGCCATAAAATAAAAACTCTCCTTAACTAACGAACTTAGGCTACTTGAGAACTTACCCTACAAATCCATGGTGTTGTATATAATATTTTTCAACACATAACATCATCATGTATTATATTCAGAATTTATATTATGTTGAATATATTTTCAACATAAATTTCAAATAAAACTTTTAAAAGAACAAAAAATAAACTAACAAAATACTTCTAATCATTTATTATTTATTTTTATACAATTTATATTTATTATTTTGAGTTGAAAATATATAGGATATTGGGTAAACACCAATTAATAATTGTTTTTGTTTTTAATTAAAAAATCTAAATTTAAATAACTCAACTCAAAATTATACAAAATATGACAATACGTAATATTTTTCATTAGTAATTATAAAATTATTTTAGGTTTAAAACACATTTTATTACATTTTTTTTTAAAATAAATTGAAATTGAAAATATTAACAGTAATATACTAATGTTATAATTATCAATTTAATAATAGGTCTAGTAAAACTAGGTATGGCTTATCAATTTACAAAAAAACATAAAAATTATAATTAATTATTTATATTGAATCCTTTAAAAATAATATTTAGCATGCTTCTTATATCTAATATTTAAGTAGGTTAATGTCTTTTAATATAATAACTGCATATAATTCTAATGCATAAGTCTCATATTGAACAACTATAGTTTTAAAATAATGAATGACTTTAATTGGGGTCTTTATTTTTTCATAATTAAATCGCCAACCGAAGAAAGGAGACAAGTCAATTTTTATCAATTTTGATTTTATTATCATTTTGTTCTAAGCACACATATATACATTATTTACTGTGGTCATGTCATACTTAGTCTTTCGTTTTTCAAGAACAATTAGAAAAAGTAAACTTGTCCCCTTCCTGCAGTTAGCGATTTAATTAGGAATCAATTAATTTGTATATCAATAATCATAAAGACAAGTTATAAATAGTAATAATTTTTAATTTTTAAACGACACCGGAAATTTCGAGTTTATAACTAAATACATTGAATTTTTACATACATATAAAATAAAATAAAAAAAATTTTAACCGCGATTTTAATTTAAAAAGGAAAAGAAAGGAGTACTAATATTTTATCATAAGACTAAATACAAAATTGGTTTAAAAGTCAGTTACAAAATTTAAAATAATAATTATACAATTTGAACTAGCCAATTTATTATATAAATATCATTTAAACTTCAGTTATTATTACTCTAAATTCTGAATTTTTTAAACTACGTGTCAACTTAGATATGATATTTTATTATTTTAAAATTGTATCGCCAAATCATTCAATTTAAGACAACTATTGGAGTACAATAGTACTTTGACCAATTTAATAAATAACTTAATTACTCAGTCTTTAATCAATAATGTTCTAAACAAGCGTGTTTTTAAAAATGTATTTTATACACAGAATGAGGTTTTTCGAGACACAATTAAATTGATCATATTTCACTTGACTTTGTGTTAAAATAATGTTTCTGTGTTCTGTTTATGAATGAACACAAAATATAATTAAAAACTACAAGTAATCTTTATCTATATACTTTTTAACGATTGACAGTCCTTAATAAAATAAGTCTTTTAACTTAAATCATACATTGTCATAATAAATTTTTAATTAAACATAATTTTTTCATACTAAATGGCGAACAAATAGCTATCATACTATGTATATAGTATAAATAATAAAACTAAGCATAATTTAGTATTTGTATTATAAAATAACTACTATTAAACTTATATTATATTATACAATTTCCATAATAAATTTATTTGGATAATACTCAAGTGACTTACTAGACTAGATGCTTAAATGTAATCTAAAAATACTGGTAAGATATCTAATCGACGTCTAAAAAGACAAATTACATAATGTGTAATCAAAAAAAAAGATCATGTTATGTGTAACGTATAAACATAATAGGTTGTTTTGGCTAAATAAAATACAGTATTAACTATTAACAGTCAGTATTATTACTATTCAAGTGAGTTAAATATTTTAACCCTGTACTATCCATTATATCTAGTCTAACAATATCAGTATAATTACATTTTCAACAAGCTAATGTTTTCCTATTCAGTTTTAACAAAAACTATTTAGTTTTTTCCTTTATATATATTTTACGTAACAATATTAAATCAAATTAAAAATTTGCAAAAAGTGTTGGTAAATAATTATTATCTATTGTGTGTACAATAGCACCAAGTATATGATAACCAATACACAGCTAACGTATAACCTAATTAGTAATTATAATAATAAATTATATTAAGTGTTAAAATAAAACCAATTAGTCCGATTTTGTAGCTACCACTTAATATGCATACTATTAGCTTTGATTTATTAATTTGTATTTTAATTTTTGAACTAAAATGTTTTGTAATTTAAAGTTAATTTATTAAATGTTGAAAATATGTGTATTTTAATTCTATCAATTGTTGTGTTAAAAATATAAGGTTATGATGAATTGGATTGAAATTCATCAAACATAATTAAGTTCTATGATGAGGTAAGCACATTTAGAAGTAAAAATAAATTAAATAAATAGCTAAATTACCTTAAAAAAACAAATTGACAATATAAATAAGATATAAAACAATTAGTCACATTTTATCATTTCCCCTCAATAAATTATAATAACTATAAGATGTGTATTATATTAATATTTATAATCTTATTATATGGCTATTGATTATATTTGTTACTATAGACACACAAGTTATGTTGTTTATCATAATAAAAATAAAATGAATGACTAAGTTATTACTAAAATTATTATTTTGCAGATGGCTAACTTTCATAAATGTAACAATATGAAATTTGTATTTTATAAATATGGCCAAATCTCGAAACAGTTATAGAAGTACATATTATACATGTACATAATACAATTATCACATTACAGTTGTCATCTATCCTAATTTTACTTACATACTGGTAAGTAGTTATTAAATCACACTTGTCGTTCTTGTTCGAAACTATAATTGTACTAAAATAAACAAACAACAAATTTATCAATATTTAAATTAAATTAATATCTATCGATTAAACATAATAGCAATATACATTACTTGTAAATCAAGATCCTCCAAAGTTTTGACTTTAATTTCAGGTATATTCTAAAATGTTATTTAAAACACATTTTTAATATAAAAGTATTTAGTAACACTATTATTTTACATTACCTTTAAACTGTACTTGTTATCGACAACAAAGTTTGGGTTCAATACAAACGGAATTCCTTCTAGCCCTAAAAAAAATAATAATAATAAATTCACATTTATACTATTGATATTTCAAATCAGTAACCTTGTAAAGAGTTTAATGTGGAATAATTGGAAGACGAGTATGTTGGTGTTGGTAATTTCGGTGCTGGTCGAGTAGGTTTTAGTGATAAAAGACGATCATAATCATGTGTCAATGAATTTGCACTCATATCCAAACTAGGGTACGACTCTAAAGAACCATTACCGTTGGGGAGGTTTTCTGTAGCTTGGGATGGTGCTAACCTAAAAGAATTTTTTACAACCAATGAAAACTTATTATAATACTTTTCTCATAAAATTCAATTAGTTCAAAGTACCCGTATGATAAAGGCGACAGCGGAACATTGACTGGTGATTGAGAACTAGTCTTGTAACAAAGTGTTAAGCCGTTTAAGTCCCTAAAACAATTTAAAAACTTTAAAATACTATTATTTAATTTAAAATAAATAAAATACATACCCAACATAGTTGAAGCCGTCTGGAGCTTTCTTTGATCGGCTTAACAATATAATATCAGTTATTGCATGTGATGCCAAATTTCTCCTGGACAATTTGTAACATAGTTGACGTTTTCGCCAAGCTTTTTGATCTATACATATCGTTTTTTCAGGATATTTTTTAAAAATGTTCTACAAATGCTTCCTTACCGTTGTCTATAGTTCTAGAGATTAAACAATAGCCGTCCGGGGGACCTTCTTTTTCATTGATCAAGACAATATTGACCACTATGTAATCCGATATACCTTCTGTTTTTGATATACACAAATATCTCGTAATTTTGCGACCAATAAAAACTGATTCCTTCCACGACTGCAAATGCAAATCGGCATCAGAATCTTGATCATGAGTTTTTAGTATCTAAAAATATTATTAAAAATAAATCAAATATTTAGAAAAAACATTCAGAACACTTGTGGTTATATATTATAAAATATTTAAATAAACCCATAATCACAAAAAAAAATCCTCTATAGCTTATACTACAGACTGAGTATGCGCCGATGATGGTAACATTGGGGACAAATTTGCCAAATAGATTAAGGTGGCGGTGCCATCGCACACTGTCACCTGATCGAATACAGCCACGGGCAGTCTTGCACACTAGTCAGAGCAACTTGGTTATGAGAAGACACTGCCATCCCCCCGCTTACTCATGGCAGAATTTTAAAATGTGCAATTTTTTCCATTTTGCAACAAATTATACTAGCTTATGTATAATTAATAAACTAAAAATTGGTACATTGGTGTAAAATATATAGTTTGGATTTTTTAATTTTACTACCAGTTTTTGTATATGTAGACAGACCATAAACAAAATATTTGTTTAGTTCATTAGCTTTAAAAAACAAAAAGTAACTAACAAAAAAGTTACAAAAAACTGAACTTTTTACTTTTTTAGAAGTTAATGCCCAGCCTTGAATATTAGCATTGAATTTGTTGTAAAACCGCTTAGACTGAAGGTTAATAAGATTACCGTAATTTTTGTAAATAGTATTTACAAAATAAACTGCTTTTTACAAATTGTAAATAGTTAAAAGAAATATTTTTATTTATATCATAATGTTTTCTGATAATTGATGACTAATGAATTAACATTAGTTATATAATATAGATGATGCAAGCAAAATAAAAGACAAATCATCAAACTTACAGGACTATAACCAGCAGGACATTTTGAGACGTCTTCCACAACACACAAAGCAGATATAGGTTTATTGTCTGGAAACGATTTAATTACTTGTTTGATCATTTTCACTAATTATTTAATAAATGTATATATTAATGAAGTTTTTCAATTATAACAGCTCGCGTCTTCTTAGTTCTTATGATAATTAAATCTTTTTAGGTAAATGTAAATAATAAAATTAATAAATAATAAAAAATAAAATATATAATACGGACGTCTGTAATGTGTTGTGTAGTATAATTAATAATTACTAAATAAAATACTGTAGTTTGTACAGTATAAGAATATCAACAATGAGAATGAAACTTTATTGATATTGGATAGTCGATAGAGGGGAGAATGTCTAGGGCGACAGGATGATGATGTTATCTTCGTGACAAAATAAACAGGTATGTCTACAACTTGTGTTATCAATTTTTACAATATGGTAGCCGGTAATCTTTCGTAAGAAACGCTCGGCCGCCGACAAAACCGGCAGCCATATTGTGATTATCACAAGTTTCCGATGTACCTATATTTACTTCATCGTGGATAACGCCATAATATTGTTGTCAAAAGATAACCGTCGGTGATAACTTGTGTCAAGAACTCTTAATAATATGAATTATGTTATGGTTTTTTTTCTTAATAAAATGATTTAACAATGATTGCCAGTTCTAAGTGTAACCTGTTGATCCACTTATTATAATTTGTATTTTATTAACTGAAAATAATTTATTTATTTATTTTAATCGTGAATGCCATCAACACCATAGACTAAAGTCTAATTGTTTAATCTAATGGTGTGTATTTAGTAATATGGGGAATACTGCAAGCTTAAAAAACCATATAGAAACATCCAAAAAAACAGGTGTGTTAAATTTATCAGATAATCATCTCAAACAATATCCGGACACCATTGACGTATTACATCCATTTTTAAGAACATTGGACTTGTCGAAAAATAAACTCAAAACATTACCCAAAACTGTGGGTCATTTTAAAGAGTTGAAAATATTGAACGTTAGCAATAATTCACTAGAATATTTACCGAGTGAAATAAATTGCTTGATAAAACTTGAAACGCTACAAGCCAGTTACAATATTTTAAAAACGCTTCCTATGTTTACTAATCTGTCAAATCTGAAGCGTGTGTCCCTCGAAGATAACCAACTTACTGAGTTTCCAGAATTTTTGTGTCAATTAAAGCATTTGGAAGCATTGGATTTGTCGAAAAACAAAATTACTCAAGTACCTGAATGCATTAAAGAGTCAAGGTTAGTAGAACTCAACCTCAACCAAAATCAAATAAGAAAATTGCCAACTACTCTTGCTGAATGTACAAGATTAAAGACGTTAAGAATAGAAGAAAATTGTTTGGAGCTTGTCGATATACCCAAAGAATTGTTAACATCATCTAAAATTTCATTGTTATGTACTGATGGAAATTTATTTGACATGAAGACATTAATGGCACTCGAAGAATATAGTATTTATATGGCCAGATACACAGAAGTGAAAAAAAAAATGTTTTAACGTTGTATTTTACCATTTTTTTTTTTTTTTAACTTATGTAACTGGTTTTATTTTATATGTAACATTTTTTTCATAACAGTATGTAAGTATTCTAATTCAATATTAAAAATATTTATGCACAATTTATTTTTTTGTATTAAACAAACACGCTTGTTATGTACCTACTCGTGTATTTAATTATTATGTTTATTTATTGTTACAACATTTTATTAAGTCTAAGCCACCATTTGTATTTTATTATTGTTTAAATTTATTTATTAATTGTTCATATAGAATTTGTGTTTCATTATTGACATCTCTTAATAATATTATATTTTTAAACATAAATAATAACATTATTTTTTATTAATTATTATTCTTAGGAATAATAATTTTAAAAAAATCAACTTAAAAGTTGTATGAAAAAAAAAAATATATATATATATAAATACGAGAATACTGCATAACTCGTAGCACATTTCAATTTAATTTTTGCGTGTTATACTTATTATAGTAATTAACCTATGATGTAAAACGTTTTTATATATTATTTGAATTATTTTTCTGTTTTGTCCACAGAAAATAAATAATAATAAAAGCTTCAAAATACTAATGGGCTGCTTTAGTCAATAACACTATAATAATACCTTGTACATACTAACCTACATCTAACGTCTCCATAAATCAATATTTATACTCTCTGTATAGATCAAACACTCAAGCCACTTGAGTACTTTATAATTTAGCCCATTAGGAAAAAAAACCCTGTGTGGTCTCAGAAAAGAAATTTGACTACAGATTTTTGAAAATAGTTTGTGTGTTATTACTTACTAGGGCCACACTAGATTTACTTTCAGTTTAATTTTCAGACCTAAAGTTTTAATACCATAAAATAAAAAGGCGAAATAAAGAAAAAGTCTACCCTTATGAGAGGAAAGGGTTAATGATATTTTCTTGATTTGTCACTGCATATTGGTAGTACTAATCTACTTATTTAAATCTAGGAAAAGATCAAAGAAAAAACGTATATTTTATAACTTGATAACTTATTTATTTGTTAATAATTTTATAAATAATATAACGCTTTGATGCTAAAATAAAATATAAATAAACACAAATGTTAGCAGCAGTCGGCGATGTGACGCGGGTAGAGCAAACTAGGCAAAGAAGTGGGCAGTAGAAAACTAGGTGACACAATTTTTCCTAGCACATTTGAAATGTACTGGCGAGAAGTTTTATTTATTTAAAAACCCTTTTATTATTCTGTCAAACCAATTTACATGTGAGAATGTGTTTTTTTATTATTTTCATTTGACTTTATGAGAAGACAAATCTTTAATGGATCCTAGTGACTCGGTTAGGTTAGGTGACACCGCTGACACGTGTATGAAAACCCCGTGGACACTTGTCATGCAGTGAGAGCAGAAATGCATACCATAATGGTCAATGAGCCTTTCTTGACTTAATAAGTTGAGATAGGTAAGTATGGGCACATACCCGCTAGAAAATAGCAGATCGGCCTCCTAATGACTAATCCCCAGTGTCAAGCTAGAGGGCATCCTCCGGATTAACTTATAATACATCTTTAATTTTTTGTTTCAGACTCGTTTAATATTTCGTTTATATCTCACTTTGGTATTCATCTCTAAAACCTTCATTCCTATCTTTTTTCTTCTTCAAACACCATGTTTTTTTTGCAGTCGTTTTATAAATCACTTAAGAGTTAAAAGCGGCATTTAGCTTTCCAGTTTTATAATGCGACAATAATACGTATGGCTGCAAATAATTTAAACCCTAGTTAAATATCAGTAATATTTGAGGAAATTGAATTGAATGATAAATATATCTATAATTAATTACTCCATTAGCTGGATATTTTCTATTCACTCGAGTGTCATTACTGTTCGTTTGAAAACGACCGTGAACACGATCAATTATTATTTCTGTATAATGGTTCGCAAACACATTTGTACACATTATAATCTTGGGACCATTAGGTCTCATTCAAAAGAGTGTAACGCCAATTCAGGTAATCAAATATAGGCGCAATCGTCATGTTAAGGTAATTAAGAAGGTAAACCTGACACGGCTTACCTCGATCCCTTAAAAGCTACGAGTCAAAATATTGTATTCTACGTTTATTTATAATGATTTAGTATTAATAATTTAAATAGAACCTGTTTGCGGAACATTCATAATTTTGTTATTTCGTTTTTTAAAAGTAATTTCTATACCTAATCTTAATACTTGTATTATATTATAATAATTCGATTTTAGTGGATTAAATAAATCTTATTTGGATAAGATCCTTCCTGCCGAATTTATCATGACGTTCGATAATTTTGATAAATAAGTGTGACATTTTAAAAACGAAAAAGAATATTTTGATTTATAAATTGTACAAGTAGTTGTTAATATGAAATATCCACTGAAAAACTTCCGGCTTCCCCCCCCCCCCGCATAACCCGTCACACTATTCATACTTAAATAATTAAAATAAAAACTTTTAATTCTTTCAAATATCCCTTATATTTTTATAGAATATAGTAGTATTTGACAATTGACGGTATTTATTGTACTGTAATTAAGTTTTTCTAATAACCTACAAATATGGTTTTTTAACTATAGCAGACTAGCGCTCAACGTTAAGGTGTTAAATTCCGTAAACGTTTTTATGCAGAATTGTCGAGTTAGTGAGAGAAAAGTGGAGTTAACTGACCTTATCAGCTGCAGTCGAAGGCCGTGTTTTTTAGTATTTCCATGACGGAAATCTGTTATCATAAATTACTAGCTTCGGGTAGATTTACTACGATACCGGCATGGCACAAATTATTCTACTCTCAGCACATTACAATTAATTTAATCGAAAAAACCTTAGTCAAGTATTGGATATAACATGTCATCTCGAATATCTTCGGTTTCATGTCTTAAGTATTTGAATAGGCGTAAACCCTTTAAAAAGATGTACGTATAAATTTAATATAGTAATTTATGTGACAACATGAGCCTGTGATAAATCAATCATAATGTTCTAAACTGTTATAATTGTAAGATAAAAATTAACGCTTTTGAATTTGACCAAAGTTACTAGGTGTGCAACTCGACAAAAAAAAAAAGTGTGAACAATTATTTATATTACCTATTAAGTCATTCCCAATTTAATTGGTTGCATCCTTTGTGGATTTGGTCCATTTTGCTATGTTTAGTAGTAAGCAAAATGTGCTATAATATTTGGACCTGAGCTTTTAGGTACTACTGTGTTTGGTGTGTATACATTTATATCTTAGTTAGACCGGGCTTAGATGTTTCTCTACATAAATGTGCTGATTGTTTTTTGGCAAAAATTAATAAGTGTATTACTAATTTTTTTTAGAAATGCTTCATGCAAGTTTTCATCAGACGTTCAAAAGACTGATTCTTTCAAGCAGCCACCACTTACAGAACCATTGCCAAACCTTCCCAACGTAATTTATAGTAAAAAAAATTTTAAATCTGAGAAAACGGAGCTTACTAAATTGTCAAATGGAATAAGAGTGGCTACTGAAGCTTCGCATGGTGAATTCTGTACTGTTGGAGGTATAATATATAACAACATATTATGATTTAAAAACAGAAATTGTTTGTATTTATTATATTATGCTTGTATTCCATATTATTAGTGGCAATAAGTTCTGGATGCCGTTATGAAGTACCTTACCCTAATGGTATCAACCATTTTCTCGAAAAATTAGCTTTCAGTGTAAGAATATAATTTATTATATTAAAATGTATATGACATGCTATTAACATTCTTTTTCTTTTTCATATCAGACAACTGTAAATTTTCCTGGTGATAATCAAATAGTGGATGAAATTGAAAAATATAATGGATTATGTGATGCACAATGTTCCAGGTATAGTTGAATTTATTATAATAAGACTTTTGGAATTAATTTATTATCACTCTTCATTAGAGACGTTGCAATGTATGCTGCAAGTTTTAATAGAAAGCACGTGGATGAGATGATTAAAGTCTTGGCAGATGTAGTATTACGATCTAGAATGACAGATGAAGAGGTAATTAATTTTAATATTGTGATTAACTTTTTAAAATTACACTAAATCACCCATTTCTCACACAATCCATCCCATGTTAACTTTAAACATTAATAACTAAAAGTAATTTTTGAAAATTAATAATCAAACAGGTACATTTTTAGTACTTAAATTATTTTTGATTAATAAAGTTAACCAAATTTATAATATGTTCCCATTTTTGTTTCTAAAGTTGATTTGAATTTTATAAATACCTTAAAAGTTAAATTTACACACTAGCTAACCGAACTCCCAACTGCAATGTTAATGTCTCACACCTGAATGTTGTAGCAACCTATACATAAAAGGTTTGTCAACCAGTGTGCAACATTCAGCTGTAACATATTTACTACTATTTATTTAAAATTGTATGCCTTGTAGTAAATTTATTTTATTTTGTATTGGTCATTTTAGAGTTTAATCTTTTAATTGTTGAAAACGTTTATAGATATCGTCTGCTAGGAAAATGATCCAATTTGAACATGATACACTAAAGTTAAGACCCGAACAAGACGTACTTCTAGAAAATCTAGTCCATATGGTACTTTATCACTATTACTATAGTTTTAAAAAACCATATAGTTATATTTGGCAATTTAATTTATTGTAATTTATTCTTAGGCGGCTTTTAAATGCAATACATTAGGTATGTCTAAACTATGTCCACCTGAAAATATTCCAAAAATTGACCGCCAAATCCTTCTAACATATATGAAAAATCATTACGAACCTGAAAGAATTGTTGTTGGTGGTGTCGGCGTCAACCATGAAAAGCTGGTCGATAGTGTTCAAAAGTAATTATATATAAATTTTAAAATATATATATTTTTTATAATACATTGTACTTATTGTTTGTTAGATACTTTGTAGATCAAAAACCAATTTGGAACAATGAAAAACTAGATACAATCACTGTTGACAATTCCATACCACAGTATACAGGCGGAATAATTATGGTTCGTATCTTTATGAAAATTCCATTTATGCAGGCATGAGTTAAGCAGACGATTAACCTGAAGTGCATGCTAAGCGGCACTACATACCTTATTTTGTCATGATTTTGTATAGGGGTTAAATATGTGTGTATATAAGAGTTAAAAAAAAAAACGTACAGTGAAATCTGTCAAAACAGAATAATACAGGAACATACACAAAATATGTATTACTCAGTTTTCAGTTTTTTCAGCATCCGTCTTGGTAATAGTCAGTAACTTAATATGACAGGTTTCACCGTGCTTGAAATTTGTAAAAAAAATATTTATTTTTTAACCATAATAAAACCAAATTATTTTTTTACATTCTAAATGAAATTTTTTACTATGACACTTCGCTACTTTATTTACGAATAAACTTAAACGAGATTAACACAACATTTTTTTAAAAAGGACGCATGTGAAATTCCACCATTTCCGGGTCCATCTGGTTTGGCAGTTTTGTCGCACTTGGTAGTTGGTCTTGAATCTGTACCAATGATAAAAAATCAACAAGATTTTATCGCATCTTGCGTAATAAATATTATAATGGGAGGCGGTGGAGCGTTTAGTGCTGGAGGTCCCGGTAAAGGAATGTACACCAGACTATATAGAAATGTATTAAATAGGTAATTATTCTATAATATTTATATTTCAAAAACAAATTCTAAAATATATATTTTTTTTTTAATAGGTATGGTTGGCTATTTAGTGCAACTGCTTACAATTATGCTTATGTTGACAGTGGATTATTCTGCATTCACGCGAGTACAGAACCAAAATATGTTAGTGAAATGGTTAAAGTCATCGTGTCAGAAATGGTCAACATGGCCGGTAGTATTCAAAGGGAAGAATTTTCCGTAAGTCTAAAATCAGTGGTGTAGTCGTCCTAAGCGTATAAGTTGTGTGTACCTAGCTCCCACTTTTTTATGTATTGGCGTGTACTCTCGCATAAAAATCATTTACTCTATCCGGTAGGTTATTTTTTAAATTAATATGTGCATACTTAGAAAAGTGGGAGGGGGTACCCCCCACAGCATATACCCAGCAACTTCACCACTGTCTAAAGTTATAAATTAGGTTTTGGTTCTATTATAATAAAATCAACATTTAATATACAAATAGAGAGCAAAAAAACAATTACAATCTTTGTTGTTAATGAATTTGGAAGCGCGCCCAATAATATTTGAAGATATGGTAAGACAAGTGTTGGCAAGTGGCTATAGGAAACGACCAGAAGAACTCCTCCAAGACATTGGTGAGTCTTATTTTAATACACCTCAACAGATATATTTTTATTATATATTCATGAAATTATATTAATGCATTTTAGAAAATGTTACTGAAGAAGACATCATAAAAGTGGCCAAACAAATGTTGGATACTCCTATTACCGTTGTTGCACGTGGGGATATTTCAAGACTGCCACCAATAGAACAAATTCAGGAGCTGCTTACTCTTAAACCTCAAGGAAAATTTTTCGGTCGCTTTTAAATTGCTTAACCATTTATAAACTCTGTTGGAACACGACTATATTATAGTTTTTTTGTCTAGACTCTGAATGTTATATGAATACAATGTGCATTAAATTCTAATAATGTTAAAATAAAATGTAAATTTACTATTTTCGTGTTTAATACAAATTTTATCCCTTAAAGAAAGATGTTGATAAAACCATTTTATAGTTATTAGGTTTTGCCGTGTCTTTCTTTTGTTTAAAAATTTGTGGATATAGAAAAATATTTAAGTTTTTAACAATGCATTAATTTGGTCTGGTTTCCTTTTTTATAAACAAAAATGCAGCTGTCATCTTTTTGTGAGCATATCAGCTTAGTATTATAACCAAGCAATATTATTCTTGTTGTGTATATGTTTGTTATATATAAATATAGCCAATGAGAAAGTAGCCATCGCGTATTTGTTTACATTTGAAGTAACTTTTGTTTTCATCTATTCTGTGATTTTACACACCCGCATCAAAGAAATAAGTTTTACAATTGTGTGTTTTTAATTTTATGTGGCTTGACCACGATGTATTCTAAACTACCTAACCGATTTTTATTACAATTAGAACCCGAAGGTAATTCTTGTAGGCTAAAAGCTAAAAAAGCCTCCACTTTCATTCAAAATAGGAAAAATTACATATATTTTCTATTTAGTATTATGGCACGCTATAAACTGGAAAAATAGTCAAGTTAATACTCTTAAACTTGTGTGGGATATTCATTAGCTCTACTTAAAAAGAAATTTATTTTGACTCCATCCCCTGGTGAGTTTTTTAAATAATGATAGTTTTTTTAAAAAATATATACATTTTTGTTAGTTTTTTTAATATTTATTAAACATTTTCAATCATTCAGTCTCAATGTTCAGAAGAACATATAAATGTATTTTTTTTATTAAGATATTGATATGTATGATATTTAATTGTCTTAAGGACCTGTTTAATTGACCTGGCAAAAAATGGCCGAACAAAATTCTGAATTTTTCTCAAGACAATCAAGTAATCATTATTTTGTGCAGTTCATTTTTGATTATAATATAATTTTATTATAATATGTAATAATAGGCTATTTTCTCACAGATTATTTAGTTTTTGCGCCTTATATTGCATGCATACAATATACATAATTTAGCAATAAATTGCCTATGCATTTGCCTTACTATAACCCAACATTGTTCAACTATGTTTATTAAGAACTAAGAAAAATGTTAATGAAGGTTGTGATTTCGATGTACAATTATGTATAAACAATATAACAGATAAAAAAAAATGTACGACTCAACGTCATCCTCGTACTATTTGTTCATTATTTTCATAAATCATTATTATCGTTAATATGTAAGTATTTATAGAATCCATTAAAAATCCTGCATTACTATGAAATTACTATGAATTAGTAACCAATATACTATAAGAATTAAGATGTAGATGTTAAGTTTATAGAGGTTGAAGGTAAATATAGCTCGAACACATAGATGAAAAAATCAATAATCCACCGTTGGAAAACCTACACCTTCACAGTTCCATGAAGTCGTAAACATTAATAAATTAAGAAGAGAAAATATTATTCTGTTGGCGTTTTAATGTCAAACATTTCAGTCGACATAAAAATTTAAAAAATACCTAACAACGCGCTTTTCGACGGCACTGCTACCATTAACCAAATGAAATCACATGACAACATTCACTTAATTATATAAAAAATATTTAAAAATTAAAATAATATCATGATTTCATGTTTTTTCCGAAACCGCTGAATTTTTAAATCTATTCTCGTAAAAATAATCAATACGTTAATACTTAATAATATTTTTTCCTGAGCAATTTGCAAACGATTGAATTTGCATGAAAAAAAATCATTGAGTATTACTGCGCATTACATGAACCAATCAATTGTCTTTTTGTAAAATACTTTGAAGTGTAAATTGTGACATTCGATATTTTTATATGGGGCTTTTTTTTAGGGGGAGGGGAGATAGATGCTCAAAAATTAACGCATAAATATGTTATTACAAAAAAAATAACGATGTCATAGCTTTTTTTCCAGTAGACACAGCTAGTCTTAATGATAATCATGATGATTTACCTATTTTAAAATGACTTCTTATTATAACACTTGGGCTAATACTCTCCATTTCGTTTAGCCGGTACTTAGGTATTATAACACATCCGCTTCGAAACTGGTGACGCGACGATCCGGTCTGCATATAGGTACATACTTACATACATATATGTATAATACAATTATTGTGTACAATGTACATAAAGGTATAATATATTGGTTGGCAGTGCACAGTCTACAGATATCGAAAGTGGTCTTACCTATGTGTGCAGCATCGTATGCCCACTTGTCAGCATATAGTAGCAACGGCAGCGACCAAGAAACAAATTTCTCCTTCTACCAAAGTCTTCACACGACCCAACGCGCCATCAGTATCAAGTATAATCGTGCACGAAGTGTATTAGCCGTATCGTCACAGCGCTTTTGTGGGTATCGCTCCACCGTGGGTAGTTTTTGTAGTTTTAAAAAAATAATAACATATAGCACAAGCGCGATTCAACTGTGTATTATTTTTTATTTTTTTTTGTCAATTTTAAACATTTCTTTTAACAACACAAAGTTGTCAATAATATCACGCCAATATGAATATTTGGACAGATACGAAGAATCTGATATCCTTTCTAACGCTGTTTGTGTGCTTTTTTTCGACACAAAGTCAAACAATCACTTCCAGAACAGCGCATAAAATCAACAACGAGCAACCAGGTAAATTCTTTAATTATGTATAACTATTTTCGTATCTTTGTTTTAGAGTAACAAATAATAATACTGAAAATTTTATAAAAAAAATCGTAGAGTTAGCGTTTACCAATTACAAATTAATTTCAAAATTCTGCCATAAAAATGTATAATGTAGAAAAAATACAATAAAAATCAAAATGGTTTAAAGACTTGGACGCTTTTTTATTATTATTAAAAATACAAAATTAAAGCACTGCATACATTTAAAAAGCAAGTGCATACATTCCTATATTGTGTTATTACTTATTTTTAGCATTTCTAAAAATAGTAAGTACATATTTTTAACCGGCAATTTTCGAATTATAGGTAGGTAGAACCTTGAAATTCGGTTTATGGACTTACATAATATTACACGTATAACGTAATATATTTATATAATAAATACTGTGTGTAAAATAAATGTATGTAAATTAATAACAGACTGGTTCATTTAATAGTAATAAACATAATAAAAGCAATTAAACTTTTTGGTTATATTAACTTGGATATTATTTTTTAACTAGCTGGATAATCAACTACTTAACTTAATTATATATAACTATGTGATCAAACTTTAACACAACTTTAATTTGTGAATAATATTAAGTTTAATTTAATGAAATAAATGAGAACAAATCTCAAAAGAGATTTTATTTGCTCAGTCAAATGCAGTTTTACCAACATCTAAAGAAAGTTACTTGAGCCTATACTGATCCAGCTTTTTTACTAATCCTAAAAATTGGTCAAAATCTTGACAATTGGTTAATTATATATTTTTATATAGACTAAAGTGACTCGTGTAGCGGTTCATAGTAACCAAAAAGTAGTTGAAAATATTAAAATGTATCTTGGCTATTTTAGTGACCAGTTTCCACGTTAATTATTATTATAATTTATAACTTTCAATAAACGCATATTTGTTCAAAGGCGGGTGATATTAACATATTATGAAGTATGTTTTATTATTGAGCGAGTCTTTTTAAAATCTAAGATGTTGTCAGCGAATGCTTCACGTATTACGTTGGTCAAATAAATGTATTGTTATCTCAAGGATATGGAATGTATACAGTAAAATATACATTTACTGAAATACTTAGTTTGAAAAATGAAAAATGCAATACCAACGTATTATCGAGATGTTGTGACCAGAGCGATAGCCGATACAATAGTGGTTGCAAGGCCTTGGCAAGACTTCATATTATGCCTTATGTTAAAGTTATATAATAATACATAATAATAGTGTAAGTATATATAATAGGTGTATAGCTTGGTATAATATATAAGAAAATTAAACGTTTGATTCAATAGAAAGATCTATTTGCAAATACTGTAGGCGCACGTGCTGTTAATAATATATACAATGTACACCATTTATACACTGCATTTACAAGTATCTATTCAATGTGTATACAGGTGTCAGTAAATATGTTTTAAGTTTATTTTTTCTTATAATGGATGTAATTACAGAGTGATAACTAATAGAATCTATTTTTTAAAAAAAATACCTTCTTAGCTTCAGATTAATATTTAATCTCTTATTTCAGTCGCATAACGCTAGAAAAGCAAAACCTACACATTCATTATTTTAAGAAAAGCCCAATAATTATAATTTTAAAATGCCTTTGTTTAAATGACAATTTCATACAAATTAAGTTCTGCCATTTAATGAATAAATTTGTTCAGGTTTAGTTTTGGAATATTATACTATTCTAAAATGTTTGATGCAAAAAACGAAATTAAATGTTTTGTGGGTCAAGCTTTTCTGTCGCTATGCACCTCATTTGTGTTTATAGTTTTATTAATTCTTAGTTGAGTACATATCGCACACCTAGATCAAAACTATAGCAACTTAAAAAACATCTTTTTTCAGAAATTTCAAAAAACGATATATTAATATGTATGTTGGTATGAACTTATATACTATTATTTTATAGGTCATACATTAAATTGTTATTTGAAAAAATTAATACCTATATCTAAATAGTAGTTAGTAGGTATATAATTAAATCATACTCTGTACTGAACGCTTCCAGTGGTAGGTATTTTTCACTTAATTGCGAAACGGAATTTACTTTTTCTGTTAGGACGACGCTAATAGAAGGAAAGTACCAGCTTTGGATCATTTTTCAACTGCAATTGTCTTACAAACAAGTAAAACCGTAGTCGGTATGTAATTAGATATTGTGTAGTGTAGATTTTATAGCCTGCCTGCTCCTACTTATCAGCAAACATGTGTTGTACGGACTACGGTGTACCTAAATCATTAAACACTGACAGAAGACAGGGTTTTTAATAGTACCAAACAAAAATAAGATGCGTTCACTTTTATAATCTCAAAATGGACATAAATGGAGGAAGAATGACATAAAAATAAGAAAAAAGAAAAAGAATACTACCATAAAAACCCACTAGGACTAGATGATTCAGTAATGGGGATTCGGGTTGTTTCAAAGTTAAAAGCAAATAGAAAATTTGAGGGTATTTGCTGACCAATGTTGGCCAATCATCCTGCATACGGAAAATAATCAATCTAGAAGTAATAATTATTACAAATGATATTATACAATCAAATCAAATATGAAATGAAAACATAATAAAAAAATAAAACTCTTTTTATGTCTGATACATTAATAGTCACGTGTCTGTACATAGTTAGATTCGATACGACAGCAGAGAAGGTATTAATGTACAAATTACAATAAATCGCCGTCTTGATAATATACCTATTATTTTAAACCAGAATCCGGTTCATTTCCGTGTTTTACTCAAGACTGCGTTTATTTATACTGAGCTCTGACGGCGATTAACGACAACTGTTAAAGAAATATCCAGACTAGAATGATCTACGCTAATAAGTATAGTGACCGTCACGCGCTGCACCTAGTGCATGCAAGACCCTCTCGTTTTGATTACTATAATATAACGACTTGCGACAAACGCTATAGGCCGAGGAGTTTCTGTAATAGTAAACCGTTGTTATCGCAAACGTAATCATGACTGAGAATTGTATAATTATTGTTATTACCGTCATAAGAAAGCGGTAAAAACAAGGGGAAAAAAAGTTTTAATGTTCTGGGCATAGCGTTTGTCTGATTCGGTTTGAGGCGTTTTTGAGTGAACGCGCGATGGCCGATGGCTAGCATTCATATATCAACACTGGACTCGATCGAAGGTCGTGACCAGCACCTATCTTCATCTTTCTATTATGCGTGGATAGTATAATAACACCTTATATACCTATTTTTATTTATTTTGGGAATGTAATATGTATACGTGTAATTTTGTGTACTTGCATTGGTAAGGGAACGTCCATTGTGTAATACGGTAACGACCGCGTGCTCGAATGCCATCAGAGAGCATAATTTCTTAGTATATCTATACAAATATGTCTCCCAGCAAAAGAAGGTCCCTCGTTCTAGCCACCTGACTCGTTAAGAGAAAGTAGGTAACATTATCATTATTACCCGTTCGAGTAATTTTGTCTCCAGACTCATTTTCACGCCAAGCGCTTGACTCTGGTCTTTCAAAATTCGAACAGATTAAAAAAATAAAATTTTCAGCTGTCGCGAACAACTATAAAAAAAGAAAATCATAATCGTAACAATGAAAATATTTTTACCGCTATCGCAGTATTGACCAATATTGTTCAGTGAAATGTCATTTATAATAGACATCATATAGGTCATATAATTTAATCGACAATTATGCCATGTCTACGCAGAACTACAATATAATATAGGTACGCACAGATTATATAACAATATTTGTCTAAGTATATTATACAAAAAAATGTAAACAAATAGTTCTTTTTTTTATGCTAAACAACTATATAAATATGTTTATAATGTTGGTCCAGGGTAATAGAGAAAGTATCGTATGGTTAGCCGTTAAGAACAATGTGCAAATTGCTCATGGACTACATTGCTGGAACGACTAGGATGGTTAAACAATATATTATTACATACATAAATAGTTACAGAAAAATGCGTCAAAAATTATGAATCGATATGACAAAAACGTAACTCCATTAAACTCGACTCGTAATAATAATAATTCCTAATAAATAATAACAGTAAAAACGTATAATATAAATATGGTTCGTTGAATAATACCTTAATTTTTTTTTAGTTTTTTGTTTCTTCCCAAAATAATTGGTCAGTGAATTCGATCTTGGTGAGCACGTAGGAGGCAAGGGGAGAGAGCACAGGAGTGCAATTTCATTCCCTCGAAAGTATCTATTTGCTCACTTCTTTTTTATTGCATTTGCATTTATGATATAACAACATCGACAATGGCAAATTAATAACTAACATAAAATACTACATACCAAATAAATATAAAATATATCAACTACAAACTATTGACAACAAAGATTGGACATCAAATAAAGTAATGATACAAACATTAATATCATATCATACTTCAATAAATTTAAATCGACAATAACTACACATATATCTAAAGAAACAAGTGATCAGTTTTTAAGTTGTTCGGCCACTCTAAAGCATCTGGATACCTTTATGAAATAATCAAACCCTGTATCCTCGCTGTTGGGTTCGTATTGTGTAGAATTTCGGCATCCGGAATTCAACCGGACTCCAAACCTGGAGAAAACGGTGGTTAGAATCGGATTTCTGCACTTCAGCTTCTTGAGTGGTTCGCATGATGTAGTGTAATTTCGCATGAAAGTAACTAATTACATTTCACAGTTCAGGTCATAGCCTAATACTTGACGTTTTATATATGTATACAATCATTAGTGTTTGTTCAAGTTTTTTAAAAAAGTACCTACTTGCAGTAATAAATTTGTTGTGTTCAAATTATTTTAACTGGGTCGAAGAGCGAGAGGGTCACCACCTTCAGAGCCACTGATATCTTGGCCTCTTCAGGTCATTAAATCTGCTATTTCTAATAGAGTAGGGCTGATTGTTCTGTAATTAGTGGAGTAAATTGTTTACGATATTTTATCTCAGTCCACCTATCGTTAAATATATTATGTATTCTATAAAAACTTTGCTGATTTAAATTTGAAATGTGTATTTTTCGTTTACAACCCGTTGAAAAAAATTGTTTTAGGATTTAAATAAAAAAGTCAATTTTGTTTATGATATTATATATGCTAATAAATATATACCAAACCCTGCGTTCATATTTATTCTTACTTATCGAGTAAAAAAAAACGCAATATCAATAAAATTTATTCAAATACTAAGTACATTTCAAACTGGTTAAACTTCATTTACGAAAATTATAAATGTTTAGTGTACAATGGTTCATAATTTTATTACAACATTTCCCAATAGAGAGGCCACATATAAAAATTTACATAGTACATTTTTAACCTCCGAACCCTGTAAGTGAATTATTATTAACTGAGAATATTATTTTTTAACGCGATCCTACAATATTTCAATGCAACTATCTTGCATATGAATTCTGATCACGCTTCTAATTTGTTCCCATTAGTCATTAATCCCGTATAACACATAAATATATTATGCTCAGTTGAATAATGATGTACAGATTTAGCAAACATTCTTTTATAAACACCGCAGTATAATGTCTACGGGTTTCAGAGCCATTTCTACGAGTACGAGTAGCGAATACGTAATCGATTTGATCGCTTCATAATAATAATTTATCATGTCACCTTAAACTGTGATCAAACTCAAAGTAATTTTGAAGCTGACATAGTTATACCTAGTGTAACTACTTGGTAGTGTGCGTTTTATTTACCTACCGTTATATACTAAATATTTCACGAGTATTGGAAAACTGAAACCCCGACAAGTTGTAGATGTAACGCGAGAATAAATTTTTCAAAATTAAATTTTCGTACAAGCTTACACTATATTAATTTCTATGCCTTTCTTCGATAATTATGAATCATTTTATTATTTTGTGTTAAAAGTACGTAATATTGTAATAATGTAACATATTTAATATTTCTTTATATTGTTCAAGCAGATAAGAAAACCACCACAAGGTATAATAGAAACTAATAATAATACGGATATATGTTCGAAAGTGGAATCAGAAATTATATACTCACACGGTATAGGCTATAGTGTAATGCATAATATTATTCTGAGCAGCTGGACCGCCTCCACTTTCCACTCGACTTAAACTACTTTATACGGCCCGTTTGTTATTAACTATTGTATTATTTAAAATACAATAATTAAATACGCATGAATAATTACAATGAAAATACAACAACAAAATCACGATTTTAATGGTGGGCTTTTCTGAATTTTTCTAAAAAATTTAGATTTTTAAGAACTTCCTGAACTTGTGTCTAAAGTTTGTACAAATTTCATTCCCGCCTATGGATGGATTATATAGACGTAAGACGTGAAAAAATAAATAATTAGGTAAATCGATCCCTAGATTGAGTAATTTCTTTAGAAAAGTTTCATATAAAAGTTTTTTATTTCAAACTTTTCTTCAAAGCTTTTCTAATAACTTCTTTAAAATAATTAAAAAAAAAAAAATTAATAACAATTAAAATAGAACTCTTTTAAAAAAGTTCTGAAAGTATGTAAACCCTAATTTAAACGGTTTTAAATCAGAATGTATAGTTTTAATGATCAAAACCGACTTGCAAATTTTACAGGATAACTTATAAACATATTGTTTTATAACTAGTTTTATCATTATTAGTCGCCAAAAAAAAGTCTGTACTAGTATCATACTTTATAGAATCAACGTGAAATTGTTATGAAATACTTATCTACATTGCGAAGCTTAAAAATGTGTTAGTTTTTTACCAAATCGGTGCATTAAATTAACGTAATGAAGCTAAGGTCTTAAATCAGCAAACAAAATGTACATTGATTTGTAATTAGGTATTGGTTGATGAAAGTTAATAAAATGCGGAATCTTCTTCAACATTACCCGAAAAGTAGATACTTAATGACATACTCGAAAAAAAAGAGAAGTATGCATAATTAGTAAATTTGTTTTTAAAACAACGTATTCAGCCTCGTTGACAGAGGCACGACAAAAAAACATGATAAATGGATGCGGTCTTCAACCTACTAAATCATATTTGGAACCCTTTATAAAGAGGATCGAGTGAATAATTACTTGTAAACATTTCAACCGGTCTGGGATATTTTTTTCAGTCACGCCTGCAGCTAATAGAGAATCGTTAATTTTTTTTTCATGCTTGCATCTTAAATATAGAATTTTGATTTCTCATTACGTTTATCATGAATAAGTCGCGTATAATCAGTATCCTTATGCTTTTCTCTTAATGGCCTCATGAATTACGATTATCTAGCATTTTTAAAACTTAAAACTAAAAAGTCATTATGTAGTTTTATAGTATTTGTGCGGTATTGCATAATAAACAAATATATGATACGTGTAATAGAGGGTGATCATTTTATCGTGCACCACTCAATATCTCATTGAGTTTAATAAATAATATAATTTATTTTATTTTTATGCGATGTGGTATCAATTTTTCACATTTTGTTTTTGTTTTCCTCCCTCTCAACTTAGCTTTTTTTATTGTAACTTTTGAAACTTAAACGGTAACGCATACATTTTATTAAATGTATTGAGAATAATGTATTAAACATTTTGACTGGTCGATCACCAGTTTTAGATAATTATTTTTGAAGTTTAGGGCGGGAGGAAAGGTGAAGCATAGTATTATTTTTATCTGCGCGCACTTCCCAACCGTGGTCCGTGATCGGTAACTATAAAAGTAGTTGTTCTAAACTGATTTCCAGATCAACCAGTAAACACTTTTAGTCTATTATTCTAAATTTAAAAAGTTAATGAAATGTATGCATTACCGCTTAAGTTTCAAAAGTTGCAATAAGAAAACTAAGTTAAGAGGGGGGGGGGAACAAAAAAAATGTGAAAAATTGAGATCACATTGTACAAAAACCATATGGAAAAATTAATTAAATTTTATATTAAACCCTATGAGATATTGAGTGGTGCACGATAAAATGATCACTCTGTATGTAGTATATTATTTTTGCCTTTAGCGAATAGCGACGGAAAAGATCAAACATGTGTATGCAATATGAAATTTCGAAACGAGTGCATGATGTTATTTTAAAATCTCTATTATATCCGGAATGATCATTTGGAACCAGCCTGTAACGTGAGACTTTATTGTTTGTGTGTAGGTGTTGTCGATTTAGCAAAGCAGAATAGTATTACACAGCAAATATTGGCACAATACCTGCAAAAACGTTTGACCAGAGCAGGCCTGAACCAGCAACCACCGCTGGGTGTCGTTGATAACAATAAGAAACTCGGCGAAAATCCTTACACCGAACTACCTAACGAAGAGGATTTGACCAAAGGTGCCCAAACGGAACTCTATCAAGGTCAGAAGATTATCATGAAATTTGGGAAACTATATTTAACAAGTGTTAAATCATTTATTAAAAAAAAATCGATGCGAAACCTATGCTAGGCATATCCAATATCCATCAATCTATCTTTTTTTTAGTCTTACAACTCTGTAACGAGTCTCGTTACTTAATGATAGTTTTTTTCGGGATTGATATAAAATGGCAGATTTCCCCGATTTTTGCTTGTCATTATAATAGTTGACACTTGACATGGTAATGGACAGCTGCTGCCCTGTTTCATACACCTGTACCCGAATATGGACCTTTGCAAGTCTCTTGGCTCTCTGGAGTATGAACGGTCAAAAAAGTTGAAGACGCATATAATAAAAGAGTTTCATACAATAAATTATTATCTCATCTATAAAAACTACAGTTATTAAAAATTATTTATAACTAAATTGTCTTACGTATTTTGCAAGTTTCTAGATCAGCTAAGAGTAATTTATTTAGTTTGGAATGAAAAACATTTTAAACCACGCGATCTTTTTTGTACTTCAAAAGTTTATACATAAACCATCTCATGTATTTACTAATTTTGAGCTGCGCTTTAAAACAAATCAAAATAATCAATCTTAGCCGGACTAATAAAATTATCGGAACGATCTAAGTTCTAATTGGGCTTAAAATCTTCAACGCTTTTGTGTAATTAACGAAGATTGCCTTGGTGGCGGACGACAAGGTGAAACTCGAGCGTTTTCATTATTAATGTAGAAATATATAAATAGCTTATTGTCTATGATTTATGTTTTGGTACAAGATTTATAATTACCGATCTATATGTTATATTTAATCTGACCTTAAACAGAGTATATTGTAATGGACTAAGGAATTCTACTGTTCGTTTACACTTAATAGATAATTCGTGTGTGGGTAGGGTAAATTCTGTATGTGTTTATACATATATAATATGTGTATGGGAGTATTTAATAAATGACATTGTCCGTTGAGTTCAGGTCACGATCAAGTTTTTATGGATAGCCCTTGACCAGTTTAGTAAAATTGCTGAATACTCTATTCGTATTGTTACATAGCGCGTCACGAGTCCGTTTAGACAATCCTGTGTTCTAAAATGGTGGTTAACACTGACAAATGTATATATATATATATATATATATATATTTTAATAATAACGCAAATATAGTTAGTTATTATATTAATTAATATAAATACTCAAGGTATATTCACTAATAAACTATTACTATATTAACTACTTATAACTTTAAACTAGATGTATACATTATTCATTTGTATACCTAATGTAAAGATACAACTTATTTACTTAATGTAATTATAATTACATTAAGATCGTAGATAATCTTAAAACATCAACAAAACATTTAACACATGAATAAAATTACAGAATTATGTTACTAAGTACTTAGTCCACATGGTCGATTTTTGCTAATGTTACTATAAACAAAGTTCTAGATTTAGAAAATCATTAATAGCACGAACAATGTGATGGTCTAATAAAAAATTAACTACCTATAAATACTTTAAATATTTTTAATACCTTCTATACTATCCTAATAAAATGAATAACAAAATAAATGTGACTCTAAATCACTTTTCTGCAAAAAATTGCTTGAACTGAATTCCCTGAAAGTAACTCGTGTGTCCTCTTCTTAATACGTTTGATTTGTATAGTTCTCTACTATTGCGTAGCTCGAATATCGAAGTAAGATAATAAAATGTGTATTACGAGCAGAACGACAGACAAAGCGTGTGGACCATTATATAGATAGATACTAATCTAATATTACTATGTATCTATTATGATTATCTAATGTACTTATCTGTACATCATGTTTAAGTTGCACAAGACAATGAAAAACACATCACATTTTCGTTTTTATTACACGTCCCAATAATTTTACCGACGATATTGTATAGGTAGATCTTATCGTAAATTACAAATAATGTTGGTCGTATATCATAAAAAAAAAAGTAGGTAGCCAATACACTAGCTACTGTCCAAAATATGGAGTTACGAAATTCAATGCAAGTAGCTCACATCTATTGTTCGATGTATTACACTGAACATGTTATTATTTATTATTTATGTATACAAAAATAGACAAGATTGTTTTTAAAAAAAATCCTATATAATTTTTTCACAATTTATCTTATACTACAAATTTCTATGAATATGTATACGCAACGCATACACATATAAAATATTATTATATACAAAAATATAAGATAACTAGGTTCGGTTTTTTTATTTAGACATGCCTAATATTTAATATTAATTACCTAGACGTTACATATTATAGAATATAGTTTTATGTATAGATTTCTTGTACAGGCACAAGACACTATTATGTGTATATATTAATATATTAATGATTATACAACATAAAAGTGTAGTATTTACCTATAGTTGAATAGAAATACATCTAATATGTAATACTAGTTATGGTGGACGTATTTTGTCGTATGAATACGAATTAATTAGGTATCGTGAATATGAATATATCATATCTCGTTAAACCAGCATAAAAATAACATCCATATTTAATCAGGTGATTTATTCATTTCATAAATAATATGGAGATCTTTTATGAAAAGATAAATTTGAGGTTTACATAACTGCCACAGTGAAACAAATTTCCCAGTAAACGTATTGAAAACTTGCAGTGTGGATTTATGTTAGGGTTAATTAATATACTATTTATAAAATTATTGTTTTGTTCATTGACTTATTGACAGGATATTAACTAAGTCAGGATCTAACAGTCTATAACAGGGTTTCTACAGGAAATTTTCGTGATCGTGTCATGTAAAAGTGACAAGTGTAAAGTGGCTAAATAAAAGTCCAAAATTTAATATTATAGGACGTTTATTTACACAATATTTTCAATTTTTTTCCCCATCATAACGTTTTACACCACGTTGAAAAGTATGTTTTCATTGTATTTGGTAAAACAAATGGAATTTTCAATTAAAAAAAATAATTTTGTCATATCATTTGGATAGGAGTATACATCTGAATCTACATTTCAACAATTATATTATGCCTGATATACATTTATGTATTTTAAATTAATTTTCTTGGCTAAAGATGTTAATTTTACCTGAACTACGAGTATATTATTAGTAGTTCAAATTAAATGGCTCTGCTTTTATATGTACCTCAGTTTAAGAGGACGTTACACCTATACATCTTTTTTACATCTGTATGTAAAAACACCTATTACAAAACCTGAAAAATGTAATATTCTTGAGTACTGTACACTGATAGATTTTCAAAACTGCATTTCATAACTTATAATAATTAGTTCCTAAAGCTATTTAAAAATGTTTTCTAGGTAGGTTTTTGTTAGTAGAAAATCTTTCCAATTTATCAAAAAATCGTCAACTTTTTAGGTTAGAAAAATACTTACAAGAACATTATTACCTATATTATGGTCGCTGTGGCTTTTATGAATGAAGAATCCTCCTTGTAAATGCTAATAGGTGTACACTTTAGTTTTAGCTCAAAATTACGATTTTGTGAAAAATTTCCTATACCAAATCTGTTAATACTAATAGGGTGTGTATAGCATCATTTCCTTATACTCTGTATAAAACTACCTATAAAATTATGGATTCAACTATTTTTTTCAAGTTTTCATTAATACAGTTTTTTTTAAATATAGGCGCTTTCGTTTGAACATCATAATAATAGATTCAGCAAATACCTAAACAGTTTTAACTGTTATTGTTGGCATTGCTGCTGGATTTTTTCCACCCAAATTTGTTATAGGGTTGCGGTTACCTCCTCCCCCCACAACTATTTTAGAACTCGTTGAGTTAATAAACATAATTATAGTCTCAAAATCCACTGATTATTCTTAATAATTATTATTATTTTCGTGGTACCTTATTCTTACACAACGCATAGAAAGTAGTTTGACGAGCATATTTAGTTTAAATAGCAACAACAAAATAAACTTGTTCACAAATAACTGTATACTATGTACAAAACAAATTACCCAATTACAAACATTTTTATAGTTATATTTTACACTTTTGCTACATTTTTTAAGCGTTTCTATTAGTTTTTAATCTATAAACGACGCTTCCGTCATCTATGTGTAATTAAATTTGAATATTCAAATGTAACATTCTATGTTTCAACTCGGTGATTACGTTAAAATAACGAGATTACTTATTTATATGTTATTTTTACTATAACAGTTCGTTGACACCGATCATGATCATTTGCTATAAATCTATAATATGTATGTAAATAAACTATTTTTTCACCAAAGTTGTCGACCTTCTCACGTCTAAAAAAACAAAGTTTTGTAATTCTAGTCAGTCATCCATTGTGAGCATTCGATTAAAACCGGTAATTCAACTAAAGATTATTATATTAAAACATCAAGTGTCTAATAAAATGCATTATATTTACTCACATCACACATGCGAGCGAGGACGTAACATTGTAAAGATATTTTCTAGATGTATTGGTATTTGGTTATCGGAGTGTATATAAAAATGAGGTATGCAGGATTTGTTTTCGACTACCATTTTTATTAAACCTTGAAAGATAAACTGTAACAAATACCTACCCTAAGGCGCTGAAAAAGTTTTCATGGTCTAACCATAATGAAAGGTCGCTATTATATCGTAGATTGACATATTATTTGCGATTCTCTTATAGTAAAATAATAAATTATTAATTGTCTTCTTAAATATAGAATGTTACTAAAAAAATTCCATGTTTTTTATCCATCAATTCATCAAAAAAAAAAAACACAAAAAATAATGAAAAGTCTACCGGATTTAAAAAAAAAAAAAATAATTAAAGGTAATTTATAAATTGGATTCTTGGTTAATAAGAAGCATTGAACACAATATAAAATTATGGTTATTAAATAAAAAAATAGGAAATTGGAGAAATATTATCGGTTTTTTTATTCGCAGTTTTGACTTTTTAAAAACTTTTTCATAAAATATTTTTTCATGTGCTACTATTTATATTGACTTTTTATTTAATTTAAAAATCACCACTATATTTTTTATGTAAAATTTAAAAAATAACTTTTATTAATTTCAGGAGAATGTAGTAGTAGCAACTGTGTAGATTCAGATACAGTTTCAGTAAATAAGTTATCGTTGCAACTGTTGCGGTCTGGTGAAAAAAAGTTATACTTGGGCATTTTCTTTAAGGTGAATGATATTTTATTAGAACAACATAAACACTAAAAAATAAATTATGAATCATTAGTCAAAATATTTATTAATTACTAAACTATGAATTACGATAATTTGTCTCTTTAGGCTAATTGGTACAAAGCCGCACAATACTGCAGATATCATGGTATGCATTTGGCCAGCATTAGCAGCCAAGAAGAAAATGACAAATTAGAAAAATACATTAAAGATTTTGGTAAGTCACTGGTTTTTAATTTAAACGAAACAGAAAAGTAAATCTTTTTTATTGTTTTATTTAAAGGTATGGGCCATGAACATTTTTGGACATCCGGCACCGATCAGGCAGAGGAAGGTTCATTCTTTTGGTTAGCAAACGGCAGACCTATTGGATTTACCAATTGGAACGCTGGCGAACCGAATAACTTCAAATATGAAAACGGCGAAGAAGAACATTGCTTAGAGCTTTGGAACCGAGATGGTAAAGGCTTGAAGTGGAACGACTCGCCGTGTTCTTTTGAAACTTTTTTCGTGTGCGAAATGTAAATTTAAAAAGTTGATAGACATTTTTTTTCATATTAGGCATTAGTTAATTTTACAGAATACAATTTTACTCATGTTTAAACTTAAACATTAGGTAGTTGTTGTGTGTACATACTGTACATGGACTTTTGTCAAGTGTTTGGATGCGTTCATTTTTTCATAGAAAAATAACCATTGATGTCAACCTCAAATTTGAAAGTGTTTGCCAATGTGTCCAGAGAGACGTTCAAAAAATATACTTGGTCTTTGAAACACTTCTTTTGTCATATTGTTCTCACATTCATTTTGTTTTCATTCAAATCACTATTTTTAATTAAAAACAATTTTGTATGTTTGTAAAAAGTTAAATTATATAATATATTGTACCAATACAAGTTTAATAGTAAGTAAAACTCGTTTAAATTAATTAATTTATAGAAATATAATATTATTTTTTATAATTACAATCAAATACTTAAAATTAAAACTCTCCAAAGCTTTAAACAATATATATATATATATATATTAATATTTAATTGTATGTTATTGTTACCTATTATTTGAATTGCATACAATTAATAATTTATCACAAATATTTGGAGGGCTTTTTACACTGTTACAACATTATTAAGTAAAATAAGTAATTTTAACATGATTTATATAAATATATATATAATACAATTAAAAAAAATAAATTTACTATACATACATAGTGCATCACTAGTGAGTTGTTTGCCAAAAACGTGGCTTACAATATAAAATTACACAATTCCTCCACTTGGTTAAAAAAAAATTAATCAATTATTGTTTTTTAATTACACCGTTGTGAGATAATTCTATGTACAATTGCGGTAAGTATAAACTAACTAAAATATAATTTTCTCTCTATATTAACCCTGTAAAATTATTTTGGACGGAATAAAGTTTTGTTTATTATGACAGTCTAACATAATAATATAATTGCTATAATTTATCACAGAAGAGAGAATAAAAAATGACACACAGTAGTAATAATGACTACATATGATGTCCAATGAACAACACAATTAAGTAATAATTCACCTTAGCAAATACTATACCCAAATATTAAAAAAATATTGCATTATTTAATTCCTCAATCATTAAAATAAAGTTAAATATACTGAAAACTGATACAAAATGTTAAAATCGTCATATTATGAAAAAAAGAAAAAAAAACATTATTTGAAAACAACTGCAAAATTCAAAAATAAATTTTCTAAAATAGAATTTTAGGAAATAGAAAAATATATTTCTTAAGAAAATTAAAATATACTAGATATATCAATAATTTATTTGTGATAATAGTATTGCAGTATTAGACAAATTAAATGTTGAGTTAAACCCTTGTATAAATTGTAACTAAATTATAGTACATAATATATAAAATAAGAGTAATTTGGTTTTTTTTTGTTCTAAGGTCAGATTTTTATAAATAAAAAAATCTTAATACTTATTCAATTGCTCGGTCTTTCAAAAAAAAGTGAAAAGTTTGTTTCAATATTATTAATTTAATTTAAATTTGTCAAAACGTTTTTACATATTTTTAATACTATAAACATTTTGTTGGTCTTTTACTTAAAAAATAATTAAATATTAATACTTCGGATATTACACAACATAAATGAACAACACACAAATAAAAAAAATCGAATCAAATATTGAAAAATATTGTTGTTTACACAATTATCAGTGAAATACATAAATTGCTTGTAAAAAGTAAAAATGGCCGCTATGCAAAAAAAAAAAATAAAAAAATAATAAGGAGATCATAATGATAGAATTAAAATTAAACGAGGCTACGAAAATTATAGTTAGTGATTATAGTAAAAAATACATATTACAAAACAATAATACTTATATTAATCGTTCTTCTGGAGGAGGCTTTAGTACATTATCCAGCTCCACTCTTGGGTTACAATATTCTTGACAACTAGGGCTGTAAGTACCCCTCGTAGCTCTTTTCTTGCGTGCCATCATCAAGAGCACAAACAAGCTACCCATACCGCCGATAAGAAGAATAAGTAGTATTGGTCCTACGATTAAAGCAATGTCCGCATAATTGTGACCCGCAAAAACGGGTAACTAAAAAAAAAAAAAAAATTATTTAGATAAATAGAGTGATATGTTTTCTTCAGCCAAGTGTTGCACAATTTTCTAATTTTAAAATGACATCATTTAAAGAAGTGAATGGCTTAGTCCACGAAACCAGCCCAGATATTTGATACAGCAAAGAAAACCACCAAAAATATACAAAGAACCAAAATCGTATAATGCCTGAAGTAATGCCTAATCGGTAGTATTTGTAAATACCGAAGTTAAAAACCGGATGTTGTAAATGAATATAAAAAAAAAAATCTCAGTTTAGTATTAATATCGAAATCATATAGTTTTTAATATCTATAACATTTTATTGTAAATTATATTGAACTTTACCTTCAATGCAGAGCAGGGAAGGTTTTTTTTTTTTTACTATGATGTATTTTTTCTATATTTTTATGTTTGGATCTATAAAAACTTCCAAATCGCTAAACCAATTTCTTCATAAAGCATATCTAATCATGAAAAATTGTACTCAAAATACACTTTTTGAGACAAAAAATGAAAAATTTATAACTGTACTCTTTCAAAATTGAGAAAACGCCAAAAAATCAATTTGTTTTCCTCTCAAAATTATGGCAAGCTATAACTTTTTGAAAAAAAAAACTCAAATTAGTTCCATAGACTTTCCTATAACTATTGTTAATAGCTATAGATTCAAAATTGTATGAAAATCATACTTTGGTTGGTCAAAAGTTGAAAAGTTAAATCCTTTAAATCTTTTAACTTTAGCTTTTGACTTACACATTATATTTTGTAAAAAAAAAAAAAAAAATGGTAGGATCCATTTGAAATTTGTACGGAACAATTAAACAGTTATTAGGCATTTCCTAGAGAAAGGAGGGCTAAGTTAAGTCTCATCCATATTAGTTATATCTTATTTATTCACATTTTACGTCTGTGTATCCCCTACTAATTGGAGCTAAGATGATTTATACCAACCTAACACCAAACTAGTTAAGCACACAAGAGAGGTTGCCTATAAAGCCTAAAGGAGGTTGCCTAAAGAAACATATTTGTTAAATATTGTGTAAAAATTTGTCATATGTATGAAATTATCAGTAATTATAAAAAAAAAAAGTTTTTATAACAAGATTGTGTATTCAGTGTTAATTCATAACCAGTATTAAAAGAAAATAATTTTAAAAATCTGGAATCCACACATATTGCTTTAAAGCAATAATTCTAACAAAAAATCCAGATAAATCGTTATTTACCTCGGTACAATTTTTTCCAACATATCCGTTAATACAAATGCACTCGTAGTCAATTGTTTCAGTACAACGTTCTTGACAAGTACCTCCATTACTACAAGGTGATTCCTAGAAAAAAAAATTTGAAGAATGATTTTTTACCCGGTACAATTGGTGCAATTTATCAATAAGTCAACAAATAATTTACTGTTAAACACGGATTAATTAAATGGCAACTGTGTCCACAAAATCCTTCTTCGCAAAGGCAACTGTACGATCCTGGTGAGTTTTTACATTCTCCTCGATGGCCACAACGAACATTGAGTTCAACACATTCGTCGATATCTATACTGCAGTCATCACCCGTGTAACCTAAAAGTAATTATTATTATTAAAAATAATTATATTGTGACGTGCAGTGATGGGCAAAATACTTAACATTAAATACTTAAATTATAAAATACAAATTAATGTGATAAAATATACTTAAAATACCAACTATTAAATAGGTATTTTAAGTTAAAATTCTCATAACTTGTAATTGATTTTATTTTCAGCGAAAATTTAAAATTTATTATGCAAAGTACTATTTAATAGTACCCAGGTTTGATTTTAAATCTTGAAGTAAAATATTGCCTATTCCTGGTAAGTTACAAATAAAACTTGTACCTGTTTCGGTGCAATTACACGTATATTCATTTATTCCATCAATGCACTGACCGCCATTAAGGCATTTGTGTTGGTTGCCATTTTCGATGCAGTCATCAATATTTTGTTCACAAAGTTTTCCCTTAAAACCAACAGGGCATTCACAAAACGGAGATTCCTGTGAATTTAAGATTTAGTTTAGCCAATTTTATTTCTGAAATATTTTTATATTAAACCACATATTACCTTAGGTTTGCAAACACCATTGTTTTGACATTGATTATCATTACAAAATGCTGTATCACAAGTCGCACCCAAGAAACCGTCCATGCACGAACAAGTGAAATTATTACCAGTCAAATGATCTGTAATGTAAAAGGTAAATATAATTTCTTTAAATATTAAATAGTACTGTATGGAAAAACCATACCATACAATTTTGGAATGCCAGTATTTGGAATATTCACCCAAAAAGTGTTTTAAAATTTGAATGCGTTAAAAATTGTACCAGTTTTTTCAAAACACTGTTTTTAACTATAATATTTTACCTGGAATGTCATCACAGTTGCCGTTATTTTTACACGGCATGTTATTACAAGTCACTAATTTTAACTGTTCACACGTCTGCCCTTCGTATTCATTAGTGCAGTTACATTCAAACTCGCCAAGACGGTCAATGCATAGTCCGTCATGTTGACATGGATATGAAGCGCACTCGTTGATATCAATTTCACAGCTAAAATACATAATATACATATTACATATTGGATTGGCGAACTTAAAGGTCAAAATATTAATTATGTAAATTTAAACTTACTGAAGACCAGTCCAACCAATTTTGCATTCACAAGTGTAGTTAGCAATACCGTCGATACATTCTGCTCCATTTTGGCATTGATTAGAAATACACTCGTTAATGTTCACCGAACAATCTTCAGCTTCATAACCGGCCGGACATTCACATAAGTATGATTCTGTAGCTTTTTTACACCTGAAAGTATAATAATAATTTAGTTAAAAATGTACATTAACATATCTACATAACAAATTTGTCTCAAGTAAATAAATAAAAATGTATATACACAGTACCTTCCATTATTTTTACAATCTGTGTCATAGCAAAGTAAGCAGTCTAAATCAAATGTATCTGTGGACGATGATGACAACACAAAATGATCAGTTTGATTGTTTGTATTAAGCTGAGATGGTGTAAAATATGGTAATAGTAAACTACCCATACGAATTTCACCAAGACAACCCTTAAAAAGTTACAAGTTATTGTTTAAAATTTTCAACAAGTAATCTTAATATAAACATAGTTTTAATCAGTGTTTGGAACGTTCACTAATATGCTTACATTAATTTTTCCAAATTGAAGCATTCGTGTTCTTCTTCTAAAAAAAGAAGACTTTTGGTTGTAATTTTTTTTCTTTTCAAAATAGTCCATAAAGTAGGTAAACAAGTTTAAGTTATTACTATGTCATAATCAATTGATAATATTCACAGTACAAGTGCATCATAATATTGTAAATTAAGTAAAAAGAAAGAGAAATATTTTTAATAATAGTATCTTTAATACTTATGAAAAAACCTGGCCTGACCAATTAAAATACATAACCTAATACATTTACAGTAACGTGACCTATGTGCGTGGCGTTAACTAGGTTAAATGAATGAGAAAATCATTTATATTCAATAAAAAGCTAAACGCCTCCACCTTCTTATAATTTGTGTATAAACACATTCATAAGCATTCATTGAAAAAGAATGTGTTCTTTCCAAACACTGATTAGATTTAATGAAGTTTAAGCAAATACCTTGTAAAAACCACCCGCCGAAGTTATATCATGTTGAATAGCATCCTCAAGGTGTAATCCCAAATCGGAATCGATCATATCTAAAGAATTTGTTTCAGCATCAGTTATATAAGTTGCATGGTCTACGTTAGTACCGGACATGTCACTGTGGTAGTGTTCTCCTCTTCCTAAAAATTAAATCAAAAACTATAACAACATAATCAACAGTTTTGTCAACCCCACTAGGATTTTGTTTGTGCTAATTGATTGAAACATATTATAATAGAAATTATGTATACCAATAAGTATTGGGTTTGATGTAACCAATTCGACCCAATTAACCAATGAAAAATTGCCCGCAACTATGAACTGATTGGTGTCGTCTATCGCGCCGACTAAGCCACCTTGAATTTTATTGTCCGCTAATTTAAAAAGCATAGTTGTCCATTCTGAATCCGAATGATCTTTGTGTACGTGTTTTAAATTTATAGATCCGTCTTTTTCTAATTTCCACGCAATGATGAACTACAAATACATTATTTAAATAAATGATACTATTACTTATATTTGAAATAAATATGTCTTAACTTACTTGATCTTTGAATGCAATCATGGTAAAAAAATTGAATTCGGTATCGCTAGCTTTCTTTTTGTTTGAAACATACATGATTGTTCCGCCAGTCCTAGTTCTATAGCTCACTTCAATATGTGTCAAAGGAATAGCTTGCTGTCCTCTTACAAAGTAATATTGCAATAGCGGTTCTGAGGTGTTCTGACCAACTAACGTTACATTGGCTACACACTCGTATCCGTGGTTCAAATTACGGCATTCACTACCCAGCGGGCAGTCTTGTAACTGACAGAACTCCATTTCTTGACACTGTTTGCCTTTATATCCCAATGGGCATTTACAAATAAAGTCGTTCCATGTTACCGAGCATTCACCGTCATTGTGACAAGGATTTGAGCGACAAGCATCGTCAGACAAAATACCCTCGAGAACTTCTTCTTGATTAAAAGATACAGTACCAAATGCTTTCGGAACTACCAAATCTTTGTGTACGCCCAATTGATAAAATTCTACAACCATGATGTAAGATCCATTGCTTATCTAAAACACACAAGTAATATAAAATAACTTTATTCAGACAATATCAATTGACTGCTATAGAAGAGGCTTGATTCATGTTTAAAATCATAACTTAGTTAATAATAATTGTCAGGGCTTTGAATCCGAAATAAAACTGAAAATCCATAAAACACCCTAAGTAAGGAAATTTCAATTTCTGATTGTTTTCTTAAATACCCAAAATCAAAAACCAAAGACATTAAATAATATCAGATGCTTAATGATGAAGATAAGCGCAGTTTTCCTAGGCTAAAAAAAAGGGATGTTCAACTATGACCTTCAGATCTCAAAACTACTACACAAAAATATTATAGTAAATTTCATAGTAACCTATTTATGTTGATAATAAAAAAAACACAAATTTAATTTAATGAAAAACTACAAATATGTTTTAGCTTTGACTGGTAGCTGAGAAGGTATTCTTTTTATAACATTTTTTATTTTTTGTGTAAGGAACACCATATATTTTAAATACTTTATTAGGCTAACATTTTTAAAGCCACCCCTAACATTTTAAAATTGAAAAAACATCTTAAATAATAGCATATTTTTTAACTTTAATTTACGTGTTAGGTATAACTTTTTCAAAAAAATAGTCAAATTAGCTCTAAATTTCTATGGAATATTCTTACTATTAAAATATCAAAAACCCTTTCCCGAGTAAAAACTTCCTTATTTCATTTATTTGGACGTAAATTTAGGACATCTAATCAAGAAGATTTGATGGAGCGTAGATCTAGATTGGGACTATAACATATACAATAACTTTCTTAAAAATCTATAATCAAACTTTTTTTTTAAGTGCAAAAAAAAAGGGGGCAACTGACTGTAGTAAATTTCTAGGTTGCCATTTGGGAATAATTCAACAGCCACAGGTACCGATACAATATTTGCTATTATGTTTATATGCCTATTAAAAATGCAATTAATTATTAGGAATGACAGACAATTAAGTCTAACATAAATAAAAAATAAAATTCAAAAGTATAAAAAGGATTTGGAAATCAGATTTTCTCCTTCATAAAGTATTGAAAACCAGTATTCAGTACCTGAACATCTTGTATGATCCCTTTGAAGTGTGGTATGCTTTCAAACTTATCAGCGGTCGTCTGACGAATGTGTCTTTCGATAGTATTAGGCCGCGGTAAAATTGTATCCATAGCAGCTTGTGTGTCTGGTATATCTCTTTTTGTCGGTTTTGAAGACGGAAACCCACCTAAGTATAAAACTTGAACATCTAATTGACCTGTTGCACTGATGGTTTTTCTAAAATATTCCGTGCCATTGATTTTAACTTGGACCAAAGTAATATTACGAACCACCTAAATTCAATATAGAGTAAATAAAAAACGAATACAAATAACAATATCACAAATTTACCTGAATTAAGTGATTATGACCATCATCCAGTTTCACGCCTCCCACTGTATACGATTCTGGCGTTGCGTTAAACTGTATTCTCACCAGGAGCTCGCCACCTTCAAGTTCGGCAGCAATGTGAGTTTCCTCGGAGAACGTTACACTTCCCGGCATAGATCCCAAATAAAATATTGCTCCGCGTGTTTGACGGGTTCTGATAAACATTGAAATATCTACAATATTTCTTACTGCTCGTTTTGCTACCGCAAACACGTTTACAGTAACAAGACCATTGGTGATATTTTCATGGCCAAATGTTGCCGCCGGAAAACCTGATAAAAAAAAAAAATTTGATAAATGTTTTTCTCTGAAATAATAATAAAGTTTATAATTTTATTCTCATACTATATTGGCATGTATTTCCTAAGTACGGTCGTTCACACGTGCAGCTGAACGTTTTCCATAAATCAGTACAATGGCCGCTATTGTGACAAGGATTGGGATTACATTGATCGTTTCTTTGACAACCAATATCAATGTTGGTCAAACCTATTGTTTCTACTTTTTCATCAGGTAAAACCTAAACATCAATGGTACAATAAGATATTATAAAAAAATTATTTGAATACTTGAAACAGGTATACTAAAATAATTATTTCACCTCATACATAATATATATTTTTTAATTTTTTATTTAAACTAATTTAAGCTAATTAAACAGTAATATTTGAATAACTTTTTTAATCAAACAGTATAATCTATATTAGTATTACCTATATTAGTTCATTTAAAAAGTAATTATTTGAATAATCTGGCATTATAATTTTTTAATTGGTGCCTTACCCATTGTCCATTTATTAAAAGATTTTCTATACAGCCAATGAAAAATGGAGGACCATGAGGTAAAAGTCTCAAATTTGATATTGTTCCGCCAATGTAGGTAGTAGGGAAACTGGTATGTGTTGGATTCGCTCCTTCGTTTAGGTTAATAGGGTAAATGGTTTGTTCTTCGTTAGCCGACAGTACTAAATGTGATGAATTTATAGCGACAAATACCTAAATAATAATAAACCAAAGTGAGTTAAGTGTCATGGGAATATTTCAAAAATAGATGTCTACCTTTTGCCATTGACTGTTATTTAGCTCAGAGCCAATAAATACCCCTTCCCACTTATTTAATAAACTGGAATGTAGATTCAAACGGCCTTTGACCAACTCTAAAATGTAAAATGTTGAACCGCCGCCGATCGCCAACAAACCACTGGGCAATGTGGTTTTGAATCTAAATGATATGTCATAACCTTCTTCTCTTGTGGTGTTAACTACAATACGTGATTCGCCTGCCAGAGACATAGTTGTGGTCTGAAATAAAAATTAACATATTTTTAGTTTTTAGTTTATACAACTGAGACACTGGAAGTCTATAGGTTCCTTTTTCTTAAGTTCTTGGTGGTAAAAAGAGACACTAACATAAGAAGTAAAAGGAGCTGCAAGAGATAACAAAATTACTGTGGATAACAAATTATAAAGGGCAGAGACTGCTATGTTTTAAACATGCAATGTGCAGGAAAAAGGAAGAACTCTGATCAGCTATGGAATGAAGACTAACAGATAAAAGGCCAAGGAGGAGACTCAGAAAGCTTTTGATGAGTGGATTCAAAGAAGACCTGGAGAAAATGGGAAATATTAATTGGGAATAAGTATATAGAGATGGAAAGAAGTTGTGTTGACGCTGTGATCACAAACTGTTAAACAAAAGAAGAAGTTTATTATGTAATACTAATATACATTATAACTTACTTTATCGCATATATCACCGTGGAATCCGTAAGGACAAGTACAATTATATCGATGCTCAGTTTCGTCAACCAAGTATGGCCTACAAGTACCATTATTTAAACAAGTGTGAGGCCCTTGGCACCCGATCAATTCCACTGAACAATTTTTTCCGCCATACTTTGGAGCACAGTCGCAATAATAACCGGCACGTCTATCGATGCATGTCCCGTGTTCACAAGGTCTTTAATCACAATAAAGAACACGTTATTAAAATATATTTTACACAAAAGAAAATAATGGTTATAACATACTTAAATCTTTCACACTCATCAATTTCAATTTCACAATACACTCCTTCAAATCCATCATCACACAAGCAGGCATATCCACCGATTCGGTTATCACAGCTTCCCCAACGACATGGATTACTATCGCATTCATTTATATCAATTTCACATTTCACTCCTGTAGTGCCAGGCATACAAAGACATTCGTATCTGAAATACATGATGATTAATACAAACTTATACACATTAATTAACTTATAGTTTTCAAACCATATTTCAATGACAACAAAAAAATATAATTATAACAGTTTATAAAACTATATATTGACGATCCTTAAAAAATATAATGTGACTTCTTGCTACGAAAGATAGTATATTTCAACATCAGTAGGGAAGTTGCATTAAGTACAAAATATAAAAAATGAGCAAAACGTGTTATAATATAACATTTTTTCACTGAGATCTGTATTTTTTAAAGATTTTGTTGTTTACAATAAAAAAATTGAGATCATTTAGTATAAAAACACTAAGGAAAAAAATTAAAAACTGATTAAATATAACTGATATAAAAAGTAGCATGCAACTTTAAATAGTTTTTTTTTTTTTGTTTAATTGGCATTATTTCAACTCACCCACTAGCAGTAGCGTAATTGAATTCCTGTTGAAATATTGAAGATAAATTTCTTTTGTCAGTGTGATTGTACAGCAATAAGTTAGATCGTTCTAGACAAGTCCCTCCGAATTGACAAGGGTTATTCTCACACTCATTTATATCAATATCACAATTTTTCCCTATAAAATTATAATTGATTATCATTTAACAATCAATAAATAGTTAACAAATATAACAAACAGATAACAATACATATTTAGTAATATTGTTGGCTAATTTTTTCTTTTTATATTTTTGAGTAATTGCTGGCCAGAATTTTACCAATTTTAATTTTTACATTCTTACCGGTGTATCCTTGGTAACATTTACAGGAATAATCTTTAACTCCGTCCACACAAGTTCCGTTATTGGTACAAGGATTATGAATACAATCGTTAATGTTAATTTCACAGTGATTTCCTAAATTACAAACATAATTGTGAATACATATTAACTAGGTTGACATAATTTACAACTTTGTTTTAATAATATTATTATATTGTATACCTTCAAAGCCAGTGTCCGTACAGTTGCATTCGTAGCTGTTGATACCATCTATACACATTCCTGAATTCTGACAAGGCGATGACTAGAAATACATTTTAACATTGTTTAAATTGGATAATAATTTTACTATAATATAAAATATGTGTTACCTCGCAATCATTTATATTTGTTTCACACAGTTTTCCCGTTAGACCAACAGGGCATGTACAAGTAAATGACGCTATTCCGTCAACACATGTAGCACCGTTCCGACAGGGATTAGAATTACACTCATTTATGTCCATACTACAAACTTTTCCTAAAGAGGAAAAAAATAAGTATAATTAATAACCGTAGTAGTTTTCAACAATATCATCGATATTTAATTTATTGTGATTCAGAGATAGAAAAACTTTTAATTGATAATACACTTAAAAATTATTGATTGTTCTTTAATGTATACTATATTTTTTTATAGTTGCAACTTACCGCTAAATCCAGGAGGGCATATGCAATTGAAACCATTAATTTTATTTTCACAGATCGCTCCATTAAAACATGGCTGTGATAAACATTCATCAAAATCTACATCACAGTTGTCACCAGAAAAACCAGGACGACAAAAACATTGGTAGCTACCTAAATAATGACATTAAAATATAAAAAACAAGTATGAATACGAGAAAAATGATTATGTTTAAAGGAGTTATGTTTAGGTTATGTTTTAAGGGGTATTAAAATACTTTGGTGCTCAGGAAATGAGTATTTAGTACCTAGCACCAATGCAATTGTATTAAATTTCAAAACCGTAACCTCAAACATCCCTCATTTTGTTTGATATACGTACCATTAGTATTTACGCAGATTCCATAATTACATACTTCCTTGTTAACTTCACATTCGTTTATATCTTGTTCGCAATGTACACCTTTAGAAATCCAAAAGTAGTTTTATATTAAAACAGTGTTATGGAATTAATTAACAAATACCCAATTAAAAATGAATTAAAAAAAAAAAATTATATTAATGTAATGGTCACATAAAATTGCCAAGGACCATCATAGCCAATCTCAAAAAATGTAAAATTGAGTTTTAGATATCATGTTTTTAAGATGACCGTGTTAGTAATGTCATTTTGTGGACTTCCTGAATTCATGACAAATGATTACAAATCCTACAGAAGGATACACACGGGAAGAAAGCCATTCCAATACAAAGTTTCTAAAAACTTTTACGACTCTGTACTCTGATGAAACACAAAAAGACACATACTTATGACAGGCTATTTCAATTTGCTTTCGATCAGGAACTATGAAAAGCAACCCATGGAAAAACACTTACGCATAATATTCTAGGTTCTTTTATTATGATACTAAAGATCAATCTATGGGTTTTAAATCTTTTTTCTGCGCCTTATTAGCATGTCAATATTTCTCTATTATTCTTTTACAATATAATACTTAAATTTTTGGTAAGAGATGTGTTACATGCATGATAATGGGTACAGATTGCAGCTAATTTAGAATATTATAAACAAGTGATAACGGGCGGAAAAATGCGACCATTACAGCAGAAAGTATAATAATTACCTGTATAACCAGTATGGCACTGGCAAGAATATCCATCAATATTATCCACACAAGTAGCATTATTTTTACAGGGTCGATCTTTACAGTCTTTTAATGGTTTTGAACAGTCGTCACCAGTAAAACCTTCGGGGCACCTGCACTCGTACGTGTTAACGCCATCAATGCATGTTTTTCCTGGCGGACACGTCACCATTAAACAATCATTAATGTTCAACTCACAATTTTTACCCTCAAATCCTAAATAACAAAAAAAAAATTGTTCATAACATTAACATTTAAAACATAATTCATTAGTTTTATTATATTATATGATAATAATAATTTACCTAAAGGACACATGCAAGTGTAATCCTTAAGTGAAGATGTTTTGTGGATACAAGACCCATTGTTAAGGCACGGTCCAGGAATTTTGGCACAAGTGTCAAAAGGCAATTGACAGTACGTACCCATAAAATTGTCTGTACAATCGCAACGGAAACCATTTATAAGATCGTTGCATATGCCGCCATTCAAACAAGGTTTAGACAAACACTCGTCAATATCTATTTGACACGTTTGGCCTGTAATATAGTTATAATAATGTATAATAAATTGCATAAATACACATAGAGAAGTCAATTGTTTTTATCTATGTTAAATATAGACCTCATACTAATAGATCAGCTATACAGTTTATAGTTTTTCAGTTATATAATGTATAAAAAAAAAAATAGTGTGATGTAGCCCATTAGTGACTTTATTATAGCCCGTCTAGTTGTTAAAAGTAAGCAATTATACTTAATGTTAATATTATAATTAAATAATTCACCTTTAAGTATTATGAACTTATACATAAACATATTAAGTATTTCTAATTTTAACCGTTAGGAGACGTCTTAAAATACCAAAACCCAAACAGATACAATAAACCAATATATAAAAACACTTAAAACATGTTATATACATTACTATCCATAAGTAAAAAGTATGTACATTGGTACATAAGTTATTAATGATTCTATAATAATAATAGCACTTAAAAATAATAAGAAATACATATTATTTTTATTTCATTAATTTAGAAGTATTTACATCATAAACTGATATTTTGACGAATAATGAATACGTTTTTATTTACGTCTAAAATGATTTGTAACTCAATTAATAATTGATAATCTTATTTAGTTTATTATTTATAGAAAACATATTGTCTAAATTAATTTCAAATTATTTAAAATACATTTTCATAAATAATCAATAAAAATTAAGTTCAGTATATATATATTTTTTTTTTTTTAATTATTTTTAATAGTGATGCATAATTTGAAATAGTGAAATAATTTAAAATGTATATATTTTTTTAAAAATGTATTTATAACACATAAATTGTTTGATCAAAAATAGATAGCAAATAAATTTAAAAAAAATATATATATTTTTATCATAAATAATTGAAAAATAAATATTGGTGGAACTAGAGACTTTAAGAGACTTTAAGAACTCTTAAAGCTCCCTCAGAATTTCAGTAACAATAAAAAAATGGCTTCATAGTTATATCTGATTGAATGCTGACATTATTCTGAGACTAAAGAAGTTAAAAAGGATTTTAACATTTCTAGCTCTTTCCTCTAGTTGCGTTAATATTTAAATAAAATATATTTTTAATTTAATGCTTCATCTAGATAGAAAAGGACTCAAGTAAAGTCAAACTCTGAACATAGAAGACACTGAGACGGTGTCTCATATATAGATTCATATCTATTGAGTTAATACTGTGTTGTAGAAGGAATATATGCTGTCTATAAGTATAAGATCCATGAAATTTTCATTCTATTTGTTTTAACTTTTCACGTTTTTATTTAAAATTATTTTCAATATTTATTTTAGATTTTTATTTTTACCAGTAAAGCCTGGCGGACAATCGCAATGGAAAAGATCAACTTGTCCAGTAAGTGTAGTGCAAGATCCACCGTGAGCACAAGTGTGAGGACCACAAGCATGAATGAGATCACCGATACGCTGATTACATTGTGGCCCTGACCAACCAGATTCGCATTCACAATAATACCCACCAGCCTACATACAAGTGACAAAAAAAGTTAACGTGATACTACATTAAGTGCAGAAATATTTAGGCAAAAAGGAGTTCGAATAAATAAATAAAACATTCGCAAGACTTATAAAGCCATTCTCGCCAGTTTGACTTAACATTTAAGTAATGTTTAGCCTTTAATTTTAATATCTAAGCTATAATTAAATGTTAAGCTTAAATGGTGAGAACGGGTGAAAGACAATGAGAAAATTAACATTCTAAATAAAAAAATGCAGTCTTGGGCATGAAGCTTTTGTAATATATCAAAATTATTTATAAAAAAAAAAAATTGTTGAGATTACTAAAAGTTGTATTGATATTTTTTTTAAATTTTAGTAATAGGCTTGACAACATTTAATTTTTATTAACTAAATGGTTAGTACTAAATAGTCAAAGATGATGTTTTTAAAGTGAAATTTTTCAATACTTTAAAATGAACCAAAACAAAAATTCAGTAACTTACTTATTTTCAAAATAATAACTTTTGAAATGGGTTTTTATTTCCGATTACTTATAAAAAGTAATGGATTTACTCAGCAGAAAATGTAATAATATATTGGAACATGGTACTTTCGTTAAATTACTACCCAAGACTGATTTAAAACGTTTATGAAAGGATTATTGGATTTGTATAACGAGACGACAATTGTTGACTTACATAGTCATGACAAGACACAGCATGCTGACAAGGATCAGCGTTACACTTTAAAGTCATCTCACAATTCCGACCAGTAAAGCCGGTAGGACATTTACATTCATAGTTAGATCCTTGAGTTATGCAAGTGCCAGAATTGAGACAAGGCATGAGAACACACACATCATCGGCATGCGAACGAGCTACGATGTTACCATGCTCACAATAAGCGCCTGTAATATTGTGTGAATACTGTACCCATGCTTATTGTGCATTAAAACATAAAAACTAGTGCATCTGTCACAAAAACTAAAACATATTCAGTGGTGTAGTCATATGGGTATACACTGAGTGTGGTTCACCCGTCAGCCACTTTTATGAATACTGAATACACGCATACTAAAAAAATGAGATGTGTTATACACATACTACGAATACCCTATGACTACACCACTGAACATATCTACAAACTATTTTACATCTAAAACATTTAGTTTTATTACGTAATCATATAACTAATTAAAAAAAAAACAAGTAAGAATAACAAAAAACCCAAAAATTACCATACATAAATGTATTAAATACCTGTATATCCTGGTAAACATGAACAGTTGTATTGATTATTTCCTATTAAATTACACGATCCTCCATTTTGACAAGGACTACTATTACAAATTGTAACTTCCGTACAATTTGGAGGTGAACCTAATCAAAAGAATTATAATAATTTTACTCAATTGTAAATCTCCAAATATATACCACGAGTACAGAAATTGAATTTTCTGTAGTAACATGGGACTATACTCCATGAGAGGTGCTAAAAATAGATGTTCAGTCATTTTCTTTCCACTTAATGCATTTAGGGTTTTTTTCTATAAAATGGTGATTTAAATAAAAAATTAATATTTTTTTTTTATTTTCTTGAAAAAAATGGACTTTTTTGACATTTATTTTATCTAATGAAATTATTTTTATTCAAAAAATAAATATTCGTGGGATAAAAAGGGACATATTGTCACAAAAATAAAATTTTGTGTTATTGGTTATTCCAATTCTAAACGTTTTTGAGACCAGAATTGATTTGGATTCTTGCTTCCCTTTCCGTCTCATATTCGTTAACAGAATCCTTATTCTCTTATATCGTCGCCATCGTGCCAAAAGTGACCAAGTGCAAAAACATGTTTAAATTAATTTTTGTATCCTTACAACTACGTGGAAAAAGTTTCACAAAAATTACAAAAAAACACTTGGCCACTTTTGGCATGATGGCGACAATATATTTTATAGTGACGAATTTGTAAAAAAATATGGCAGAAAATAGTATGGAATTTTTTTTTATTTACATCAATATTTTATGATAAAAATGGAAAAACCCATTGTTTTGAGATAGAAAGATGTTCTAAAATATCTATTTTTATCACATCTTATGGAATGCGACATTAAATTCCAAAAACTTTAATGTAAAGACAATTTGTTTTTTTAATTATACCTATATATCCTGATTTGCAATGACAAGTATAAGACGCAATTCCATCAATACATAAAGAATTTGGCGGACAAACTGCTGACTCACAGTCATCAACATCAATCTCACAGTTTCTACCTAAAAATCCTGGAGCGCATCGACATTCATAACTTCCGACTTGATCACGGCACTGACCACCATTTTGACATGGATTCGATATGCATTCATTGAGATCCTGGAAAGTATTTGATTAGATTAGTTTGTTATTTGAATTACTAAATTATTGGTAGTCGTTTACAAATTCACAGTTGACGCCACCAAAACCCGATTGACATTGACAAGTATAACTGCCATAATTATCAAAACATACACCCTGGTTAGAACATGGATTCATTTCACACTCATTTATGTTAGTCTCACAGTTTCTCCCTTTATATCTAAACAAACATTTAGAAATTTATTGATAACATGATTAAAATTGTTTTAAATGTAAAAAAAAATACCCTGTTTTACTGCAGCTGCACGTATAGTTATTCACACCATCGATACATATACCTCCGTGTTGACAAGGACTTGATAGACATTCATTTATATTTATTTCACAATCGTCTCCTTTAAAACCTGCATTATAAGTATTTAAATAAAATTAATAATATTATAACTAAAAAACAACATATCGACAATTGCATTACAAAAAGACTTGAGCAATCTTTTTAAAATATCCTTTTTTACATTTAATCAACTGCTCCAATTTCATACCAACATCACTTTACTTTTTATGTAAAAATTTACTTTCATTTTGTCGTAAGCAACTTCATTAGAATTTTAGTTAGGAATAACGTACAAAATATAGAGTAAGCAACAATTTCTGGATCCAAGTGTATGTGACATTATTTTACTAAAAGTCATGAACAATAATTGATTTATTAAAATTAATTTATTAGTTTAAAAAAATATTACTGTCTCAGCTGAGATAACTGATGGCTTCCATTCAATAAATTATGTGTAGATTGAATAAAAAAAAAATACCCATACTTTCAATGTTTAACCTTATAAGAGTTATGGCGTTTACACCCGTTTTAAAATTTCTCGTATGGCTTACACAGTATTACGCTTGAACTGCTGAGGCACCCACACATCTTTTCAAACAGTTGTTTTTAAAAACAGTGAAATAAAATATGTTTTATAACGAACATTTGTTTTTTTTCTCCCATTTAGTAGCAAAATGTTGTATATGATCTAAAGACCTTTGCCGATTATTAACAATTTCTACTAGTTCTAGCATGGTTTAACACTTAACATAAATTTACAATCCATTTTGATAACATCTAATTACCTGGAGCACAGACACATTCGTAGTTTTTCCCACCAGGGATATATTTACAAGTGCCATTGTTTCTGCATGGATTGTTATCACAAATGTGAGCAGATAATTCAATTTCACAAAATTTTCCTACACAATAAAACGTTAAAAATTAAACTTAATAAATTCTAATAAAATAATTATTACAATAATATAAAATATATAATAATACCGGTGTATCCTTTATCGCAATGGCACATAAAATCTTCTCCGTGTTTTACTTCTTCGCACAATCCATGCATACAACGGTTGTTTTGTTTAGAACACGGAGATCCTTAAATAAATTTTAATATTAATTATTAGCACACAGATTTACAACCACGAACCCAGAACAAGTTCCATGCAAAATTCACTAGAATTTTTTTGTTTCTTAAATAAAATATATTTTTTGAATTGTACAATAATTTTACATAGTAAAAAAAGATAAAAACCAAATATTTTTGTGTTCTAGTTATTCTCTTATTGGTTCCAAAAATGTCTCGGAAACTCACTAAAAAAATTGTTTTAATAATCAGATTCTAAAAAATAAATTTTATTTTAGAAACATTTTTTTTTTTTGAACTAAACCCTTTTTAAAACCATTAATATATATTTTACCATTGTCTATTTCACAATTATTTCCAGAATATCTCGGATGACATATACAGTGATATTTGTTCTCTTTGGGTATGCAAACTCCATGTGTCATACAAGGGGCATGTGAACAATAATCGATACCAGTGCCTGAACAATTTTAAAATATTCTATTGAAATAGCTCAGTTTTTTTTAATTTAAGATTTGTAAGTTTTGACTCTAACATACATGACTGACTGCTTAATGGGCACTGCCCCCAAATGATTTTGTATCCTTGGTTTAACGACGAGTTAAAAATAAAATTGGGTCCTTCTAACAGACATCCTTCAAATCCGTCACCCACTCTTAATATCGATTGTTCGACAGATAAATCAGCAGTTAAAATTTCAGTGTTGAATGTTGAGTTAGCAATAACCTAAATAAAAATGTCAAAACAATGAATTATAAATGTATCTGAATAATTTTTGTTTGCATTAGTATAATTTTATTGGATTTCTACGTCAAACAGTACAACTTTTGACTATTGCATTTGCTGGTTTTCTGAAATTTTGTTCACTTTTAGTTCATGATGAATTATCACAAAAAAGGCTTCCTAATTTTTTTCAAATTTTTATCTTAACTGTCAATGTCTTACATATTTTTTTTAATTTAACTTAATGGAAGATTACTAACTAAAATTCAAATTTTTGTTTCATCTGTTATTTTATCATTTTAGGATTGATTTTTTTTTCATAGTGTATATAACACTTGATTTTGTCCAACATTTTTGTGACATATTATTATTAAACATATGTTCACCAATTTTAATAATCTAATTATGAGTTAACAACATTTTCTATACATTTTTTATATTAGTTTGTTAACACGTTGACTGCCAACTATGAGATAACTCCTAGTTTAAATGGTACTATTCAGTACCGTGGTAGTTAATGAGTTAAAAAAATCAAATATTAAACAAGGAAATTAATAATAAATAAATTAAGTCCAAATTTTTAAGAACATAAATTTTGTGTTTACAAACATCATAAAAATGCAGTAGTAAAAAATGTAAGAAAAATTAAATTATTAAATGGTTTCCGTTATGGTATGGAATACACAAGATTTAAATAAGATACAAAATGTTTTAAATTATTTACCTGTTGAAAGCTATCAATTGACATGGTCAATTCCCCGAGTTTATACATTAAATTGACATTATGCCAAGTATTGTCGAAAAAATCTCCTGCCATTTTTGACTCATAATGTCTTTTGTCGATTAACGCGTTAAATGTCAAGCCATCGTGAAAAACACTCATACCAATTTGGGTATACGGCATTTCAATAGACCCAACCGTTTGTGAAAATATTTGTCCACCTGAACATGTCCTGAAGCTAAAGCCAACATGTTTATGTAGTGAAATGGCGGGAAACATATGCAGCCATGATGAACTGTTAAAATAGCCTTCTCTGTCAAAGCCTCCAATTCGTTGCGTATTTGTACATATCAAATGCACAAATAGATATGCTGAAAACAAATAATTAGAACCTAGAGAATTATGTGTAAAATAGTATACAATAATTGTAAAAATATGCTATCTTTATTTTGTTCATTAAAACACAGTTTTTGAAAAATACAAATTGTGTAAGGTAAATTAACATTGTTGTTTCTTCAACTATTTTGCTGACTGCAGATATTGTGCAGCATTTAATTTTTAAACATAACATGTTTTATTCCTTATAACATATAATTTTCCTATTGTAAATAAAAACTTATTGTGCTAACAAGGAAACTCAAAGGATGAAATAAAAATTTAAAAAAAAACCCTAAAATATTTATATATATATCATATGTTGATTTGAATACAAAACTTTCAAAACTGCCAAGAGTTTAAATTTTAGAAATATGCCATACCGCTTACTATTTACATTTATAACAAGTCGAGGGTTAATATGAAATATTTTTTTAGTCTTGTATGATTCTGTTTTAGACAGGTTTTACTGTACATAAATACACTGTATAGTGTATTTGAATTAAAAACTTTACAAGTATATTTTTAAATAGTTCTAGTATCCAAAAATGAGAAAAAAATTATAAATATTTCCCTTCCTTTAAATCTTCTTGAAGTCATATATATATATGTGTTTGTAGTGTTTTTAAATGATTATTAGTACAATTGCTATTTATTTCATTATATGGTCAATGTACTACATTTCCTGTTACATTTCATGCTTCAAGAATTTCTTAAGTATTTATCAACCTTGCCAATTCGGTTGTCTAGCATAGGTCTTCTTCATAGTTACTTTTGTCATCCGTTATTCTATTGTGTAAAAACATGAAGGTCATTCCACTGGCTATACAAATTCTATTTTATACAATAACAATAGGTGTTATTAACTCTATATTATATCCGATCAATAAACACATATTGTTGACCTCAACACATAATTCATCTTAGCATCTGCACATAATTGTACAGAAGTTTTGAAAGACCCAAACAAATTAATTTGTTTTTCAATTATCCAAAATTTTATAATAACATACATAAATTCCTACATTTTTTAATATGTAGTCACATTTTCAAATAGTAATAGATTAGCTGTACCAAATACTACCTACATGTAATATGGATTAATAAAATCAAGTTGAACATACATTTAAACATTACAACTGAACATAAAATACCTATAATATACGACTAACTAGTTTTAAATAGTTTATAATGATGACATTTTAAGTTACTTTAATAACAAAATCTAAGTCTGGCTAGCTTTGGCAAATATAAATAAGCAATTAATAGTTTTAACAATTAGAACCCTTTCATATTACATAAGAATTTTAAATAATCTTGATAATGACACTGTTCAATAAAATATAACATTTTTTTGGAACAAGAATCAAAATCTCTATTTATAACTAAATTCAGAACTGGTCTCGAAATTAATGTAACATTATAGTTTTTTTTTTTTTTATAAACAAAATAAAATTCAGATATTTTTGTAAGCAAATATATGAGGCTAGCTAGATCCGGGTAACTGTTCAGGGAAAACATTTTTTACAAAATGTACATAGTTCCATTATTTCCAAAAAAAAAGGTCAGGTTTTGTTGTATAATGTAACAAATTGAATTTAAACTATACACCTATATAATATAAAGGGAGCTATTCAATTATATTAACAACAATATTCTGAAAAGATTCTTTTAAACGAAAGTGATACATTCTCCCAATGTGTTGTTCTAGCAATTTAGGAAACTAAATGCTGTGTCTAAAGAAAATCAGAAACAAAAATAAAATAGTTATTGTCAATGGATAATAAATATTGTCAATTTCATATAAGGCCACATATAAAAACCTATGTAGAGTCAAACGTATTACTTTTTGTAGCAAAGATTGAAACTTATTAGATTTTATCATTGAAGGCGCAAATGTATTATATTTCACATGAATGTTGATTTACCTTACAAGTACTACTAATCGTAAGGTAAATGAAGCATTTTAGTATTCATAACTTCATAAAATTTGTAGATTAAATAACTGTAATGAACAAAACCAGTTTACGATAAATATAAAAGACTACCCAACTGATTTTTTGTACTAGTCATAATATCAGACCCCATTTTTCAACAGATAATCTTCAATCATACTTTTGATAATTATATAGGCACCATTCAATTTAATAACTGCTACAAATTATAAAATAAGAAATAAATGCCAACTAAGAAAAAATCTACCATTATTTTATCACTGCACTATTTGTATCGCAAATACTACTTTGTACTTTTTATTTATCGTTAATGAATTTAAAAGCATGTAAATAAAAAAATCTATGTTTTATTTATGAAATGTTTGGTCAAATAAGTCAATCAAAGTTCAACGTTTCTATAAATCATCAAGTTCGTCACTTTGTGTAGGTATTTCTATATTAATACAGGTCATCAACACAGCCTAGTTTTTATTATGATTAATTATAACAACAAAGCGACGATTAATCTGGAGTGTTTATTATTATTATTAAAAACATTACAAACAGTTCTTACCAATTAAAATAATAATCCGCATTATTTCTTTAGTGTTTCACTGAACGTAACATAGTTGTCGGAAAAACGTCAATCCGTGATACCTACGTCTCGCGAGTGTGTGGCAAAACTCAAATGGACAGCGGCATGACCATCACGTAACAAACAATTAATTAATAATATAAGCTGTTTGATCCGTGTACAAATTTAAAAACTAAACAATAACTATAAAATCTAAAAAGTAAACAATCTTAAAACGGAGACGTTAATTACGGTTTATGACACTTGAGTCTTGACTCTTGAGACAAGGTGTAATTAACTTGTGTTGGTAGTATTATTATGAATGAACGATAAACGGAAAGATAAACACTACAATGTTTTTGTTTTTTATCAAAGATATTTTAAACAATTCTATAGTATAGCTCTTTGGAGCTTATCACTAAAACATTATTATGGATCACCTATCCGAGATTTTAAAAATGAGATAGCACCACTTTAACCAAAACCATTAAACTCCAATAGACAACTGTTCTAATAATCATTTTTCACCAATAACCTAATAGCCAAGGTGGATTTTATAATCCACTTTGCTAATAGCCTTTAGAGAAAGAAAAAGAGAGAGAAAAAAACCGAATACCTTTTTAATTTTTTTCTTTAAAATCAAAAAAAATTAGATACATATTATATAAAAATTGTTTTATTTGAAGTTGTTGATATTCGGGCCTCGGGGTACAGTTGTTGCCAGATAAGTTGGCACCATAGACCTATAAAGATAGGTCTTTATAGGTCTATGGTTGGCACAGCGACGGAGGCGTTTATCAGCAAGTGTATTCCAATAGTTATTTTATCAATAAATTTGATAAGGGAAAAAGCCGATAATAGTTATATAAATCTTGACGTATTACATATTTATATTTTATTATTTAAAAATTGAAATGATATACTAAATATTTTTTATTTTGTTTTTTAGGAAAATACGTAGACTATAGTAATTGTTTTTTGAATATTTAAAAATTACAAGCTTTTAATAATAATATGTTGGTCAAGCGATTTACAACCCAAACACATTTTCGTCATGTGTTATTTCAACTAAAATACTACTCTACTAAAACACACAATAACGGTGTAAATCTTGACTTTATAGTAGTTGACGGTAAACAGTACACCAAAGATGAGTATACAAACGTTACCCCAAAAATATTATCCTACATCGGAATGAACAAACACAACCAACCAAATCACCCGTTATTCTTGTTTAAAAACCGGATTATCGACTACTTTTATGGTAATTTTAAAGGTCGGACAGGAAATCCAATTTTTTCTATGTATGACAAAATCAGTCCTGTCGTAACAATTAATGAAAATTTTGATTCACTGCTTGTTTCTGAGCAACATCCAAGCAGAAATAAAACAGATTCTTATTACCTTAATGAACGACATATGCTTAGAGCACACGCTACTGCCCATCAATCCGAACTGATTAAAATAGGTTTAGATAACTTTGTAGTCTTTGGTGATGTTTACAGAAGGGATGAAATTGATTCTACCCATTTTCCAGTTTTTCACCAAGCCGATGGTGTACACATATTTACACCAAACGAATTGGAATTAATAAATGGAAATGAAGTAAATATATTTGATCAATATAAAAACGAGACTAATGATAAACAAGATATTTATTCAAAAGAAGCAAGTGAAATAGTAGTAAATCATTTGAAAAATACACTGTTATCGATGATTAAAGAAATATTTGGTGAAAATATTCCATATCGATGGGTTTCTGAATATTTCCCATTCACACATCCCTCGTTTGAATTAGAGATTAAATTTAATGATAAGTGGATTGAAGCATTAGGATGTGGTGTTATCAGGCATGAAATCTTAAAGAACTCTGGAGCTGGCAATCGGATTGGTTGGGCATTTGGTCTTGGTTTAGAACGATTAGCCATGCCGTTTTATTCCATACCAGATATACGTTTATTCTGGTCAAATGATTCAGGATTCCTTAATCAATTTGTCAATACTTCCAATGATGGCCGAATCAAGTATAAACCGGTTAGTATTTATCCTCAATGCATTAACGACATAAGTTTTTGGTTGCCCAAAGATCAATCTTATTGTTCAAATGATTTTTATGAACTCGTCGGAGAATGTGGTGGACCCATAGTTGAACAAGTAAAGTTAATCGATCAGTTTCAACATCCTAAGACTAAAGAAGTTAGCCATTGTTACAGAATTATTTACAGACACTTGGAAAAAACTTTAACGCAAGATGAAGTTAATGTAGTGCATAAACAAATAGAAAATAATGTGACAAAAAAATTAGGTGTAAAACTGAGATAAATCAGGTGATTTTTGTTAATTTATTCATCAAGTCTTAAAAGAATTAATATTTTAATTTTTAGTTAATCTGTACATATTTCGTGTTATATAGTGTACATTACACTGTTTGATAGTTATAATTATAAATATATAAAATACTTATAATGGTCTTTATAGTTTTTTTTTTTAAATTATTATATTAATTTATAAACTTTCCAATTTTATGTCAATAAAAATGTTTTATTTTACATTAATATTGAAAAAAACATACTTGAACCCATCAGATATTTAAAAACAGAATTTTTTTTTCATATTAGTGGCCGTAGGTGAAAACATTTCTTATTTGGTTAGTCCTAGAGTCTAGACCCTCAGTTATTAACCAAGTTTAATTATATATATATATATATATATATATATATATTAAAGGTACACTATTTAAAAAAAAAAAGTTAATAAATAAAATTATAAAAAAAATTATTGAAAATATTAACAATAAAAATTATATGTGGTTATAATAATTAATGTTTACAAATGATTAACATGTATAATTATAAAATAGAGAAATTTCCTTGTGTATTTATAGTTTATAACTAACATTTATATAACCTATATTGTTATAATAGCTTTGTCAAATTACACAGTTTTTTTTGTACTTCAATCCATTTTTTGATGGATTTTAAATTTAAAAAAAAAAAATTGCCAACTTTGTAATTTAATAGTTAGAAACGTTTTAAGCAAACAACATAAGTCTAATAAAAAAATGTATAATATACATTTAACGTTTATTGGTTGTTAGAAGTACCAGATGTATTGTGCTCCAATAGATCTTTTTTGGTAAAGTGCTTGTTAGTACATCCGATGTATGGACAAGGTACAACTGATCGAGCGTGGAACATGAGTTCCACAGAATCTTGATCGTATATATGATTACACAACTTATTACGTATGGGTCTGGTTATCGGTTGTCTAGTGAAAGGATCTAGAACTCCTGTTGTGACTACTTCAGCCTCAATATTTGATCGGTTTAGATTTGGCTTGTTAAACTTCTTAATGGCTAAGAAGTGTTCATGGTTTTTTGCAGTTTTCAAACCATCATCATAAATATTGTTCAAAACACCTTGCGCTAAATTGTTGTACTCGCTGAAATGAATAAAAATATATTAAACAACATAAAGGTTAAAAGCAACATTCCAGATAGTCCTGGCCAAAACTTGCATAATCTAACAGGAACTTTATTGGAAGAGAGATTTTGTTCTTTCAAAAAAGAATACTCAGTGATAACAATTTTTTTATTTTAAGATGTGTAAAATGATTATAAATTTGATTTTAGATTTAAAAAAAAATCTTTTCAACTAGCTCCATACAAAATTCCCAGTTGTCGTTTGCGAGCTCGATGATCTTTGATGGTAAAACTTACCATTTCATATTAATGCTTTACGTGAGCCCGTATTTTATTATCATTAATTATTATATTATTTATTATGTTGTTTTTATTTAAAGTAATATTTTCTATAAACATTAGAAGATAAACAGTGATATTGAATTATTGAAAACAAATTGTCAAATAACCAATGAATTGAAATGAAATAATCTATCTTCCAAAATTATTAAATAAAGTAAATTTTTTTTAGTACAAACTATATTATAAGTATAACTAACCAATATTATAAATGAAAAAACATTTTTAAATTTGAACACTTACTTCTTAAACTCATCTACAGTTATAGGCTGAAAGTCTTTATTGACGCTCTTAGCTAGTGTGTCTTTATCACAACGAATAATTGCATCTATTCCTCTATCATATTTACACGTTTCTTCAATTATTTTAGAATGAGTTTTTATATGACTATTATTTTCTGAAACTTCAGACATTGTGTTTGAGTTTAGACATTCATTAAATGTGACTTGGGTACCTATGATTTGTTTAAATATCTTTTCCGACTGCTGACGAAGACGTGATATTGCTTGATTAACCTCTTCGGCTTCATTTCTACTGGATTCAATTGGAAAATCCATTTCTATTTCTATAATTATTATACAAGTAGGCTGTTATATTATTATATAAAATAGAATAACTAAAAAACATGATTACCTGATGACCTTTTTAGTTTGCGTACATCATCAATCAAATCGGCAATAGCTTTTTCTTTAGCTTCTAACCTTTTATTTTTTCTAAATGTTGGTGCATCGTCCTGAGCCAAAATGTCCACAAGATCTTTATCATCAGCAAGTGCACAAGGTAATTTTAAATCTTTTTTATATATTATTTTGTTACGTCCTTTAAGAATTGATTCTAATTTCCCGTACAAGTCTAAATTATTGAAAATAGCTGCTTTGCTCTCTCTATCCAATTCATTCGATGCCATTTTATTATTTAGTAGTGGAGGTACTAAAAACTATAAATGACAGTTTAATTTTATTGCCTTATAATAAAAGCTATTTACTAAAAATCTAAAACAGTAAATATTACTTTAATAGGCATGCATTTATAATATAAGTACACTTACCTTAACTACAAACAAAAACTTGTTATTAACTTGACATACTTTATTATGAGTGGGTTAATAAGACAGAAGAATGTAAAACAATGCCCGAAAGTTTTACAATTCAAGATTGGTAAAATAGTTAATAAATCATAATTCATAAAAGCAACGGAAAACGAAAATTGAAATGTTGAAAGAAAATAGAAATATTATCAATAATTAAATTGATAAAAAAGCGGGAACATTTTAATTTGTGTATGGCGGGAATATAGTTGAGATGATACAAGGTAGGGAAACTTAGTATTCTTATTTTCTTTTCTACCAAACTATTTTTTTTTAATTTCAACTAAACGTTGGCTGAACTTGACTGTAATTAATTTATTAATAAATCTCTGCAAGTATTCGTCTTTTAAACAAAAACCATTCATTGCAAAAATTCGATTATTCTACGAGATGTTACTTTTTTCCCGTATGACATGCTTTTGAGATGTTATCCACACTGTTAGGAATTTGTTACACATTCTTATAAAAAAAAATGTATTCATACGTATAAAACTTCTGTGAAACATCTTCGATACGCATAAAATTTAGATTTTTTCCCTTATTATGTAAATAACAACCAATTACCAAAAATTGTAGCATGAATTAAAATTGAGTGGATTTTTTTAGAGACTGGCGTCTTTTGAAAAGTCGAAAATTATGAATACTTTAATCTACACATATTACAGAACAAATACAAAATTATCTATTTTGTTTTTTAACCTAATAAAATATACTATATTATGAGCTATAAATGTTAGGTACTCCTTTTATGGTAATTTGGATGACAGCTTTATTGTTTATGTGTAAAGATAATATAAAATTAAAAATATTTATCCCTTGATTATTTTACATTTTTTTATTATTAATTTATGTAAATTATGTATTACTTAAAAACTTATTTAAAATTTAATTATGTTTTGCAAATTTTGTAACATCATCATATTTTTCTCTGAACATTTTTGTTTATGATTATATTTTCCTTAGACATTTTTACCAAGACTCTATAAAGGATAAAAATTAAGATGTAACGTGTTCTAATGAAAAAATATTTAGGCCAACTACAGGCATTCCCGAAAGAAAGGGACCTATTCATTTTTTATTTGGCCTAACTTGTGTTTTAAATTTCCACATTTTATGCACTAATTAATGTATTCTAAATTTATGGGCTTCAAATTAAAATAGTACGAAGTTTATGCGGCCTACAAACCAGCCTACTGTTGTGTCGAAACAACTTAAATTTGCGACAAACGGAAGTTGGCAAGGTGTATTAACTGCGGTATTAGTTCTACACAATATATTATAGATTATAGACTATAAACACTGATATTGTATACAGGTACAGTGTACACGTACCTACCTTTACAAAATGTAATATATAATATAATAAAATATAGTATTGTATTGTAAATATTATATTTAAACGCTATACCCTTTTGATATCAGCCTTCGATTATTTATGGCGCGTACACACACTTAAACCATTGTTTAGAATGTATACCTGTGCGCGTATAAAATATAATTTCGACTGTGGCCCGTGCCCGTACACTGCCGTCGCTTCGGGCCCATCCGGTTTTTTGGCTTCTACCACCCATTCTCCAACAGCGTGGTACGTGATCATCGTAGTAATAATTCCATTATTATTGCTCATTTTGAACGTGCCCATTTGTATCATTACCATACCCACTACCTATATGTATGTACGTCATGTTATAGGTACATAATATTGTGTTTGTATCTATAAATGTGTTACCGTGTGTTTGCTTAAAAATGTCAACGAAATCAATATTTAAAAAAAATGTACCGTTCGCAGGCGCCAATCATTATTATATAAATTATATAATATGAGGAGCAATCCCGTGTAAAGGGAGGAGAAGCAAATTGGACAAGTGCGGAGTGCCCTTTGTGGGTGTCAATGGGGAATTTATTGTGAAGGGGCGGTAAATAAATTAAATGTTTCTACCCCTCTTGGAATAAAAACAATGAGGTCGGAATGAACATTAGTTGGTCGAATAATGTACTATTATTATAATTTGAACTTCAGAATAGGGGAAAACAGGATTGATTGTATCCTGAACGAAGCACTTCAAATGTATAAGATTAAAGACACAGTTGCTAGCCGTAGTCTCTCTTGTGCAGTGCAATTTTCAGACCATTTATATACAGTGACGCCCAACATTAAAGATAGATACTAGACACTAGAGCGTGTCTTGAACGTCAGTTTTTTAAAAAAGACAATTAATATAATTTTTTTTACAAAAGTTTATATTAAGGAAAGTAAGGAGGAAATGTTTTTAAGTAAAAGTTAAAATAGAATTTATACCTACTATGGTAATTTATATTTCAGAATCGCAGTTAGTAGTTAAAATCGAATAATAGCGTACTCATTTTTATATCTCTTTTTATTAGTCATATCTCATTACTGGACTACAGCTTGGGTCGTTTTTTGTGTGTTGAATACACTAACTCGGTAGTAGTAGGCATATTACATATATAGACATAATACATATTGTGTATTATTCAAATCTTAAAAAATATATTAAATGAAAACGTATCGTTGGTCGTTGAAATGTAAAAGAAAAGAGTATGATATTATAAAGACTATCGCATGGCACGACATGCATACAAAACCATTTGTAACGGAAACGGGTGCCATTATAGAATGTTTGGGCGACAGAGTTGAATTTTAAAATTAACGCTTTATATAAACGCTCTTCTGTGCATCAAATCAAATTATTACTTGTATTCTTGTGATGGCGGTCAGTTGATGGTTTGTGTAGTTCTGTGAAACTCTGTTAGATAAATGCACTGATATTTTTGTGGTTTTTGATTTTAAAGTTGTAATATGTTTTGTTTATTTTAATTTGCTTTAAACCTTATCAAGATAGTCAACGACAGTTCATAGAAGATCGGATTTACTATGCCTGTGGTTTGTGGAAGTAGCATGAAAGTATTCGTGGGTCGGAGGAGGCAAGATGAGGCAAAGCTGTTGTGAATAGGCACTATTGGTGCTTAAATATAAAAATAACAGCTATGGATCATCAGGCCACTTCTGTCCGCGATTTTTGTAAAATGGCCGTCTACGTTGGAAATAATTTGATTTTTTAGAATATAATTTAACTAGTATGCTTTATACAAATGATATCTATAATATATTATATATATATATTATAATTGATATAACTATATAAGTATAATTTATTATAACAAACAACTTAAATCATTATAGGTTTATAAAGTAGGTAAGTACTTGTACACGGTACCCTGGTAGGTCATTAAAGAGCAGATAAGTTTATTATCCTTAAAGAATCACCCTTGCTACATTAAATATGTTATTCGTACTTAGATTTAATGTGTTTTATTTCGTACTTAGCACTAAGAATTCACTATCATAAAAAAGTTTTAAAAATTATACGAGTAGTAATAAATAAAAATACCTTTTAAATTATACTAGATTTCATAATAAATCAAATACCCATTGACCAATTGTATAAGTACATTATAACTACTTCTAACTTATTTATTTATTATCACTATAATAATTGTATAACTATAAATAATAGTAGGTAATTATTGTATATTATGTACCAGTTATAAGTAAAAGAACGCACATTTTTTAGATATTTTGAAATATCACTAAATTAAATTGAAATACATATTTATTTTTAATTTTTTCTAAATTTAATATTTAACTATACGTTATTGACGCGAGTCCATTAAAAAATCTATGGTTTACTATTTAAAATAATTATGAAAATGGTAGGTTGATTCGTGTTATATTGTTTTAAATTACAAAATTAATACATTGAAATGAATGTTTTTGTTTTAGTTAGATATCTATAAAAATAAAATTCTAAACATGTTTTTTTTCTAAAACGATTTTTAAAATAAAAAATGTAATGTGTACATTTTTTTGGTTTTATAATATTATACTAATGTACTAATGCCAACATTTGCTTGTTCAACTTTTGTATTATTTTTTAATAATAGATACTTAATTTATAATTATTTTTTTAAGATAATAAAATGTATTATTTTGTTGTAATTGTATACATAATCAGTTGACTAAGTTTGTCGATTGGGACTCCTAGAGTAAGTGCAGGGTGTGCCCGAGAACACTTATAACAACAGCGCTTGTCTATGATTGATATGACCGCCATTTAAGGATCTGACCTCTGAAAGAATCAAGTCATCAAGATATTTCTAAATTATTTATGAAACAATAAGGTTTTTCTCTATTAATAATTATTATCCCGCAGGTGTCTACTGTCTACATAATTAAAGGGTTTTTAGTTATTACTTAAGAGGACGTCATTTTGAAGCGGATTAATTTTACAAAGGCTGTAATCAAAACTAGGAAACCAAATTTTCACATAAAATAGACAACCACATTGTCTGTGCTCTTCCATGGCCCTTTTTTTTAATATTTCAACCAGTTAATTAATAATTAAATAATTTAGAAAGGACTTTTTAAAAAATGATATAGCGTCGGTTGTATTAGGTATATCGAAAAATACGGATGCCGGAGCACAGATAATTTTGACATAATATGTAATATGTATGAATTTCTTTCATTAACTATATATGAAGCTTGAGAAAAATTAATCCGCGTAAAACTCAACTGATATATTTTTTTTTAATCGCTATCAAGGATGCTGTGATAGTCCGAAAAATAATTTAACTACCTAAAAAGAGTCCTAACTACTGAACTAATAATTACACATCACAGTTTAACCTTAATGTTAAGATTTTATAAAAAATCGCCTACATGAATGTGTTGAAGCTTTCGCGGATTCAAATATCACATGAATAATTTTCGGATATATCCGAAAATTATTCATGTGAAATCGCCTATACTTTACTCCTTAAAAATGGGCGGTGTGGCGTCCTCTTAATATCATTTGAACATTAGTAGTTAGATTTTTCTTAGGGTAGATCAACAATGAGGCAATACATCTTAGGTAGGACTAAAATGAATTATTTAATCTCAAGACAAGAGTCCCGGGACTTTTATCTCATTTCCGGTTCCCAGTGCCAACTATAACAGTACCAGTAACAACTATAATGGGTATGCAATTCACAGGGGCCTCTAAAAACGATATAGTATATATATATTTTAAGAGCATTTATTTTTTATAAGACTACCAGATTTAATTTTTCAAAAGTCGTACTTTAGTCATTAATATTTATCTTATATAGACATTAATGAAAGATGATATTTGAGAAGTTAGGGTGAGTTATGCAGTGGCGTGACCAGAAATTTTGGTATAGTGAGTGTTGCGAGCAACATGTTGATAGCATTGTTACCGAGTAATGACATAATATTCGTATACACTATACCTAATCCTAAAGTTTTTTTTTTAAAAATATTTTATTGCTATTAAATATTTGATACCACAAGTTTTGCTCAGCTTTCTTACTGGTACATCATAATAATATATAGATATGCCTATAACTATTTCCCATCAAGAAATCATGAGTCAACTGTCAAAGTAATTATTTTTTAATTAAAAAAAATATCAATCATTTCCCTCTTTTCCTCAAATATGCCACTGGAGTTAGGGATATTAGGGTGAGCCATTGCCAGAAGGCAGTTGACGGATGCTGTAGCTTCTAACTCTAAAGTCCTAGTTATTGAACTAATAATTACACATCACAGTTTAACCTTTAAATTAAGATTTTGTAAAAAATTGCCTATACTTTACTCCTTAAAAATTGGCGGTGCGACGCCCTCTTAAGCGTTTTTGCAAAAATGTTGGCTAAATCTTGGATAACGTTGGCAACGCTGTGACACCTATTGGAATTTTTCACCCTACTCTAACATTATTGTATTATCATACTATCTACCAAGTACCAGCATATTATGAAATAATGTCTTGTTTACTTTGCAGTCCTGTTTACGCTTAACTTTTGTAGAAATCTTTATCAAGACAATTGTTTACGATTTTTAAATATAAATTAAAAAAATATTTAATATATTATTGTATAATTATTCTTAACAAATATTGATTTTTTGTCCTGAAATGTGTTTAATGCATTATATTATCTAACTCAGTGTATTTTGGGTACCTTCAAAGTAAACAAACCTATGTAGTTAGATAGGTAGGTATTAAATATTTGTCTTATGTTCATACCTATATAGTTATTATATTTAAATTATTATTGTGGTAGTTCACGATCAACATATGTTGCTTATTGATAAAAGACGTTATCAGGTGTAGTGCCATTCTTCTATTCAATAATTGCAAAGCAGTTAACTTTACAGTTCACACTCGTACTTTATTTGGTAAGTTATAAGCAATATACAACAATTTAAATATATTAACTATTTAATTTTAAATATACATAAATAAATTTATAATTTGTGTTTCATATTTTATTTGCTTGTTCACTGTTGCTGTTTATGAACAAAATATATAGTTAATATAATTTGCTATTTTTTGTTTTAAAAAATGTTTAAACCAATAATCATGATTGAAATGTATCTTTTATTTTCATTAAAATAGATTTAAAATGTAATAATTAAAGTTTTTTAAGTACACTTAGCATGATTTTAGTATTTTACTAAAAATAATTTGTAGTCAAGTGACCTCACATTTTTTTTTTTTAAATAACATTATATAATTTTATAACTTATAAAATATGCATCACTACTTTTATTTGGTTCATTTTAATTAAAAATATATTATGTATAACAAAACGTTTTACTTTTAATTCTAGAAGTCCATTCAGAAAACTATAGTGTATTATAAGTGCAGTCAAACAATTTAAAAAATGGCACTGTATTCAGGTAAATTAAAAGCATTTTTACTATTTTATGTTGTTATAAATCTACTTATTCAGACGCCTGTTATAAAAAGTAGTATGCTTCATTTTCTTAATGAAAAAGTAAAAACAGTATGATTTTCTACATCATAGCGATGATCATTATGTTTTGTTTTTACTATAACAATTAGTTAATCTGTATTTGGTATGTCAAAAACGTATTAGGTACAAATTTCTCATCTAAAACTATATTTCGCCTATAGTTTTTTTATTGAACAAAATATACTATTTTTCGGGGAAAGAATGAAACATTAATTTTTGTTACAAAAGACGTAACTAATTGCTACATGTTGGGAGAGAGGTCAAAATAAAGCTTTCTATTTTTTTTTAACAATTGTATAGAAAAAGTATATTAGATTTGTAGCAAATGACATATATTACAGTGAAACTTGTCTAAGACAGACTCTGAGTAAACTGGGAAACTGGCTGAGACATAATTTGTGTATGGCCCTGCTAAACCACTTTGCATGTATGTTTTACTGAATAAGAAGGAAAACTGCTTGATACGGAATTCTTTTGGTCCTATATAATTCTGTTTTAGACAGGTTTCACTTACTAGTTATCATAACTGGCATCGCCAGTACTTGGTCACAATTCCTTAACTATCATAATATCTTTAAAAATGGTAATTATACATTGTCTAAACTAAAAATTACAATATTTTACTACAATATTGCATTATATGTTATTATTATATACTAGATACAGTATAATTTACTAATAAATTAGTATTAAACTGAAATTTCAATAATAATAATAACAGTATAAGAAAAAAGTTTACTCATAATACCTACTTATGTAACTTAAAACTTAGAAATTTATTTGAGTTTCTCACAAGTGTAACATAAATTCTATCAATAACTCACTTTCCTTTATTTGTACAGATATGTCAGCTGCTTTGTCTATATTAACTGAAATAAAGACTTTGGTGAACGAATCAGGAGACGATAAGCTGAAAGCAAATACTAACAATGATCTACAACTTTTAATTTCTGTATTCCAAAATCCCATTATAAAAACTATTGCTTCTGTCCAAGTAAACATTTTTAAAAAAAAATTGTTTGTTGTTTTTATTAACTATGGTATCTTAATATTTTATACTAATTTAGGACTCTGTATCTGAGCTAAGTTGTCAGCTTCAAGAACATCCATCTTTGTTACCAGTCGATTTTGATATTTCACCTGTTACTGGTCAACTCGTGCTAAGTTTACCATCAGAAACTAGTTTATACAATAGTGTGCCTGAAGATTTAGACCAGAGAGTTCCGAAGCTTTCAAATAGTTCATCAACTGAAAGTTCTTCGCCTATTTCAAAGGTATACTTTAATACACAATTTTGATAATATTCATATATTTTATTAATTTTAATATGTTTTAATTAAATACTAAATCTTTTTACAGGAAAACAAATTATTAATTAAAGATATAACTGCTAATTTAGCACCAATCACTACACAGTCTTATGCAGTAGAATTTCAGAAGGCTGTCGACGAAGCATCAAAAGGGCGTAAAATTCATAATGTGCAAGTAAGCATACAAAATTTAAAATTAATTTTATAACACGCCCCCCCTCCCCCCAGAAAATGATATGGGTATAAGTTTACTTAATAAGGCACATTTTTTCTCTGCTACATTTTATGTAAACTCTCTCTTGATTACAACTATAAAATATAAATCTCTATTAATTCTAAATGTATTACCATTATTATAAATTTAATTAATACCAATAGTATTACTTACTGGGGAATAAAAATTATGTATTGTAAATGTTTGACAATACAGTTATTAGCAGAGAGGAGTTGAGAATTAGTCAGCCCTGGGAGATGGAAATTGTTCTTGCACAAGGGTAATTGGCCATGGCTTTTTGTATTTTTTTAATTTTTCTAACCTAACAAAATAGGTTGGATCGGGGTTAAAATAAATTCTATGTATCCAGTCAGGTTTAATTGGACTGATGATGAATTTTTTTTCCCCAAATTAAATATTTTTGCATTCCTTCGTCATTATCTGGTCAACCATTTTTGATAAAAACAAAAATGTATTGATATTGACAACTTAATAGCTAGTTGGCTGTACTTTTAAAGTCTGCCCAAATAATATTCATTATATTATGAGATATACGGGTCAATGAAATGTGAAAATGAACACATTATGGTTCACACACAGATGTAAAATTTATTTAAAATAATTTGTGAAGAAAATTGCATTAAAATGCTGATTTTTGGTCAGCCTGGTAAGAATCTTAGTGATTTTACGGTTATTCAAGCATTTTGCAAGAAGGTAGAAGAAGCATTTATCGATCACTATTAGTTTTGACCCAGAGAACCAGCTTGGATCAATTTTTTATATTCATGTACAGCATTTTTCTTCTCAATCAGTTTTTAAAAAGAAGTATTGTCCAAATTTTTTGATGTTTCAGGAAAATTTTGTCTACTAATAAATTCTTCATCTTTATATATATCTCTTGACTCCTTGGTAATTAAGAATGCTCTCCTTTTAAAATGATTTAATTTGGTCAAGTATAATAATCGTTATCAGTGTGTTTAATGCAGTCGTTAATATTTTTAAAATTACAACTTGAGGTTGATAATATGATTATCACACATTTTGATTACAAACTACAGACGTCTATAGTGAATTAAGATTTCAGCATAGTATAGAGGTATGCGGTAAAATTGTGGGTGTTCCGGGCGTTAAACATTTTTGATTGGCACTTACACAAAACTATTAATGATTACAATTTGTATTTTTCTTGCTTGTTAATTAATTACATTTATGACAAATTTAAAAATAGAAATGTGTAATTGACTATTGTAGCTGTTGATATCGGAATAAGGACAAGCGATAGTAAATTGTTACAAGACTATAAATTAAAAACAAAATCGTAATACATTTAGAAACTATTTAGTTATAAAATGTTTATATAATTTATAACCTATGTAAAAGTAAACAAATAAGGAACTCTTATTCCATAATATGAATATCAATATGTGAGAAGCGTACAGGTAAAAAAAATGAATTAATAACTTGTAAGTGGTAGTATTATGAATTATTGATGGGATCCTCTTTTTTTGCACTTTAAAATTTATATTTTTTAATTAGTATTTTACATGGTGTTTTTTTTTTAAATTTGATTTAGCTGTACAAACCAGAAGGTTGCAGCTTAGGTTTTAGTGTCGTTGGCCTAAGAAGCGAAGAAAAAGGCGAATTAGGAATTTTTGTTCAAGAAATCCAACAAAATGGAATAGCTGCACGGTAAGTGATTGTTTTAGATTTTTTAATTTAATTTTACTAACAGTGTATAGGTAATACTAGAATATAGTTAAAAGCAATTGCATTTGAGCAGTATTATTTAATTATTTTTTAGTGTATGAGAAAAAACTATAAATATTAAAAATTATTTAGGTAAAAACACTTTTTTATATATTTTAAAATACTGTTTAACAAATATAACACTTTTTTTTATTTTTTAGCTAATAAATATTTCAAATTTTGGTGACAGGAATTTTGCTTGAAAAATGTTTTATTAGGCTACAAATAATTTAACTATTTTGGCTGATTAATAAACTATCGATAATTAAAATATATTAGTTTGCAAATTATAATAGATTAAAGTTATTAAAAGTATGTTACTTGCAGGTATATACTCTTACTCATAATGAATTGGTCATTTGAGAAACCCCTTAGTCACTATTTTAGCTAAAATCGCTTTTTTATTGTTTTCGATTCTACAAGTGTTATATGTTTATGGAGAAACACCTCTTGTCATGGAGTTTTCTTCTGATCTAAATAGGGATTTGGATTAGTCGTTCACCACAGATACTCCATTAGTAAGAAGTTTTTCTTTGATCTGAAAGTTTAGATTTTGTGACTTTAGGTATTACTCAAATGACTAATTTTGATTATTAGTAGGTAGCTTTGATACATTAATGATTTTAATGAAACTGGTCCTATTTCATATATTAATGCTCATTATGTTTCTGTTTATTTACATAAACTAAACCATTTGGATTTTAAGGTGACATTGAAACTGTTTGTTTTTTGTTTCATAAGTATTGGAAAGTTACCAATTAATGTATAAGCTAAAAGAGCCAAGTTTGTACTATGACGCCTTAAAAAAAATGAAAAATAAGAATTTATTTCTTGACTAGTGTAATGTTTAAGTATAAAAGTATTTGTGTTATTTGTTTGGAATAACAAGTTTGAAATTTTAAAATAAAATTACTTGATTTGGGTTTTCTTTGAAACCCCAGTTAGTAATTATAATAAATGGATTTCAAAATATATTTTTAAGTATTTGTTAATTTTTTTATAAAAACATTTTTAAAATTTAAATGTGCACTACAGTTTTTCAAAAATGACATTTTATTAATTAAGTATACAAATTTAAACATTTTTGTAATACAGGCAGGTTTGAAAATAAAATTCGTTTTTATTGCTAAAATACATACGTGTAATGTTCTTTTAACACAAAATTTAATTTAATTTATAGAGAATAAAGTATAAAATATTTATACTAATAAACCTTAAAAAAGAAAATGTATACTATATTTTGTTAATATAACATGTGAACATATTATGTTATTACAAAATAATAACATAACATTTTCAACATTACTTTTTTATTATTATTACTTTATTATTCATTATTACTTTTATACTTTTTTAATTCGATTTTTCTATCTTCATATCAAAAACAACAAACAATGATGCTAAACCATTTTTTATTTTTTATTATACAATTTTTTTTTATGAAATTCTATTCGAATTGCAGTATTTTTTTTAACAGAATATTTTTAATTATTGTTCATTTCTGCTATTATTTGTAATTAAAAACGAATACTTTAGTACATTTTCAAATTTTTCAAAAGACGATTCTCAAATTATTTTCTATATACTCGTGATGTTTATGAAAAGCTCATTCAGAAAATGACGTCTACTTGACGTTTTTTAGACTGTAAAATTATATTAAATACATTTTCAGGCCTATAAGTATTTATGCAGAAAAATGTATTTTAAATTATAATTAATAGGTATATTTTCTACTATACTGATAATCTCTTACCACTCAAACAGAAAAATGAAAAGTTTAAAAAATATCTCAAAAAATTCGAGTGAAGCTATTTAATTTTTACATTTAGAGAGCCTATATAGCCAATTGAGATACGTTGTGAACCCAGGCTAAAGTGTAAATCAGTATAAACGAACAAAATATTGCAAATCAATTTTGGATTTTGTGTACATCATTTTGTTGATGTCTAAAATTATCATGTCGATTTCCCAAACGTTTCCGAGTTTTTTATTACGGTTTTTGCGTCACCGTTTTCTCGCTTTTAAACGGCCGCAAGTATGGCTGCGTTACATTATGCATGTAGTATGATTTTTGCTCCCTTCAAAAGGTGTCAAAAGGTGTAGAGGTATTTTCCCGGTGGATTCTATTTACTGTACCTTGTATAAAATGTATACAAATGGGATTGTTTAAATGTATAGCAGCGATCGTGATGGGAAAGTGAACCAAACGCTAGCATATACATTATATGTATATAATATTTATAGATCTCGGAACACAAAAGACACTTGACGCGCATGGCGCAGGTCCTGTGATCGACGACGGTGCCCACAGAGGGCGGACAATCCGCTGGTAAACTTCCAGTCATTGCGCTTTAGCGTTACGTTTTGATATACCGTCGCCGTACTGTTGCTCCCGACACACGTATTGTTATAGATGTAAATAGATAATTTAATATTTTTTTAAATTTTATACCTTTACTTATATACACAGTCAGGCCGCTTTTGAATGTGCGGCGTTTGATTTTGCACGCGAGTTGTTCGGTTCCACAAAACGATGTAAAGTAGTAATATTAAATTACCCGTTTAAAAATGACCAAATATCATAATGCTGCCAATCGGTGAAAATGGTGTATGGTCGAAGGGTTGTTGATACCACGGCAACTAGTAAGTCTCAGACATATTATAATAATTGGGCCCGAGTACACCGCGTGAGCAATCTACACACATGGCTAAAAAAATAACGACGCTCAATTGCAATTATTCGACCCTAATAACAATAATAAGTATATAAAATAAACATAATATATTCAAATAATAACTATTTGTAAAAAAACCTATAAAGTTTAGAATTAACTAAATAATTATGACCACTCTATTGTACTATAATTATAAAAAAAAAAAATGATTAACTTAAAAATATGCTATACCCCCTATTTATTGAGAGGTAAGTTTAGGCAATTTTAGTAAAAATAAAACTTGAGTGTATAATTATTAATACTGCACTAATGTACCTGTTAGGCAACTCATTTTTTTATTACTATAATACCGTCTATTTTCAACGTTTTTAAAAAAATGTCTTCATAATTATTGGTCATCTATTATACATGACACGTTTCATTCAGCAGTATCCATACTTTTTCGTCCGAAGTAGTCTTAGAATCTTAACGTTTTGATAAACTTAAAAAAAAAACAAAATTCATAATCGGTTTTTATTGTTGGATACTGTAATAAAATACATTTTTTATTATCACATTAGAGAGAAACAACCTTTATTAAAGCGACGGTCGGGCTGCCAACATGACACAGTGTACACATTCAGACATAATTGTTGCAAAATTCAAAACAGATTACATATAAAATACAAACAATAGAAATAAATCACATAATATACAATAATATAGAGTAGTCTTAAAATACAGCGATAAAATAATATAATTGAAAACACGATAGTCTAGTTTAAAAGTAAAAAAAATAAATATTTTGTATAATTTAATAAAACATTAAGAATATAAATATTTATGTATAATATTAAGCGTGTCACGCATGATAGTTAAGCATATTTCTTTTAATTCTCTTAATTCAAGTAAATTTGTTTTGAAAGAAAAAATAAACAATTAATAAAATTAAAGCTATTAAATTAACCCAATAATACAATATTCTCCTCGTTATTTAAATGACAATGAATCGCCGTTAAATTATAATCAAAAATCGTTTCGCGAAGAAAACAGCTCTAATAAAATTTAAAATTTAAACACTTTTAATCCCCTCATGGTAATGCTAAGACCACCAAAATTTAAATTCCATTGTCAGGCAATAAATTAAATCTAACAAAAATATGATATTTTAGAGATTTTTAGTAACAGTATTTTGCAATAGTTATATTGTAAAAACAAAATCAAAAATCGCTACGTTAGTGCTTCGGTCTACAATTTGAATATTAAAACTGTGATATTTTTCCTGTACATTTTTTTTTATTGAAAAATCGCTATAAATCGTGGAAATAAATATTAAAAGCATAGAAATACGTACCAGTTGGCAGAAAAAATAAAATATTTAAAACGTATTTTTTAATCGGAGATCGAATTTATTAATAATTATTAATTATGTTTTATTTAAAAATAAGTTTTGGTAGAACGTTTATTTTTAGTATTAAAAAATAAAAGTTCTGGCAGAACTTCAATTTTTGTTTAGCAGTTTCTGTCAGAACTTTTTAATTTAAAATACAATTCACAAATAAATAACTTCTATATCAATACTAGTTTAGGGTACTTTTGTTTTTTAATACTGGGAAAATATAGGCTAATATAGGTAATAATATCACTTGCTTCAGGACCGTCGTAAATCACAGGGAGGAATTTTTTACTACATTATTGTTGTAGCACAAAAATATATACTATTTTTTACTATGAGTAACCTATTTGCAGGGACCAGCATGAAGTAAAAAATAACGAATATAAATACAAATAATTATATATTATATATAACTATTATTATTATTATTATTATGTACATTAAGGTTGTCGTTACTTTTGACTACATACTGGATCCCTGTAAATAGGTTCCATTATGTAAAACAATTAATACTCTTTTGAGTGGAATACATTTTTCTCGGTATATTATAATTTCTAAAAAAAATATGTTTATATTATTATTACAATCTTCTGATGGGAATATCAATTATAGGCATAATAATTTATTTAATATAATTTTATAATTTAAAAAAAAGGCATCAGCCTTTTCCATTTATATATGAGAACTAAATTCGAAAAAAATATGAATATTTTTTGTGTGATTTTAATTTGAAAAGTACTAAGTAGTTGTAAAATACTATATGCATTTTTTCTTAAAACAAATTCTGAGTGAATAATGTTTTGGATAAAAAACTAATTATTTTACAAACAGTTATTATAATTTAAAAAAATGTATGAAAAGTAAGTGTTTTATGTATAATGTCGTTTAGGTTCATAACTGCGTTTATGCCAAAGTACTTGCTCAACACGGAGACAATTGGACTCGAATACAAATCTCAAAAAATTAGAACTTTTTTTTTACTCATTTCAATTTTAAACCTGATCTAAATCGCTTATAGCATACGATTTTCAGGGGTTCTTATACAATTTTAAGTCCCAAATTTTAATTTATTTTGGCGTTAATTGAAGTATAATTCTTGGTGGAAAAGAGACATGGTGATAACGATCCATGGTCATTTTGGTAGAAAACGGAAACCCCCGGTTGATTATGTATGGGAAATAAAAATGTAAATATAAAATAACTATGTGCGCAAATGAGTGATCTTAAATCGGCAAAAATTGTATTGTAAAAAAGTTTTTTTTTTAAATTTGTAGAACGATTTTTCAATTAAAAAAACGTATTTTATTTTAGAAAAAAAATGTATATTTTAAATTAGAGTTTAAATTGTAAAACATTAATTTTTTTGAAGTTTATCGGGACCTTTGTTAAAAATTAATATTTCATAAATATTTTTTCAATTGATATATTTAGAGAAGGAGGGCTTCATGAAGGTGATCAAATCATTGCTATCGATGGGCAACCGTTGGACACAAATGTGTCCCATCAACAAGCTATCGGAATACTGCAACAAGCCCGTGGGCTTGTTCAGTTGGTCGTAGCGCGACCTTTAACACCACCTCCTCTACCAACTTTACCGCCATCAACCAACATGGTAATTAAACTGATAGAATTATTTTATGAATGATATTAGCACTAATTATTGATATTTTCATAGAAGTAATTAAATAAAATATTTATTTTTTATCTAGTTGAACACTGAATGGGCTCAAGTTGAGGTGATCGAGCTACTAAACGACGGCTCAGGGTTGGGATTTGGCATAATTGGGGGTAGAAGCACTGGTGTGGTTGTCAAGACTATTCTTCCTGGCGGAGTAGCAGATAGGGTAAATAAAATTTTAAACTTATTTTGTAATAGGATTAAAAAAAAATTAAAAGCTAAATATCTATATTTTAGGATGGAAGGCTGCAAAGTGGAGATCATATTCTGCAAATAGGAGAAGTTAACTTGAGAGGAATGGGTAGTGAACAGGTGGCCGCAGTTCTTCGTCAGTCTGGCAGTCAAGTCCGTTTGGTTGTCGCCCGGCCAATTGAATCTAGCGCAATTGATATAATTCAAGTAAAATATTTATTTTATAAATATCTTAAACATTTATAATTACATTAACTCCAACTAACATTTTTTTCCCATAGACTTTAAGTTGTACAGCTCCAATAGTACCGACTAAAATGTTAGGCGATGCTGAAGAACTCGACCGTCACTTAGTACAGCATGGTTATCCCGAAGTTGCAAATTATACCCCCGATTATTTTTTCCAAAATCTTTCAAACGTAAGTTAAAGAATTTAAGTAATAAATACTTGTGATTAACGACTATATTGTGATTTAGGAAAACAATTTACTAATCAATGATATACCAGCTTCATTGCCTGTCCTTACAATGGACATGGTACCGCCTGATAGTATTACAACTCTTCCAGAAACCGATTCATTTACTGTTCAATTAAAGAAAGATACTCATGGCTTAGGCATAACTATTGCTGGATATGTTTGTGAAAAAGGTTTGTTGAGTTGTTCATTTTTGTGAGTATCATTAACTATCAAGTATCTGATAAATTATATTAACTTACAGAGGAGTTATCGGGAATATTCGTAAAAAGTATAAGTGAAGGCAGCGCTGCCGATTTGTGTAAAAAAATCCAAGTCAACGACCGTATAGTTGAAGTCGATGGAACTTCTTTACAAGGATTTACTAATCACGAAGCTGTTGAAGTTTTACGGTCTACTGGCCAAATTGTCTCATTGCGTTTGGAACGATATCTTAGAGGTCCTAAATTTGAACAACTTCAAGTGGCTATTGCAGCATCAGAAATGAAACCAAGTACTAATAGTACGACAGCATCCCCATCCATTATGTCGTTGCCTAGATTTCCTATCACTGTAAGTTTATTTTTTACAAAACATTTTTACGAATACTGTAAAGTTATATTTTTTTTAATATATTAGGACGGAGAGAGTACTGCAGAAATCGAAGTAGAAGGAGAATCTGGCGCTACATTGGAAGCTGATATGCTAGACGAAGTAGAAGACGAAACCGTTGAAGAGACTGCTTCAGTTGGTCATTCAAACTGTGACGGGGAGTTAAAACCGGAAACCTTAAAAATATTAAAAAACAAATGGGGTGAAGCTATTGGAAATAATGTAGAAATAATCGTAAGTTAAATTTTAGTTTTTAACTATAGTACAACCAAAGCTAGGCTAATTCCATTTAAGTAACTTGTTAAGTTACTAGTTATTATCAGGAAAGAAGTTACTATAAGTTACTAATAGTTGGAAATTATTCAGATTATTTTTGTTGATTATTTATAACAAAATTATTTTTTACTCATTATTCGGTTTCATATTATTTGTCATAATATGTTAGTAGATCAAACAATTTGTTATTCACATATTCATTATTTATATTTTATTTGAATATCAAATTATTTTAAATAATACTTTTTTTAATAATTCTTATTTATATAAAAATATACATAGGTATATAAACCTATGTATTGTATCACATATTTATTTAACTAAAGTTTAATTTTTAAAAAATTTATAGTCTTTTACTTTCTTTGATGAAAAAGTAACTCCTAATGTTACTCATGCATAAAAAAAAGCTACAATGTACAGGGTCCGGCAAAAAAGCCTCCCCTATTTAGAAATGGCACTGTGTGAGTTGTGGTGGTGGTACAACGGTAGAGGGGTTATCGATCGATAGCTGTATGTATATATGCCATTTTCTCTGGCCTAACCTAAACCAGTTTGCTAGGAACCATGATGAGGCAGAAGTCTGGTTCCAACAAGACGGAGTCACTCACACTTTGCGGCGTTCACTTTTAATTTTTGGGAAAGGCCATAGCTCTTTGTGTCATTTCCGGTGTAATGGCAGCCACTGCCTGGGTGATTGCCTTCTTAAGTCCCCAAAGAAAAAAACCATAAGGGGATAAATTGGGTGACCTTGGTGGTCAGGTGATGTCTCCTCGCAAAGAGAAAAGACGTCCAGGAAACAACTCACTCAAGATTGCTAGGGAGTGCCGCGAAGTGTGACCTGTGGCATCGTGTTGTTGGAACCAGACTTCTCCCTCATCATGGTTCCTAGAAAACTGGTTTAGGTTAGGTCAGAGAAAATGGCATGTATTACATACAGCTATTGATCGATACCCCCTCCACGGTTGTACCACCACCACATCTCACACAGCGCCATTTCTAAATAGGGGAGTTTTTTTTGCTTGACCGTGTACTAATTTTTGTACCTTTTTTTAACTAGTTGTGGCCAATTTTTCATTGAAATAAATTTAAGCAATATGTGCATTAGTTAAAAATGATGACGTAAAATATTTCTTCAGATTGGTCAGTTGAAAAAATTCAGTGAAGGAGGTGGTTTGGGAATAAGTTTAGAAGGCACTGTAGATGTTGAAAACGGCATGGAAGTAAGACCACATCATTATATAAGATCGGTACTGCCCGAAGGCCCCGTGGGAAAAAATGGATGTCTCCGGTCTGGCGATGAGTTACTTGAAGTAAATGGACATCGTTTACTTGGGAGAAATCATATGGAAGTTGTAGCTATTTTGAAAGAGTTGCCTCTGAATGTCAGAATGATATGTGCAAGACGCACCGATGAACAACAGTTGCCTCATCATTATCTTACGGATATTACAGAAGATCGGGCTGCTTTTGCTGCTAAAGTAAGTCAAACCATGCCTTTGTTTTTAATTATTACTATAGATTTTGATTTTAAAATGTCGTTACTTTGTAGAATGCTTTAGGGGGTAGTCTTCAAAATTTAATGCCAGCCACCGATCGATTAGTTAAAGCTAAATCAGATGGATCATTAGCCAGTACAGGAACTACCGGATGTTCAGAATCAAATAGACTACGTTCTCGATCTCTCGAACCACTTACTGGACTTGCTATGTGGTCATCACAACCTCATCTCATTGAGCTTATGAAAGGAGAACGTGGTCTTGGTTTTTCGATTCTTGATTATCAAGTAAGACATAGTTATGCTGTCATACGAAAAACACAAAAACTTCATGTTTGGTTATTTCACAATATTAATACCAAATTAATATCTCAATGATATTTTAGAAATTTTGTTGTCAATTTTTCTATCATAATAATAACTAAATATAAAATGTATAACCTCTTAAAAGTATTTAATGTTTAAATACTATTAACTAAAATAATAATCACATTTTTCTCAAAATTGATTTATCTCCTCTCTTTTAAGGATCCAATGAATCCCAGTGAAACAGTAATAGTAATTCGCTCGTTAGTACCAGGAGGTGTTGCCCAAAATGATGGTCGCTTAATACCTGGAGACCGTCTCTTAAGAGTGAATGACATATGTTTGGAAAATGCATCATTAGATCAAGCTGTTCAAGCATTGAAAGGCGCTCCAAAAGGTGTAGTCCAAATCGCAGTTGCCAAACCATTGCCGATACCAGACAGTAGCAGTCAGGTGAGTTCTCCTTCAGAGCAGGCACGGGCAGATGAGTCTTTCACACAGCGCCGTGGCGAATTCTACAACGATGTCGATCAGGAGTCATCTGTTCAACAGTTGGCATCTATGCTGCTCAAATCGGAGAGCTTTTAATTATAACTTTATCATTTTCTTTAAGAAAGTGGCGATTTATATTTTGATTTTCGTGCAATATATAAATATATATATATTTATATTTGGTTATAAATCCATATTTCAAACTCGTATTTGAAAAGATCAGCCTTCCATATTTTTTTTTTTAGTGGAATTATTTGATTTTTTTTAAATAATGCCACGTTTATTTAACCGTCCATATTTGTTATTTTACTTGTCTTTAATAATAACCACTAATTATTACATGTAGTTAGGCGATTATTGAAGCTACGATGCGAAGGCAGTTTAATAGAATACTTAAGTAACTAAATGAAGAAATGTGACATATAGTACTCATAGAGCTGTCAGACAGTATGGAGTAAGAATGGTTACGAGTATTCTATTTTACTAATCCGTTAGTTATGTAGTACTACTATTCTTTTCTATTTACAATCGTTCACTGTACACTGTTCTATGAGCACTTAAACACTTCTTCATGTATACGTGTATTTTAAAACAATTACAAACAACACTCCAATCATTTTTTTTTCTTTTGTTAAATCTTTGTTACTATCAATGTGCCTTATTAACTGATAAAACGTTTAAACAAAGTATTCATTTACATATTAGTTTTTTGCAATATTATGATTAAGTTAAGTATTTTTTGGGTGTATGGTTAGGTATTTAAGAATAAGGTTATTTTATTCCTTGACATTTGTATATTGATTATTATTATAATGTAGAGTTAAAGCAAGAGGAAAAAAACACAACTGCCAATCCATGTCGCCGCTCTCGTTTATAATTTAGTACATATTTTCTTCTTTTTTTAAGTTTAGCATAATTATTTAGCCAATTATTATTTTCTTTTGTTATATGTTTTTTAATTTTTTATTAAATGTAATTTTTGGAAGTAAATGTATAACTGCGTTTTTTTATTTTATTTGCATAAGCTGATAAAAACACAAATACTCTAAAACTGTGGTTACATTGCCATAGGTTTTAACGAAAAACCGATTGAATGTATATAATTGTAATGAAATATGATTAAGTTATCCTCAGAGGCAATGTGGCTCATGGATGGCGCATTTGTGTTTTTGTTGCTCTCTTTCCTTAAAGAAGTATTCTTCCTTATTTCACAATTAGTTACGTACTGAATACATTGCATGGGTTTTTAACATAAATTCACGAGTGATAATTTGAATTTGATCAATATTCTATGAATATTATCTCCCTCGAGTCCAAATTAGTAGGCAAAAATTAATTCAATAGAAAAAGTTCAATAAAAAAATGTGTTTTGTGTTTTTTAAAAATATTTTGATAAATCTTAAGAGGACGCCCCACCGACCATTTTTAAGGAGTAAAGTATAGGAAATTTTTTACAAAATCTTAACATAAAGGTTAAACTGTGATGTGTAATTATTAGTTCAGTAGTCGGGACTCTTTTTTGGTAGTTAAATTATTTTTCGGACTATCACAGCATCCTTGACAGCGATTAAAAAAAAATATCTGTTGAGATGAGTTTTACGCGGATTAATTTTTCTCAGGCTTCATAATACATAGTTAAGGAAAGAAATTCATACATATTATACATCTGACAAAATTATCTGTGCTCCAGGGTCCGTATTTTTTCGATATACCTAGTACAACCGACGCTACATCATTTTTTAAAAAGTCCTTTTATTAATGAACTAATTATTCATTAACTGGTTGAAATATTTAAAAAAAGGGCCATGGTAGAGCACAGACAATGTTGTGTTGTCTATTTTATGTTAACATTTGGTTTCTAAGTTTTTTTGATTACAGCCTTTGTAAAATAATTCCGCACAAGCCGGGTTTTTTGAAGAAAATAACGGGTGTGTGACGTTCTCTTAACTGTAATCAGTTGGAACACGTTCTGTTTAAAATTTACTTTTTTTAACGAAAAAAAAAACATGAGTTAAATTTTCTTAAAAACAATTAAATCTTTTAACCTATTAAAATAACAAAAAGACATTTTTAATCGAGTTGTTCTGTTTTGGTACTTTTAAGAATAACTGTAAACTGTTTACATTTTCTTCCGAACTCTTCATCACAATATCGTTCAGATGAATATTTTAAAATTCTGTCAATAGTTCCTAAAGATTTTATTAATGAGATTTTATGAGTCGATTCATAAATGTTATTTTTTAAGTACATTTTTTTAAACTTAAAAATAAAAAAAACAGTATTTAATTATTCTTATAAGAATAATAAAAAAACTGCTTGAAACAAGTTTTTGTGTCGTTAATTAGGAAAGCTTATTACAAGTTTAATCTAGTCTTAGGAAAAAAAACAACCAATTGGTCTACATTAGCTATTGAATTTGATTTTTGTGGCTATTCACCAATATTGTTTTTTATATTTTTGCGAAATTAATTTTTTATGACAATGATTTATTGTTATTATTTAACATGCGTTTTCCGTTTATGTTATTTTTATTCTGTATTGAGTATTAACAAACGTAATTAATATCGTTGAAGTCCATCATACACACTTCAGCTACTTCTTTTTTTAGGAGAATAGCTCAGATGAAAAAAATCTGAGCATCGATAACGACGACGACAATGACTGCTGTTCAATGTATAGTTGTCCAGAATCGCCCATTAATTTTGAGAATTCAAAGGTAAGTGTTTTTTAAATATTAATTTTTCTATATTATGGAAGTCATATTTAATGAGATATTCAGATATAAGTTGTAAATTCATTTTGAATAAACGCTTTGCTGTATACATATTGATGGTAACAACTATTAATTATATATATATATATATATATATATATTACAAGGTTTTATGTTAACCAAAAATGCTTATAAGCTGTTATTTTATTTTATGGGTATGCCTTGATTAAAAAATTGTAACGTAATTGTATTTAATAATACTTTTAAATTGGGAATTATCCACTGAATATTTCGTCTAGTCGATTGGAAATTCTTTAATGTTATAAAAAATCTATAACAAAAAAAAAGAAAAGAGGAACTACAAACTTACAATTACTTTCAAATTATAACGTGTCTTACATTAAATTGATTATAAAAAAATACATTTGAATTATTAAATTCAATTTTAATAGGTAATTTTTAACATTTCACTTAGTATGTTATTTTTATTGGAGTAACTGAGTTTGGAATTGTGATTTTACTCTTCACTTACAATTAATAAAAAAAAAAAAATTCGACTACAAATATCTGTAAAAGTTGGCACGTTAGATCTACCTTCAGTCTAAAAAAAGTTCGAGGTTTTCCACTGTCTATCGGTCAAGTATCTAGGTTTTTCCTAACTAGGACTCTAATGCTTGTCGAAAACGATATGAATTTATAATTTTTATTCCAACATCGAGTTAATCAATTTTCAACTAAATAAAGAAATGCAATATTTTGTATTTTAAATGTGGAAACAATGTATTTATTTTGTTAACTATATTATATTATACTAAAATTACATTACATTTTTAATGTAAAAAAAAAATTGTTTTTCATATGGATAGTTAACTAATTGTCCATATTAAATATAGTCAATAATTCTTATAAGTTAGTAATTAAGTAATCATAATTGGGTAAAGACAATGTTCGGAAATTTGATGTAAATCTGAGCCAGGCCAAGTTCCAGCAAACCTGCCAGCGTATATTAAATATTTACATGAACAAATTCACCCTCATATCTCTTCTTCCTCTTAAGATGAATATTTTGAAATTTGAAACATGGATTAAGCTTAAGTAGCCTAGGATACTGTAAAAAATTGAACCCTTAATATTAAGCCTTTTTATGAGGGGAGAATTTCAAAGTTTGCATTTTTGTTACTGACTGACTGATTGACTCATCACTAAAATTATAAGACACGTCCCGTATTAAATACTATGTAAGTAAAGGGAAAAATCTGAAAGTTTTAATTTCCTCAAAATGAGTACCGCTTAGAGAGGGTTGTTCTAAATACGTGAAGCGAAGGGCATGACTATTCATCTAAGTAGACATCTAACCGACATACACAATTCCTCCAGTGCCTTGTAAGAAACTAAGATGACGCCCGCGATGCTTAAACCAGCAAAAAGGAATGATATCCCCAACAAAACCCTTCCCGTGAAAAAAGGGTCAAGCACATCAAAGTGGTGGCATCTACATTGTGAACGAGTCTCAAGTCTTTCTTAAGTCTATAACCTCACTTCACTCCTACTCTCATGAGGAACACTGTTCATGAATGCAACCCTACTCTTTTATTTTTATTGCTTAACACTTGGCCAGTTTCTGAATGAGGCATAAAACATCAGTATCATGTATACTCACATAGAAGTTACAATCGTGGCCAGATAAGTTGGCACAGCGGCAGCGGCGTTACTGTTATTATTATTATTATACATTTTATAAAAATAAACTATCAACTGTGCTTCGACAAGGCATAATATAAAAAAAAAACAATACAAAATACAGAGAACCCCTGGCTTTGCGTTCTCGCGCCGCAGCTGTGCTAAGTTATCTGGCAACGACTGTACGTGGGTGAATAGAAGGAGAGAATTCTGAAGACAAGCAAAAAGTTCAAGAACCCCTCCCAAAAAAGTTAGCCTATCAAAGTAGTATTTACGTTGTGGCCAAGTCTGTTTTATGTCTGTATTAGGTATTAACCAAAAGGGCAGTTGTCGAGTACAAGTGTCAAGTTTTTCAAAACCGAAACAAAAATGTTTGATATTTTTTTAGTAAATACTTTTTCCATCTTTGTTTTAAAATTGTTGGCTAATTTTTTAAAGACATGTTAAAAAAACTAGTGAATACCGTCCAATAGAAAACATGGAAAATATAATTGACATTTTGCTCTCTTGCAAAAATGTATAAAAATTACTTGACTCTTTTCACCACTCAATTTTCAAAAATGTTTAATTTTTTAATTTTGGATATCATGTATAATAAACATTAATAAATAATATTTGGACAATAATTGTGGTTCCATAAGTATATTTTTGTGTGTATTACGCAAAGTTAATACTCCTCGTAAATAAATACAATTATACTAATTAATTAAAATACAGAATTGCAGTATTTTTTAAAAAATAAATTTAACTACAATCATTTTCGGAAGATAATTAATAGAAAGAAGGTAATTATAGTTTGGTAATAAATAAATATGAATAGAATAATAGGGGTGTCAAATTTTCTGACCTTGCGTGCCATAATATTATAAAAAATATTTCAAGTAAAAAAATCGTCAATTAGAATATTTTATTTATACAATAAACATAAAAAATTGTTCGCTTTATGTCAATTCTTTTTCAAATATTTTTATCGCATTTTCGCGTGCTATGATTTTTTTTTTAAATAATCGAATAAGTCTTTCAAATTTGAATAGTAATTCAAATTTAAATTTAAAAATGTAATACTTAAATATAGCACTATAAATATATAGTCGAAACCTGAAAAATAACATAAATTCTTTCAGTTTTTACCCTTAGAGGATTGAATAACTTTTTTTTATTACCCTTTCTCAGAGGTAGTTTTAGGACTTAGTACTTGGTAGGTCTAGTGTGACCCTTTAAAATTTAAGTACAACTTTTTCAAATATCTGTTGAAAGACCAATGAAAACACAAACCAACAATTATCACGACTGTAAACACATTAATTGTTGTTTATTTTACGATCCATGTATTTATCAGTTTTTATTGTAGTACCTCATCGAAGAGTTTAGTTGAAAGTGATTTTATCACTTTCCTGAAAACTTGCGACCCCACTGTGCTGGGATTAATTTTTAATTTCAAATTACATATTGTTGTCGCTGCACTTAATGAGGTGTTTTTTTTTTTACCAGGACGATACGGTTAGTTTGACAGCGGTCGCTAACGAGACCGAACTTACCTCGGCGCACGCAGCGCCGCCGGTCCTTTTGCAAGAGATTACCGTGGACAAAGATTCATTACCGTTGGGCTTAAGTCTGCGCAGTCGTTCGTTCGGCGATTACTCGGGCTTGGAAGTGGAAAGCCTTTGCGGGGCGGCCGAGCGGGACCGGAGGCTAAAAGTCGGCGACATGGTCATGTCCGTCAACAACGAATCGCTCAAGTACGCGTCGCCGGCCCAAGTCAAGTCTATATTGTCTAGGGCTAACCTGCTCACGGGACCCATACCGTAAGTGGAAGCCGTATAAAACACAATATCGTAATATGCACTTCCGCTCGACCGTGCACACGTACATACAAAACGAATAGCATTATAATAATCTGTTTGTAATCCAATTAATGTGTTGTACGTGTAACCGGATTAGCGTTGGTCGGAAAATCGATAGTGTCATTATACAAGTTTGATTCATTTATTGTGTGTGTGTGTTATTTTTTTGTACAGTGTAAGTTTTGTACGCGCCGAATCGGTTAACGATGCCTGTACGATCACTCGGAGCAAAACTGTGCCCAATGTGATTCTGCGGACGCCTAGGTAACGTGTAATTAACATATTGATATCAGTGTACATTTTGCAGGGTTAGCAAGTTTTATTTTTATTGTAGAAAACGAATAACATTTTGATCGTTTAAAACAATATTTGTTGTGCAACATGTTTACCGAATAAAAAATTAAACAATATGAATAATGTAGCCCGGGAACTAAATAAAAAATGTCAAATTTTATAAAAATTAAGAATAAAACGCAAAGCCGTTTTCCAAGGTGTCTACCAAACTTATTCCACGATTTTTGGATAACTGGGTAAACCTGTTATATTATGTTGATTTTTAATTTTTCTTTATAAATTTATAAGCGTTAATGGTTTTACATTTGTATGGTTTTCCCTATAAATCGTAACTAATTTGTTAACAAATAAATTATTAATTGACATTTTAGTCCCCTTGAAAAAATCGTAAGCTTTCGATAAAAATTCGTTCAATAGAAATGCTAAAAAAAACACAACTCTTATTAAAAATGGCTTTAAAAGTTACTAGAAAAACTTATTAGGCTTGTAATCTTTAGTAAGTTGTCATATTATTTGAAATGATTCCTAAATTGCTTTTACTTCGGCCTTTATTAAATAGCTCTTTCCGTCCCCTCTAATTGAAATGCTTAATAAAAACAATATTTTACAAATGATAAGTAGTAAGTAAAATCAATAAGTAATAACTTATTAGTTTTTAAGTTATTTATTTTTTAATAATTTTCGCCTCATTATACAATGCATTTTGTGCTTAATTATATTATATGGCTGAATAAAGTACCTATTTCCCGAGGTATGGAAATCATGGTTTACTAAATTGCTTTTTTAACTTTTCACTATTCATTCATATTTTATAATGCATTACTTTGAAGGATTCTGCCAGAGTACTATAGGTGAGGATATAATAATACAATATATTATTGTAGGACACTATTAGGTATACCGATTTAGTAGTTCATCACATCTGGTTAATTATAATTGATTGCACATTAATTTGTTTGCGTTGATCGTCAAATTAGTTTAGCGGTGAATTACAGTGGTATGGCAATTCAATTATATCTAAAAATTAAATGATTAAAAATAATGACGTAAGTATATTCTCGAGATGTGCTTGCCGTAACATGCTGACTATAGACCGGTTTGTGTAATTTAAAAAGACACTTAATTTTATTATGTATTTCTATCCTTTTACGGCCTATTCCACATAATTGGTTTTAATGCCGGACACTCCTTTAACCTATTTGTACAGAGTGGATTTAAAAAATTGAGTTCACGTTGATTTCGTTTTATAATTTAGGAGGTGGCATTGATAGAGGCAATTAATGTTGGTACTTGGTTTTATCATTGAATGTATATACTCAATGGTTTTATATATTATCGAATAATAGTTTACAGTTGCATAACTGAAACCCCGTTCTTACTTCCTATGGCTGTAATGGATTATGATAGGTTCAGGGTTCTACTACCATATATATATATGTTGATTGGTTTTACAATGATGTGTTTTAATTTTTTTGTAAAACATATACTTTTGCTTATGTCACCTACCATTGTATCTATCTACTCAACCTAACTTTTGAATTTCGTGTCGTTTTTCGGCAAGTTGATCATCGCAAAAGAATATTCTATGTTAAAATGTACTTATTATATATTTATTAAACTTAAAATACGACACGCTATACCTTTTTGAAAAATAGTCTAATTAGTTTTAACTAGTATGCGATATTCTTCAAATATACTACTATTAATACACCTACGTACGATGACAAATAAAAATAAAAATAAAAACCCATTTTCCCAGGAGGGATGATTTTTTTTTTATTTATTTCGCTTTTTCAGGGATTAAGGAAGGAAAATTAGACTGTTGGTAGATCTAAAAAGGGACCATAACATAATATAATTTTCTTAAAAATTTGTATTAAAACTTTATTTTTTTAGGAAAAAAACGGCGGATATTACAATTTGACCGTAATCAATTTCTATGTGAGAGTAAATAAACACTCAACGGGTACCCGAAAAATAGTTTTGTTATGTTTATGTGATATACGGGAAACAACGGCGACCAATTATTGTAGACAGGCGTTCAACCCTAATCCTATCCCCCTGATACTAAAAACACCTAACCTAAGTAAATTATTGTCGCTACAATTCTTTTATAGAAATTTGTATTTCTAGCATCTACAGATTCGCATTGAAGGGCTTATTTGCAAGTGATTTTATCACTTTCAGTTACAACCTTCCTCCCAATATGTCTGACTCCACTGTACTGTTTTTTTTTTAATTTTACTTTATATATATATATTTTTTTTTTTTACGTTTAATTAATTACACGTAAGCGCTTTTCTATCTGTCCGTGTAATTTAATTAAAATGTGTTAAAGCTCGAAGGTCAGCCGAGGCTTCTGAATATATAAGTAAGGGGTTGTGAAAGTCTCATTATCCTCTAAAGAATATTCTCGGAATATTTTTATCCAATCATCAAGTACTTAATAATAGTTTAATGGAAAAAGGGTTTGGTTTAACCCATTGAAAAATATCCCGGCTACGCCTCGAGGTTAATGGATTAATTGCTGTACAGTGTTCAAGTTAAGACTTAATCGATATTCACCTCCGACTCAGATGATCCATTTTAATTATTTGACAATTACTATTTTTTAGAAACTTTTTTTCCAGTTACAGTTCTAATCCGTCAATCGAGACTTCGCGAAGTTCGACTGAGGTCCTGTACAAAGTTTTTAATACTTAGATAGCCTAATATTGTTAAAGGACAGGGTTGGTGGTTTGGTAAAATGTATGTCTTGTAGTCGGTTAAGTTCCAAGACGGCGTTACTATCTAGGTATTTGTCGAAATACAATCTAAAATAAACTAGCGAATAAAAATTCAACAATTTATTTAGGTCGCCATGGATTAAGGAAATAAAGGGCACGTGCTAAACGAATTCTGAATTGTTTAATTTTTTTTTGTCGTCCCTGACATGGTCCTCGTGTTTGAAGGAACGAAAGCGTTGTATTAAAATCTCAATTGCAATGAGTCGTAACGGAAAAGCGGTACTTTTAGTAAATAAAAAAAACACATTTGCTTTTTCATAATATTCTGTATTGATAAATTATATAGTAAAGGTTCTTTGGAATTTGTAAAGTCTTTTGAGTGAAATCATGTAAGTCATATAGTTTTATGAAAAAGAAAAAAAGAGGAAATTGGGATTTTTTCTACTCGAATAGTTGACATATTTTATGATTTAAGCGTGTTAACGAATCACCCTTGGAACTGTTAAAAGTTTAACAGTCATAAGATTTTTGACGTGTTTTATAAAAGAAATATTCTTAAATAATTTTATGTCTTTTTACTTGGGTTAAATCAAACCAAAATCAGTATCACGTGGCTGACACACCTATGCGGCCTTTGTGCGTACTTAGTTATATCACTTATTTTAGAACTATAAAATCAATGGTTCTATTTAGATATAATTGATTTAAATTCAGGGTAAAATTGTTTGTAGTTATTTAGAGCAGTTCGCACTTGAAGTGTGGGAGATTCATGTAAAAGTGAATTATGCTTTTTACATTTTCAATCAATAGTTTTTAATTGAATTCACTAACACTTTTTTTTCACACAGCGAACAAGTGTATGACAAGTATATAAGTTAGTGACACTGTGCAAATTTCACATTAGCCGTCTAGTTCATTTTGGTCTTAACAGGCAAAATGTTTTCATATGCACAATGGTTTAGAAAGTAAAAATCTGAATCAAGTAAATTTTTTTTCTTTTCTTCAAAAACCGTATTCGTACAAAAATTTAAATAAAATTCCCAAAAACAACATATTTACTTAAGTTTGATTTACAACAATACTTTTGTACAGCTTAATTATTTTGAACTATTTTTTAATTTAGAATATGTGTATTTGTTGCTGTTTCTTGAATAACAATGTTGCATTAATTATCATTAATGAAGTATAATTTTATGATTATTAGTATCTTCATCGTCTTATTCTTAGTATGACATATTTTACTTAAAACAAATGTTATAGTGTTATTGTTTTCGAAAAAATAAAATTACTAATTAGTTATAAAAGTGGCACATAATATTTGTATTTTTTTATATTTTATTATATCTTTACATTACATTTAATATTCCTATAGGATTTTACGACCTGGCATTTTTATATAAAAATTGTAAAATATAATATTCACAAATTAATTTGATAATTGATGAGTTTTCTTTAAACCTATTATAGAACAAACAAAACGTATTCTGCTTATCTATGTTTAAGTTGGAAAATTGTTTAATAACATTATTATAGCCACTGTGATAATCTAATTAAAAAATGATTTACCATTAAAGAATCTTCATTGATGGACGAAATCACTATAACTCATTTTAGTTTAAGAAACTAAGTAAACCTTATAATAAATGGGGGTGTAGCGTTCTCTTAACTAAATAAAAATCCATAGAACTTGTTGTTTTTTTTAAACTTGTAAGTACTTAATTAAAAAATATTAATTATTACAACACTAAAGTCGTGCAATTACATTACTTTGAGACTTGATAAATATAAATATATATATATATATATTTATATTATTTAAAAGTAAGACAAATTAGATCTCATGTTGACTAGACGTACTTTGATAATTTAAATTCTCAAGTATAAAAGTGAAAAAATGTAATGTAAATTAATTAAATTATTGGTAGTTAAATAGTAAAATTGTCTACGCTACGTATATTAGACATTTCAGGAGTATTTATTTCAAATGACGCTATATCTATGAGCACGATATTAATATTTAATAACAGTCATTTACAGTATAGATACCGTGTAGTACCATTAGTAATACACTAATAGGATTTTTAACAATAATACAAATTTATGATTTTCTAGTATTGTCCTCGGTTAAAAACTTCTGGGCCACTGTGGTATATTAGACAGTGATTTGACATATACTTACACAATCGCAATCTTGGCGGATGCAATTCAACAATTAATTCAACTCTGAACGTCAATAAAATCATATAAAGTGTCTGAAGTATGTTTTTGGCTTTGTCTAGGTCACCGTTTGTGGAGTTTCGAGAAGCTGACGACCGTCCCGTGCGGAAAAAACCGCCCAGACCAAAACTGTCCCGGCAGAAGTCCGGCGAGCAACTGCTGACCAAATCGTCCAAATCCAAGTCGGAGTGCACGCTTTGCACGCAGTGCCATTCCGTGCAGCGGACGAGAAGCTGGAATGACGTGGAACCGTTGAACGACGTCAGTTTCGAGAACGTCATCAATTACTACAAGGTGTTCAAGACCAGCGACGAGTACGTGTGCGCCAAGTTCACCAGCGATCAGTTTATCAAGAAGTTGGACGAGAAGTTGCGCGAGGAGTCCGACAGGCTATCGGAGCTAACCCAGAGCGCGGTGTCCGTCTGCTCGGTGTCCACAGTCGACGAACGGGACTTAGACGGACGACTTCGGGACGAAGCGGAAGCATTGCGTAGACTGACTGGAGATCAGGCGTCTCCCTGTGCCGATTCGCCGTCGTCGGACGACCACTGCTTGCTGAGACTAGGCAGCGAAGATTTTGGTTGTTTCGATGGTCCTCCGACTCGAATCTACCGGTTTCCCAGCACGGGCGTAGCTTTGGACAGGAACGAAGCGACCGCTTTTACCATGACGGTGTCTGCCGGCCAACAGTCAGCATCTTCGCTGTTGGCCAAGCACTGGGGTCCCCAACGTGAAGTCATCGTTCGGCGAGACGTCAATAACAGCCTGGGCATCAGTATCGTCGGAGGAAAGGTCGTTGTTCAGAATATGGCAAGGACCCAAGTAGAACAAAGCCTACTAAAGTGACAACGTTTTTACTCTTTAGCCGGGGGGGGGGGGGAACAAAGTATACTACTGAAATTATATTTTATTTCCATAGATATTTTTTTAACACTCGCGTTCTAACTCATAAACCTACCATTTCACCGATATTGCATATTTTTCTGAAATTTCTATTTTTTGTTCTGAAAAATTTAGTTTTAACGACTTAACATTTTTTCTTGAGTCCTGAATTTACTTATTACTGGTAGACAATTGGTTCTTAAGTAGATATCATATTGAACCGGTAACTGAAGTTTTACAGGGTTTAAATTACTTTCAGGGCTTGAAACAGAAAAACAAATTAGGTTTCGATTTCAGTCATAAAAAACCAATTTCTTTTGTTTTACATGAATACGTCATTCGGTGTCATGTGAAAAAAAATTGAGCGTTACCAAAACATCGTTTCCATGTGTGGGATGTACACGGGGCACAGTGGACGAGGCGAGATCGTTGTAGTGTCATTCTGTAGATGGGACGGAACGTCGCAAAGGGTATTTTTATATCTGCTTATAATCTCTGAAACTACTAGCTCGATTTACGTGAGGTTTTTTTTTTTGAACTTTCAGTTAATTCTTAACCCCTTATTATTTCTCAGCTATTCAGTATTGTCGTTTGAATGATAACAACAAGACGCATTCACGTAAATACCTGCGGTTGTAGCTCTGATTACGACCTAACCTGGCTTAGTTTTCTACTCGGGTTCTTTTAAAATACTCAATTGTGTGTTCGTCATAGGATTTCAACCGAACGCTTTCCGGTATTTTCTAGGTGGACTTTTTTAACAGTGCCGACACCAACAGAAATAATTCTGCCATAACCGGAATATTTGTTAAGAATGTTCTTCCTCAAAGTCCTGCCGGTCAAGCGGGTCAATTGAAAGTGAGTACGGTTGACGATAGTGCCTTACGGGACTAGTGTTAAAAGAATAAAATAATTTTAAAATGATTTTTGTCATAAAAATCGGTCTAGTTATTTCACAAATGTTGTGACCTCGTACATAACAAACATCTCCTATTAACTTAGCTTTAAATCTACATAAAATATGTTTATTTATTCGTGTCTTTTTAATTGACTTATTAGACAGGAGACAGGATATTAGAAGTGAACGGCATTAGCGTGCGACACGCCAATCACGAAGAAGCCGTCGAAGTCATTCGCTCTGCCGGCAATCCAGTTGTTTTCCTAGTGCAGTCTCTTGTATATTGGGTAAGCATTTTTGTCTATAATTATAGAACATTACACCATATCCCTTCAATAATCATATAAACACCATTTTATGTACTATTCTATACCTACTTCAATCATTAATTATTTTGATATTGTCATGTTGAAATGTATGCGCTTTGTAGTTGTTCATAATCTTGAAAAACAAATAAAAAATAGGTAAATTACAAATATTGAATTTAATTCTAATTTTTCCAATTGTAACCCAATTCTTAGTATAATATATATGGTTTATTTCGTAATCAATAACTTAATAATATGCTTTACTGTGTGACATTTGGATAACTCGTATAAGTTCGTTTACACATTGTCCAGGCTGAAAACGAACAAAGTATAAAGTCCTCTTCGTCATCGTCATCGATTGCTGTGGATGTGTCGTCGGCCAAAACAACACAAGATCGTTTGCCTTTGACGTCCAAACCGGGCAGTGTTAAACAAGTAAGGATTTCTGATGCTTACATGCTACATGTTTTTTTTTTTTTTAATTAAATATTATTTTTATGCGGTTTAGAAAATATCCTCTTGGCAACAGAGAAGTGTTGAGAATTTGGACGAACTACCTCAAGAAACGGCTAAGCGGAAAATTTCCTTAGTGTCTGTCAAAAAAACTAATGTGTTTAATCGCAAAAAGTCTGAGGTATCGAATAAAAGCGAAGAAAGTGAAGATGACGATGACAATAGGGATAACGAAGGACGCATCAGGATTCAATCTGGACAAGAGGTTGTATAGAATTATTATCATTTGCTGTGTATAGAATAATCCAATAATTATTCTAATGTACGTATTCATTTAAGTTTTTTTTATAAAAGCCCATTTAGTTTTTTTGTTTTCAGTCGATAGTTGACACAGTTGAAATACTGTATTGAATATACCTTATCGAATTTAAAACTAGAGAGGAGAGGCTAGGGAAATTAAAATCCTTCTAAACTCGTTCTGCCTCAAAATAAATGTCAGCAAGTAGTTAGGCAAAGCCTTCAAGTAAGGTTTTATAATTTTTACTGATATTCTGATGGGGGCTTTTAGAGTTTTTAAAAGATCTGAACTTCCTTAGCCCCCCTCTGTCACACATTGCTCATTCCATTTAAATCAAAAGAATAGAAATAGAAAACAAGTTTTTTCCAGTAGAAACTATTTTTAACAAACCCTGTCTTTCAATGGAATTGCACTTTTTTACAAATTGAAAACTCTTTGGAAAATTCAAAATTAAAACAATAATAGTAATAGTAATTTTGTATAATAATTTTTCTTGGATTCGATGAAACCTATTCTGCTTTTATCCAAATGAGCATGGATAGGACGTACGTGCTGAGTTGGTTTATTAAGAGTTAAGGAAAATTTAATTAACTTGCGTATTAATTTAAGTCCAAAAATAATATTTTATTCGAATAAGTTTCAAAAATTATTATTCGATGGATTACAAGTACATATGTAAACAGTAACTTAAACCCTACGTTCTTTATATTTATAGTTTATAAGCCATATTCGTATATACTATATGTGAATAATAAAAATTATTATGTCCATAATTTGCATTATTAAAATAAATTATAAAACTTATATTCAATCATTTTTAATAACATTATTAGAATAATATTTTTATTCGGATAAAACATATATAAAATGAATTTGAATAAACTAACACCACATAATTCGTTAACTATAACTTAACTCTAACTAAACCAAACCAAGAGGAGTTGTTCCCCTTTCTCCTTTTTTTACACCAAATGGCGAAACTAGTTTAAAAGCACTGCAAGGAAATTCTAAACAGTCATGGTGTACTGATAATTATATTTATATTTACATTACTGATTAGATGTAAATTTGTGTTACTGTATAGTGATATAAATTGCATTGTAATGTTTATGTAGATAATGAGATCTAGTGCTGGCAATGTGAAAAGATCAAAAGCAGAAATCGACGCCGATCCGGAACAAGAGGACGAATTTGGCTACACTACGAGTGAGTACATTTTCATTTTTCTTAATTTATCGTTATAAATCCATCGTTGGCCTAGTTAAAGAACAACAAATGTACAAGCGACCGGGATTATATTGTTTCTTGGGAAAGATCCAGGGTTTAATTGAAAGCTTTAATAGCATCTCGTTTCGAACGAGGATTAAAATATAGAACCTCAAGTATACGTCACATATACAGCAGTAATTATTCAAGAAAAACAACTACCCGGCCAACTGTTTATACTTTAATTTTATAGTGAAGCTTACCAAAAAAAGTGTTAACGGTTGTAAAATGCATAATGTTTTTCTTCGTGTTTGGTCGTGGTTTCAAGTGGGTTTTTGTAGACCAATTATTATTTTGAGTTGAAACGGTAATCGCATTCATTTTGAACTTACAAGTTATAACTTAATACAATGATAAAATTGGGGCTTAAAACAGGTTACACACTGTACAAAATGAAAAAATATGTTACCGGTATTGTAAATCAAAACCGAAATCGGAAAAGTTGTTAACGTTATAATACCGAAATACGTTAACCAATACCGAAATTAACTGTATTGTAAATCATAACCAGAATAGAAAAAAAAACTGGTGTTGTAAGTCTTAACTTATCATCGGAAAATAAAATGTCAAAAACACTAAAAAGTGGGGTTCGTAACAAAATTTAAATCTATTTATGGTTGAAATACACACAAAAAAAAAATAGGTTACGTGTAGCCAGATCAGCGACAAATTTACCAGGTTTTACGTGAACACGTCTTGCTGTGATCATTGAAACGGCCATATTGGTTTGCTGAGAAATGGTATAATTATTATCTTTAAGACATAAGTTCAAAGATAGGTTGAGGTTAGCAATCTATGCAATTTATTCAAACCCCGTGAAATTAGGTACCGGTTGGATACCTAAAAGTTTTAAAAATACTGTTTGATGTTATTTTTAGCGCGTTCTGTATATTTGACTTAGTTTATTGTATTTTCTTTTCTTAATTCAGACCGGATCTCAAGGTTGAAATTAAAAAACTTTGTTTTATTAATTTATGTACAAAACAAACTTATAATTTGTGTATATTCGTACATTGACACCAATTAAATATATCTATAAAACGATTTTAAATTCGTTAGCAATAATATTAAAACTTTTTTTTCAAACAGAAGCTAATCTAGCCTTTGATAATCTCTAGGTTATCAGTTTGCTTTTAATCGCTTCCGAATTGCAAGCAGTTTACAAATAAAATAACAGAATTTTCAAATCTTCTTGTGTGTTTTAAAATAAAATTAAAACTAAATTAATACTGTGACGAGTTAGGAATTTTGCAAAGAAAATAGAATATAAAACTTTGTACGATATAATTATTCGAACGTACAAAATACCAGAACGACGGTGTTTATACCGCTGTTCAAACGATTTAAATGAATCTAAACCCTAATCGTATTTAACGAAAACGAGTAAAAAAAAAAATAGAAGTATTTTGGTTCTTGCTTCAAAGTTATGTTGTATAGTGCAATTGGAAATTGGTTGGAATTATTGTTATAAATCGTATTGTTTATTATTAAACAGATACATAAATATACTCCAACGTTTAATTGTTTTTTAATTATTATTTTACTACCACCACTGATGTAACAGGCATAAGCATATTTGTCAGCCGATAAAAGCTCCATTTATGGACCCTTTGTATTTTGGTTTTCACACTTACTCTGCTCCAATACTGGAATTAATTTTGCGAGTTTAATTTATAACACAGTGAATTGTTGAATTCCAGCATAATACGTTTAAACAATAATTTGTTTTTCACTGAATGTAAACCCGGTGATTTTTTTAAGGCCCTACTACTACTAGTTAACTCTTAAAATAATGGCAATTTTGTAGTGTTTTTATTTTAAAGAAATTTTAATTATATTATATTACCAGGTATGAGACAATATTTTAATTTTTATATTTTTTCGTATTTTCTAGAGCTTTATCAACTTTTGTAACCTAAAATGATAATGTATATATATTTTTACCTTTTTAAATTAGCAATAATTTGCTAAAAATATTGACTGGTCGATAACCAGTTATGAATAAATAGTTGTTAAGTTATTAAAGTTTAAAATTTAGGACGGGAGGAAGGGTGGAGAGTAAAGTTATTTTTATTTGCGCGCATTTCTCAACCGCACTCCACTTCTGTCCTAAATTTTAAACTTAAAGAACTTTAAAAAAATAATTATTCAAAACTGCTTATCAACCAGTCAATTTTTTCAGCAAATTATTGTTAATTAAAAAATATATATATACATTACCATTTAAGTTTTAAAAGTTAATAAACCTCTAGGGAATACTAAAAAAGATAAATATTTAAATATTGTTTTAAATAGTAATATAGTATTAAAAATTATTTTCAAAAATAAACATTACAAATTTGCAATTATTTTAAGAGTAAACTAGTGTAGGGTGTTAAAGAAATCACCCGGTATGTTACATAATGTACAACTTTTTCTTCATCTTCCATCATTTTGTGCGGTTGTTCCTTTAGTGTGAGCAAGAATTAATGAAACCCCCGGAGGTGTTGAAGTAACATGTAATTTATCCATAAAGAGACGGCGGATTCGAATTTATAACGCGGAATGTTTAGCCCGTTATAACGCAATTATTGTTTCTATGTTTATAAAACTGAACATTGCACGTATTATAGTACATACATTTTAAACCGTTGTAATTCAGTTTTCTCGCTTTGTCTCTTAGTCATTGGACATTGCGCATTGTTTGACGATAACGAACTGCTTGCTGTTGCTTGATTTTTTATTCCACTTCAACAGACATTTTTTTTAAGCGACCCCTTTAAGTATTTCACACGCATTCAATTTTTATTTTCGTTTTTTAATTGTCTTACTTGATTGTATTTATTTTGACCACCTTAAGCACATCCTTTAGTCTTAGTGGTTATTTTGTACTCAAGAAAACTGTCCATAAAATGCATCATATAAGTGTTTTGGTATAATATATCGTGCACTAAAAAATCCTTAATCCAACAGAAATTAGTTTATTATTTTTTTAAAATATAACACATATATTGCTATACTTTACCTGTTAAGAGGCCACTAATTAATATATTAAGCGCATTTTTAAGTTTAAAGATTAAGATGGTAAAAAAAGTTTGTGTTTTGATTTATAATATTTGGCATGTTCCTTTATAATTTTATCTTTCCAGATAAGAGTTTTAAAAGAAATTTTCGGCCTTTTACAGCCATGCTATTTTTTAAGCAGAGTTGGCAAATTCTAATTAAATAACGAATACGAATTAAAACAAATCGTATAAACTATAAAGTATTAATTGGAACAAAAATATTGCATTTTATTTAAATAAATTACAATTAACATAATTGGAATGAATCAAATTATTTTAACAATTAATATACTTACTTAATAATTCCAATAATTGACATAATTTATTACTTTACTTTAAAAAGTGAAACCTAAATATTACAAACCTATTCGAATAATTCCTAACTCTGTTTTCAACTATGCATTGAATTAGGTTATAATACCTATAATTAGGCCCGGTTATATATCGAGTTTTACAGTTGAAGATATTCTTGGTAGCCTTCTTATTTTTTGAACTTTCATTACACTATTGTGCCTAATACTGAAGTAATATTTGTAATACTGAACTAAAACACCAAAACACCAAAAACAATTGCCCAGGTGCTTAGTCACGTTATCAATCGTTCTTTATCCTTCGCAATTCCTCGTTCCTTCTCTGGTTCTTCAAAATCTATTAATGATATTTTTTATAATTTGGCTTCCACATAGTTGATTTGTCATATTTTATTTTGTTCGCCATACATGCTCTGTATGACGTATCTCTCGGCTCTCTTCTATATCTCTCATTTTGCTCTTTATGACCGTCATGATATCCTTGCACCTTACAATGGTAGTTCTATCTCTTTGTAGTCCACAGTTGTTCTACGGTATTTTATATTTAGGTAAAACTACTCGATTAGTTTGGTTTAAAAGTTCCTCGAAGGTGTTCTCAGGCTTATTGAAGCTTTTATTTCTTTTGTATTGTCTGTATTCATATTGCTCTACAATTGCTTTACAATTAAATTGGATTCTATGGATTTATGTGCTGCCCACCAAATCGACCAAGGACTAAATTTACAAATTAAATCCGTGAAAGAAATCTATAAATCGTCTGAAATAGTAAGAAAAGCCAGAAGACCGGGTCAGATTTACCAAATCATCTGAAAAAATATTAATTAATAGGCGGATTTTGTCCTATAAAAGATTCGGTCCTGGATTTTTATTTTTATATTAATGGATACAACGAATGACTTGGCCTCTCGGACCAAACAAATTTTTAATTTAAAAGTTATTTTTCTTGTAGTTGCATTTTATTTCTTGTGGTAACAAACGTTTCATCATAAAACATTCCCGGTAAAAGGTTATTTAAAAGTTATAAAAGTTATATTTAGAGTATTTTAAAATAGTAATAATTTTTAACGTAGTTCAAGCCAAAACATCAGTTTAACGGTATATTGTACATTTAAACAATTACTTAGTAGCAAATTAAAATATAGGCTAATAATTTTTGGCACGTACATTGAAATTAAAATTAAATACATGGATTGGTGAAGTCCGTACATTTCTCTGGGGGAGGGGGGAAGCTCCTCCTTCTTGTTACAAATATTGATAGGAATAACTGAAAGACCGCAACATTTGATTTTGTAAGTAAATATATTATTAATCATTGTTTAAAAAGACATATCAATATTGACATTATTTTTATAGTAACGAAATTGGTTCGTACTTTATAGAATTATGTATTATGTACATGATGAGTTTTTGATTTTGGAAACCGGAATTAAATTTAAAAAATATTACTAATAAAACATGAGTTATACAAGAATCTCCGTCTCTCCTTGTATTGAGATTTTTAGTAAAGACACGTTAGTGTTCCTATAGAAACATCCGATTTCATAATTCTACGAAATCGTGTTTGGAATCCGGGTTAGGTAAGGTT